AAATATTGTGAAAATTGATTAAAAAAGACAAATAATGTTTGATGATTCAATTCGATTATAATAATCTGGGTTTGTAGATGGAAAAATCAGATATTTTTATTAGTATTTCAATTGTTAATTATAAATAGAACACATAAAGTATATATAGAAACATCTAGATTAAAACTCTAAAATATAACATACACTACAAAAAAAAATAGTATATTTGTAACGGAATTCCGTTCCTAAATTTCACATAGCTAATGTAATTTCATCCCTAATTCTGTCTCTAATATAATTAGTAACAGAAAAAATTGATATAAGAAAGAAAAATCTCGTTACAAAATTGATATTTTTTTGTAGTGATAATAAACTATACGAACGATCCAAAAATTTTACTTCTCTAGGCTTCAACTTGAGTTTCAAAATACAAAAGTAAAATGTGACGGTTACAAAATATTGCATTCAAATTACACTGTTCATTCTTGAAATATATATTTTTAGTGTTTTATATATATATATATATGAAATAATTGTTTGATTCATGTGATATTTGCGATAAAAAATATTATAATTTTTTTTTTTTATGTAAAAGTACTTATGATTCATGTGGTTTGAAAAACTTGCACAATTACACAAGATTTTCTTGTGTTTTCAAAATAGTACACAAAATATGTCTTGTAAGGAATAGTTTGGCGGTGTAGGAGTTGGATTTGTGACCGAGGAATCATGGATTCAAAACCCCAACCCCTCAACTCACCTGCCACATCATAGGAGTATGATATTGATTTTTTAAACTACAAGTGAATTATAAATAATTTTTTTATTATTATTAAAAATATTTTGTATTACATAAATTATGAATTTGTTTTATCCTGTCTATTTATAAGAGATGAATATAATTTGAAATTATTATATTTGTGGCACTGGCGGACAACAAACTAAGCAAGGATATAGGAGTATGTTTTTTTACGATAATAATGAAATTTTGTAATAATAATATTTATAACAACAACAAAAACAAATGTTTGTTTATTCGTAAGATTTTTTATTTTAAATTTTGATTTTAAATAGTGAAATTTTTAAATTGAAATAATTATTTGATGCGATATAAATATATATTTGATATGATATTTTGATTTTAAAATAAATTCTAGTATAAAATAACAAATGAAAAATAGGTTATGTTTAGATGTAAGCTTTTGAAAACTTTTGGAAATTTGAAAGTTTGAAAATAAATTTAAAGTTTTGATATGATATTTTGTGAGAGAAAATATATTCAATATGTTATGTTTTTTTTTAAAAAAAAAAAATTGTGTTAAATGAATAATATTTTTGGATGGGAAAAATTGAGGATAAGAAAATCACCCCTAAAACTTTACAAGTGAACCTACAAGTGTTTGGAGTAAATTTTTATTTATGAGAGATGATAATTTTGTTTTTATCAAAAAAATTAAACAGTAAAAATTTGAAAAATAATCAAAGTGTGTAAGTATTTAATTATATATGTATAATTCAATTATGGTTGTGGTAAAAAGTTGACATTTGAGTGTATAATGCAAATAGATACTTAATGAAAGCTTATCATTTATAACTAACCTGCTATAAGTCATAACGAAATAAATAAATAAATAATAAAATAAAAATGGATAGGTCAGATGTGAGGTATGTGTATATGCATGTATAAGTCCATTATTACAACTCTAATAGCCTCTAATGTGTAGTTAAATTTTAAACTCAAATTTATTTTTAATTATGTCTCATTTTGACTTTGACCAAAGCCAAATGATGTCTTAATAAGTATTATTACATTATTGTCTAATAATTAATTACTACTATTATTTTGTGACTTAATAGTTTTGACCCAACGTAAATTTAATAATCATAATAATTATTATATTTTTCCTCACATTTACCAAATTGGTACTTTTGGTATGCACAATAATAATGTAATGTCTAAATAGTAATAATAAGGGTAAACTGCTTTTTTTAGTCCCGTAACAGGACTCCCTTATCATTTTAGTCCCGCATGTCACAAACTAGTCTCATAAGTGAAAAATTTTCGTTGTTTTAGTCCTACGGCGCCGGAGATGCCCGCGTGGCTCGCCGGAGGTGACGTGTCCGTCAGGTCTCGCTGACCTGGCGAATACGTGGATTTTTTTTTTCATTTTTTTAAATTTTTTTTAAAACTTATTTTTAATTTTATTTGTATTTTTTTAATTTTTTTTATTTGGTCCAATTAAAAAAAAAATTTAAAAATTTAAAAAAATGAAAAAAATAAATAAATTCACGTGTCCGCCAGGTGTCGCTGACCTGGCAGGACACCCGACGGACACGTCACCTCCGGCGAGCCACACGGGCGTCTCCGGCGCCGGAGAACTAAAACAACGAAAATTTTTCACTTATGGGACTAGTTTGCGACATGCTCCACTTACGGAACTAAAATGATAAAGGGGTCCAGTTACTGACTAAAAAAATAGTTTACCCTAATAATAATAATAATAATAATAATAATAATAATAATAATAATAATGTAATGTCTAAATAAAAGTAGTATTAGAAATTTCATTTTTAGTTTTTTTTTTTTTCAATAATTGTAGATACTTGTTAGATGTAATAATTTATGAAAATAAAATAATGTGTTACAATTCTATACATAATTGTGAAGATTTTATAGTGAGTATTTGAAAAAAAAAAAATAAAGTAAACAAAGCCTATTTATTGTCATATTTTGTTAAAAATTTAGACTTTGATGTTTTAAAATAAACTGAAATAGATTTAATTTTAAAATTAGGAAAACATACAAGTGAACACATCAATTATAGTTCTTTTGTTGTTTTAGAAAAAAGATTTCCTTCTTTTTCTGAATTATTATTATATTTTATTATTTATTATTAATAATTCAATATTATATTTCCAATTTTATTAGTTCATACTAATATTAATTTATCATTTTTCTACAAAATAATTACTCAATTTTAAACATTACATGAAACAATTAATTCTATTTTAAAAATATCAAAATGAAGTAAATCCTATATTGTTTGAGGTTCTAATCAAATTGAAAGTAATACTAAAAATGAAATAAAGAAAAATAAATACTACAATTGTGGATGATAAAAAATAAGATGAACAATCAAAAGTTAAAAGAATAAGATAAAAAAATAACCAAAGAATTCTTTTGAAAGAGAGAGAACAATGATGATTTGAAAAAATTAAATTATAAATTAAAAATTTAGATATCACTTATCATTAGTGCAAATACCTCACATTGAAAAATATATGTACTTTATAAAAATATATCATGTGTTCCGATCCGTAAGAATATGGTTGTATTGTACTTATATTAATATAAATAACTTGCTTCTTGTAATAACAACTATAATGCTGGATTTTTAGCCGTCGTTAAGAAATAAAGAAAAAATTGCTTTGTTATTACATGATTCTGTAAAATACATGTAATCGAATTTGTTTTTGTTTTGATTTAAATTTAAATAATATCTAGTACAATATTTTGTGAAAATAAATAATAGTTTTTTATTAAACTTATTATAATATTAATTTGATTTTGAAATTCAAACCGATTAAAAGTTCATATGAATATTGCATAAAATAATCCATTTGAATTATAAGTGCCAAAAATCAATTAATCCAACAAAAATTTCCCTAGAATACAGTATATAATAACCCTATGTAGAAAAATTAATAAAAAATTATTAAAATAGAAAAAAGGTTGTGTGAATTGAAATTAAATACAAATATAAACACACATACATTTATAGATAGAAACTTAGAATGAAAATTAATTTTTACTGACTATTCTTCGGACATATAAATAGCATATAGACAGCCACCATCTTACGTCGTATTGTGGAAGAATATGTATGACCCACCGCGTTGCATTTATTACATATTCACACCCGTAATTACCAGAATTGCTAATTAACCCACAGATTAAATTCCACTCGTTATTTTCCAGCTAACCTACAACTTCAATTCAAAATAAGGATAAAATGCACTCATAATTAACTGGAGTGACCACAATTTGGATTTAAATATTTACCAACCTTTGCGTTTTTGCTAATATATATATATATATTTTATTTCTTGTTATCTCAATTTTATTTTTTTAAATAATTATATAATTATTTCTTTTTAGTAGTTTGATAAATTTATACACGATTTATTTATAATAAATATTTTTATTCACCTACAATAATATTATATTTATTTTAACAAATAATAATTACTATTTTTTTATTAATTTTCAAAGTGAGTGTGTATATGTAATATTTCAATAGTCTTATTAACATATTTCATGTGCTCCCTTTTGACTGTTTACTTCTTTTATTTTTATAACTTTAAAGTTTGTTTACTTTTATCATATAAATGTTTCAAATAACTAAAAAAAGTATAACTTTAGATATAATAATACTCCCTATTTTATTAAACTCTTGATAGGGACTCTTTTTTCTTAATTTTTTGTTTGAATGATTTCTATAATTAATATCTACAAAATAAATAAGATAATTTTATATGCAAAAACAGTAATTATACACATTTGAGAATAATAAAATACAGTCGGACACAAAGCTGTTTTTAGTGGTTAGTATGTACCTATTTTATACGAACTTTCAACTATTGTTTTTCCACTAGATAATAAAATAATAATAAAATTCAAAACAGGTCTTGCATTTGATAAAGGAATTTGATGTCAATTTAAAGGAAATGATGGAATAATTAAATACTAATTTATCCGTAATTGGTAGAACTAGAAGCGTCAAACACACCTTCGTGCGCAAGAAACGCGACTTTATTATTCACTCAAATTGTTTTTGAGGAGTGCGAGCGAGCGAGTCACTCGTGACGTGGCATCGCCCGCTCACTTCCAACGTCAACACAAACGTGTCTTTTTTTTTTCTTTTTTTTTTTTTAATTTTAATTCTAATTTCCCCCAAAAGTTCGCAATAGATTTCAAAGCCCCCTTCTTCCCCCTTTATAAATACCCCCTCGTCTGTTCATACAAAACCCCATATTTCCGATAAACAAATCCATCCATTAATTCAATTCTGTGGTGTCTGAAAAACCCTAAAAATGCCGAGGAAAGGGATGAGTGGCCTCTGGTTCTCTCTCACTCCCAGAGTGGGCTCTCCATTCTCGCCGCCGTCGCCGTCGCCGTCGCGGTTCGGAAACTCGCCGTACCGGCAGAGCTTCTCCGAGTCGGTGATGGACCGGACTCTCGAAATTTCCGAACCGGTCATCGCCAAATGGGACCCCGAAACGACGACGTTTGCCAGAGTCACCTCTCTGTTCTACGAGAATCGCCGCGAGGCCAGGGAATTCATCAAAACCGTCAATAATCTGCACAAGGCGATGCATTTGCTCGTCAAGGAGGATTCCAATTCTGAGAAACTGATTCGGGCCAAGAATCTGATCCAGATCGCCATGAAAAGGCTGCAGAAGGAGTTCTACCAGATTCTGTCGATGAATCGCGCCCATCTCGACCCTGAATCGGTCTCGACCCGCTCCTCCCGCACTTCCATCGCCTCCAGCGTGTCTGATTTCGATTACGACGAGGAAGACGACGATCAGGTCAGAAGTGGGATCGAAGCTGTTAATGATGTCGGAGATGTCTCGTCGCTTGCCATGGCGGATCTGAGATTGATCGCCGATTGTATGATTTCTTGCGGCTATGGAAAAGAGTGCGTCAAGATTTATAAGATCATCCGTAAATCGATCGTCGATGAGGCGATTTATAAGCTGGGGGTTTTGCAGTTTACTTCTTCTCAGATTCATAAAATGGATTGGAGATCGCTCGATTTGAGGGTTAAGAACTGGCTCGACGCCGTCGGCGCCGCCGTCAAGGTCCTCTTCAATGGCGAACGGATTCTCTGCGACCACGTCTTTAATAGTTCTGATTCTGTAAGGGAATCATGTTTTACTGAAATTTCTAAATCGGGAGCTCTGATTTTGTTCGGATTTCCAGAGCTCGTCGCGAAGTACAGCAAGAAGTCGCCGGAGAAGATTTTCCGGCTACTGGATATGTACACCGGAATCTCAAACCACTGGCCGGAGATCGAATCCATATTTTCTTTCCCATCCGCTGACGCCGTTAAATCACAGGCGGTGACGGCGTTAGTTAAGCTCGGGGAATCTGTCCGCGCCGCCGTCGACGCATTCGAGACGTCGATTTTGAAGGATTCGTCGAAATCTCCGGTCGCCGGCGCCGGAATTCATGCTCTGACGATCAATTCGATGAACTACCTCTCGCTCCTCGCTGATTACAGTGTGATTTTATCCGACATCTTCGCCGATTCTCCGCCGCCGGCGAAGAAGATGCTGCCGGATTCGTACTTCGGATTTTCCGATTCCGACGAGTCGACGGCGCCGGCGATTTCTCTGAAAATGGCGTGGCTGATTTTAGTCTTGCTCTGCAAGCTGGACGCGAAGGCGAAGTATTACAAAGACATTTCCCTTTCTTACCTTTTTCTGGCGAACAATCTTCAATACGTCGTCGTTGAGGTTCAGACATCGAACCTTAAATACCTTCTCGGCGGGGAGTGGGTGGCGAAGCACGAAGCGAAGGTCAAACAGTTCGCGTCAAACTACGAGCGGCTAGGATGGGGCCACGTCATCGAATCTCTGCCGTCGGATCCTGCGGCGGCCGCCACTTCGCCGGAAAGGGTGAAGGAGACTTTCAAGAAATTCAACGCGGCGTTTGACCAGGCGTACAAGAAGCAATCGGTTTGTGTGGTCCAGGACAGCAAGCTCCGGGACCACATAAAGGTGTCGATCGCCCGGAAGATTTTCCGGCTGTACCGGGAGTTCTACGCCGGCCACCGGCCGGCGATGCTCCGGCAGAAGTACTGGGCGCCAATTGTCAAATATACCCCTGAGGACGTCGGCCACCGCCTCTCTGATCTGTTCTTCGGCGAGATTGATCAGTCGGCGGGGAGCGTTTCATCGGTACAGTCGTCGCCGTCGCCGTCGCTGACGTGGCCGCGCCGATCTCGTTGAATTAAGTAATGAAATTTCTTAATTAATAAATTTATTATTATTATTATTATTAATTAAAGTGTGTTAATTAATTAAATGAATCGCCGTAGCCGAGTGTATGTAATTTCGAGTGCCGTTCCGGTGATTATCGATTATTGTTGTTATTATTATTATTATTATATGGCAAAATTTTTGGTTGAACCAATCGATTATGAATTGTATGTTCAAAGTGGACTTGCTATATTTGTTATGTATTTTAATTTTACTTTTAAAATAATTATTTAATCTGAATTATTGATTTATTATTTTTTCTCAAATTTAATTTCACATTTTCTCTTATTTGTCTATTAAATTTACTATATTGGTCAAAGTCAATATATAAATATTAGCTATTATCTTATATTCAAACACAAATCTATGTTATTCAATGTAACTTTTAATAAAAATATACTATTTAATTTCATAAAACATAAGATTCAAATAAATATGTCTTTTCAAATGTCAAAACCAAATAAACCCAGAGTGTGTTTGTTTGTGAATTTAGATTTTAAATAATACAAATTTGAATTTAAATAGTTTTTAATACTTCATCCGTTCCATATCTATATATTCAATTATTTTTTGCACGAAGTTTTAGAAATATTAGTATTATATTGGAATATAAAATAAGTAAAGGTAAAAAGACTAAATTGCCGTTATTAGTATTGTATGATATAAAAATAACGACATTTGTGTAATATATTGTAAATTATAAATATATTTGTAATGTTAGGTAGATAATACAGTTACTAAAAAAAGAAAATGTATACTTTGTTATGGGACAAACGAAAATGAATAAATTGTTAAGGGACGAAGGAAGTATAATATAAATAAATATTAATGTAATGTATTGCATATAAAATAAATTTTAATATAATATAAAAAAGAAAAATAATTATTTAATTTTGATTTTTTTTTTAAAATGAATAATAAAAATTTGGTATAAAATTCAGAAAAAGAATATAACTAAATTTCATATAAATGTGTCGTGTTATCGAATAAAATATGTTGTAGTGTATTTGTTAATGTTATAGAGCTATATGATGATATAAGTTATTATAAATGTATTGGATTTTGTGGGTGATGGAATTGAAAAGCAGAAATATACTTAGGAAAGAATCGTAATTAAATTAATTGATTCAAAGATACAGGGAATGTTCTTAGTCCGATATTGGAAATATATAATTAATTAATTAATTAATTAAGTCGAATATAATATAATATAATATATTATTATATAACTAATTAAGAAAGGGTTACGTAGCTTTGCCCCCACTGCAGCAAATAAATAAATAAATAAATATATATATATATATATATATTTGTAAGTATGTAAGTGTTGTTTCTGGAACGGTGGAATTTTCGTCGTATAGACTTAGGAAAACGACTTTTTACTACTATATGTTACCATTATTACTTTACGTTAGATGTCCGATCAATGACACTGTTCATATTCTTAAAATATTCACTACACGACTCTTTTGAGTTTGTTTTTAGTATTCTTTGTTAACTGGTTTCCGTTATCATGGTGATTGAGTCGAATTAATATTTTTTTTTTTTGTTAAAGTACAAAAAATATATATATATTATTTAAAAGATTTATAAAATTTTTGTATTATTTAAATTATTTGTATGCATTATAAATATATACAATGCTTACTTTGACCTGATTATAAAATATAACATACTCTCTCATTCCCGAAATATTATTTGGAGTTGTGTAATAGATTAAAAAATAATATTATTTTATTAGTAAGTGAAAATATGTAAAAAAAAAAATTGACATTTTTGCTCTTTAATTTTATTTATAAAATAATTATATATGTAATGATATATTTGTAATTTAAGTAAAAATTAATGGTATTATGGTATTAATGTATAAATACTTTACTAAAATAAGAAATAGATAGTTTTAAGTAAAAAAAATTGTAAAAATGATACTTTGAGTTAAGTGGAGAAAATATATTTTATTGATTTGATTTAATTAACAAATATGTATATGAGACATACAACACGGATCTGTTGGTATATGATACTAATATGTAATATATATTTTGATAGCCACATTATATAATAATATTTCGGTACAATAAATGTATTTATACAATACATTACAATATACTCCTTCCGTCCAAGATAGTGGTATAATTAATAAATAATTAAAAATATATTAGTGAAAATAATTATCATATAATAAAAATAATTATAAATTAAGGTTAATATAACTAATTAGTATAATTAAAATTATAAATTAAATTTTTAAAAATAAAATTAATGTGTATAATTCTTTTTTTTAAAAAAAAAAAGAACAACAAAATAAGTGAAACGGATAAAAAATAAAAAGGTGTATATAAAAAGTGGGACGGAGGATGTACAAATGTGCATATGCATGTGCTGATTTCATTCAATAATTACTTGCATTGCTATATAATCATTAAACATTATATCTAAAGTTTGTGGCATCATTACATTTAATTTAAATAATATTTTGTTATTATATTTTGTAAAATAAATATTACTTTTATTAAACTTCTTAGACTGAACAGGAGAAATTTTCATTTAAAAAACACAAAACAAAAACCAAATTCTAAAGTAAATTAAGAAATAAAGAAAGAAACACACTCATAACATATTTTTCTCTGCGTTGTTATTTTATACTCCCTACCTTCCAATACAATAGTCATCTTTATCATTTATGTCCGTCTCAAAACAATAGTCTCATTTTCATAAATAACTATATTACTATAAAATTACACTTACTTTTTCATTATTATTACATAATTGTCATTACTTTTTACACTAATATAAAAAAGTAATTTATCCGTACTTTTTACTCACTACCAATATAATATTAATATTTTTTAAATTTCGTGCCAAACACAACCCAACTATAATTTTGGGATTGGGAGAGTATAATATATGTAGAGATGCATGATCCCCAGTAAGACCTGCACTGCTTGTTTCAAAATGAATATATTTAAATAATACTATATATCGTTTTCATTAAGATTGCTAGTTTATTTATATACATATTTTTTTATTAATATCATAAAAATATTATAAATAAATAAATAAATAATATATAAAATTTGGTAATTTGTTTAACCATCTTATTTTTAGATGGCACAATTCCTTATATTCCTTATAGTATACCTCATATATATATATATATATACTATATAAATACAGAACTCAAATATCTAAATTAATCCGGATTGAAAAATAAAATAAAAAAATATACACATACTAGGATATACCTCATATCCATATGTACCTTTTTTTTTAAAAAAAATAATAATAATAATAATTGATAAATAAATAAATCCCATCAAATATAAATAATTTTAAATTTATATTTTTTAATATTAAATTTATTTACAAATATGTAACAACTGCTTACATAATTTATCAAAATAAATAAAAAATTCTCTTACCTCCATCAACTCACTATATGACTATTTTATATTATAATCAACTAATACAATATTATATTCATTAAAATTAATGTATAGTTCAAATGAATATAAATTTTATGGATAGATAAACTATAAATTAGCAAATCACAATATAATTTAAATATAAATATATTAAAAATTAAGATATTTTCAAAAATAAAAATAAATTGGACTAAGAGTAGGACATGCAAAAGAATATTTTCTTTATATATGCACATATAATATATTGAATTATTGAAGACCTTCTTTTAGAGCAACCCAACGGCCCAATTGTGGAGGCATTTTTTATTATTTTAGAGGCCCTTTAGTTTGGTCTTAAAAATAAAATAATACTACTAAGAAAATTATACAAAATTGTGGCAAATTCAAAGTATTTTTAAAATTACTTTAGATTTGTTTGTATAATATTTATTTAATGATATTTGACTTACTTGTGTTTAAATAACACATGATATACTATTATATAATATATACTACATTTGATTTTAGTCTATGACATACTTTTATATATCATATAGTATTATAATTATGAATAACCAAAGGAAATTTTTAATATAAATAACCCATATTATGTATATTGTAACCCTTCTCATATACTTTCTCCGTCTCAGCTAATTTGTCTATTCTAACTGGGTATAAAATTTTAAATATTATGTAATTATAAAATAATTAAAAAAAGTATTAGTAAAAATAATTATAGATTAAGATTCAAGTAACTAAATATTTTAATGAAATTAAAAAAAAATAAATTATTAATTATTAATTTTAAAATGAAATTAAAATATATAATTATATTTGAAAAAAAAAAAGAGATAATTTATGTGAGTCAAACGGATATGGAAATAGTGGAGTGGACTGAACGAGTAATATATATATATATATATATATGCATACAAGCAACGATTAAATTAACTAATTGCCGATCCAAACACAAACATACAGATCTTCTTCATCTTCTTCGTCTTCGTCTTCACCTTCTCTTACTTGATCTGCTCCCAAACAGCAGCAGAGCAAAGTAAAACAAAACCCTAAACAGAAACCCCAACCCCACAGTAATCCACAAACAATTCCACTTGCTAACATCCATGACCCCCGCCTGCTTCAGCACGTCCACCCCCGTCGTCAAGCACGTCCTCCCAGTCATCTCCATCCCCACAACCTCCCCCATCGTCTCCAGAAGCTTCACCTTCGTCGCCTCCGCCACGTCCTTCAATGGCGTCACGTCGAATACCTCAGTCCCCCTCACGAAACACCTCGACGCATCCCCGAACTCGTTCTGCATCACCCCCTCGTACGGATACTTCACCAGCGACCCGTAATGGAGCCACATCCAGTACGCCGGAATCCGGTCCCGTCCGATGAACAATCCGCTGAACAAAACGAAATAAGCCAGACTCGCCACCACCACCGTGTACGCCACCATCACATTATATATAACCCCAGACAGAAACGTCACGTACGAATTCCCCGCCCAGAACGACGCGAACACGAAGCTCAGGTAGAAAACAAACCCTCCCGAGGTCCCGGAGCTCAACCCGACCGCCCAGAAGGTTGTGGCGGAGAAGGTTAGGGCGAGGAGGAGCAGGGAAGGCAGGGAGGTCATGGAGTGAGAGAGGACGTACGACGACAGCCTGTAAGCGTTGTAGGAAGTTTCTCGAAGGAAGATGTCGCGTTGGAGAAGGAAGACGGGAATGGCCTCCGCGCAGGTGTAGAAAGCTGTGGACATGGCGAAGGCGAAGAAGCCGAGGCGCTCCTGGACGCCTTTGGGGGAGTCGTCGAGCTGCCAGAAGATGGTGGCGAGCAGAACTCCGGTGACCAGAACGGCGCCCAAACGGACTCCCAGCTGCTCCGGCGTTCTTCGCGAGTTTAGGGTTGTTCGTTTCCAGAGTACCAGGATTTCTCTCCAGATAGGGTTTGCGTATTTCTGGACTGACGAGGATGACGATGACGATGAGAGGTTTGAGTCGTCGTTGATTATGCTCATGTGTGATCCCGAAACGAGCTTTCCGGCGGAAATGCTGGCGGTTATGGCGGATTTCAGGGACAGTTTTGGACTAGGGTTTCGGATTTGCTCTGCAAGAGAACACTCTTTTTAGCCATTAAAATTAAATTTGTCCTCTAGTAAACGTGCTTATTGGCTCGAATTAGTACGAGGCTGATTCAATTAACAAATATCTATTGAAATAATAATAATAATAATAATAATAATAATAATAAATATTGATACATTTTCTATAAAATTGGAGTATTGAAAATATATATATATATATTTTAAGGTTAGTTGATGATATTTTTAGAAATTTTGTTGGAATTAAAGAAAATGAAATAAAAGTAATCACATATGTTATAAATAAAGGTTGAATAAATAATAATATTTAAAAATTAATTTATTGATTTTGCCAAAATATATTATGCTTTCATTAAAATTGTAATTTGATCTGGTCAATAAATATTTATAATAAAAATAACAAATATTAATATAATATATATCACATAACATATGCTATTTTTTGTGATGATTTGCTTTGTTCACATGTTAACTTAGTAATATGCTCTCTACGAGGATAATTTGCTAATTATTTCAATTTAGTTTGCTAATTTGTTGTTGTTTGGGATTAGGGTTTGTGATTTTACCAGGCTGCAGCCATGTCCGGTTGAAATCGACGAGCGATTGAGTTCCTCCGGAAGTGGATTCGAGGTCCCGGATTAAATCCATGGCGAATTCCGTCGTATCGTCGTCGGAAGGGATTGGGCGGCCGAAATCAGCGAAGAATTGGGGGAGAAGGTGGGGGGAGTGGTTGAAGACAGTCCGGCCGCCGGAAAGTATGAGCAGGCGGTCCAACTGGGTGAGGATTCGATAGCTCGGCTGGTGAATCGACATGACGACGATGCTTCCGGTCTGCGCGATTCGCCGGAGAACTTTCACGACCATATAAGCGCTGGTGGAGTCGAGGCCGGAGGTCGGCTCGTCGAGGAAGAGCAGAATCGGGTCGTGGATGATGTCGATTCCGATCGACACGCGCCGCCGTTCGCCGCCGGAGACGCCGCGGTGGCCTTCGTCTCCGATGACCGTCGCGGCGGCGTCGCGGAGGCCTAGTTGGTCGATCAGGGCTCCGACGCGCGCCTTTTTTCTCGATCTCGACATCGCCGCCGGCAGCCGGAACTCCGCCGAGAACATTAGGGTTTCTTCGACGGTTAGCATCGGGAAGAGGAGGTCGTCCTGGTAATTATAAAATAATTATTTTTTATATATTTTATTAAAAAAATAATTTTACATCAAAAAAAATATTATTACACTTCTTCCTCCGATATTACGTTGATAATCGGTAGAAAATACAAATAAACTTTTTTTTTTTTCTAAAACAAAATTAATTTTACGGTGATATAGTTATTTATGAAAATAAAATTATTTTTTTTTTTAATGAACAAAATAATAAACAAAATTATTGGATTCAATCCCTAGTATTATATTTTTATATTATAGATATATATATTTAATTATTACCTGCATAACGTAGGCCGAGATCGCTTTTAGAAGGCTGGACGTCAAAACGTCGCCGTTTAGGGTGATGCCGCCTACGAGGCTTTCTCTGGATATCCGGTTGGCCAGGGCGTCGATGAGCGTCGATTTGCCGGAGCCGCTGGCGCCGAGAACGGCCAAGATTTCGCCTTCCTTGGCCTCGCCGGAGATATTATCCAGCAAGACTTTGGTCCCAGACTCGCCGAGCTCAGGCACCGTCGGATTATTGGCGCGGCGGCGGAAACAGCTCGCCGGAAAGATTTTCCGGCGGAGTTTAACGCTGTATGAGAGGTTGTGGAAGGAAAGGATGAAGGGCATGGATACAGGTCCCGGGACTTCGAGGACCTGGTCTTCCAGAGTGTGATTTGATTCTTGGAGCTCCATGGCAGCCATGGATGATGAGCTGCTGCAGGTGAGATATATATATATATATATATAATTAGGTAATACTCCTACAAGTGTATTATATATAATTATATTTGGATGATTGGTTTTAGACAAAATTAATTTATATAGAGAGGATTTGGTGGATTGTTTTTTCGTGTGGAAATTAGGGTTTGAAATTAACAAGTTTAGTGATAATTTAATTATGATCTTCCAATAAATAAATATAATTATATATGTGACAGTTTTCTGTCGTGGGGCTCTAAGTAATGTGCGCAAAGTTATTAGTTGTCCGTAAACCGTGTCGTGTAATGAAATGTAAAAATATTGTATTAGGCATTTTCAATTTTTCTTTTAAAGAGGGATTGTTTCCAAGCGCTTACTTAAGATTTTTTAAATTTGGAAAAAATATAAATTAGTATTTCATTTAATAGTATTTTGTAAAAAAAAAAAAAAATGTATATTTGATCATCTGATGTTTTTTTAAAAATGGTGTTAAATGAATAAAAATTTATAACGTAAACAAAACTTTAATCTTAAAAAAATTGAGTTTGTTTGATTTTGCTTTTGGTTTAAAAGTTATTAGTCTATAAAAAAATTTAAATAAAAACTAAACAAACTTTTGACAATTGTGATTTGTTTGGTTATTATTTAAAATAAAAATTAATATTATTCGATCTATATGATAAAAAATAAAAAATTACTTAACAAAAATTTATATCAAATACTATTTAAATTAAAATCACAATCAATATTTTAAACTCGAACCAAATTCAAATAAACTGTTAGGGTGTGTTTGTTTAAGACTTTGAATTTTGAGCTGAAATTTAAATAGTAAAAATATTGAATTGTAATAGTTATCTGATGTGATATTTTAAATGTAAAATTAATTTGAGGTATAATATATAAAAAAAAATATGTTTGATTTGATATTTTTGGGAATTTTTTTTTTTTTTTTTATAAATAGTTATATTTTTGGAAAAATCCCATGAATCAACACACCTTTGATTTTATTTTTTTTGCAGCCGTTATTTTTCGAGTGCGCTTTAGGTAATTTTCGACGGAATATGTTTGTTTGTGGGTTTGGATTTTTGAATAATAAAAGTTTGAATTTGAATAGTTATTTGATATGTTATAAATAAAGGTTAATGGTTTATAATAATATGATATAAAAATGAAAAATAATTATTTGATTTGATATTTTTTTAAAAAAAAATAAATAAATATGAATCATAAAAAAGTCAAGTAAAAATTCAAATTATTAAGTTTATTTTTTTTTGTATAGAAAAAAATATTAAATATAATGTTAAGTAGAAATATTTTAGTAATAAACAATTTTATTTTGAAAATATAAATAAATTTTAATATTTATGATTGAATAATAAATTTGAAGTATATATTTTAGTAATATAAATAACAGGTATATCTTGTTTAATAATAAATAATACAAATAAATATTTAATTTAAACTTAGACTTCATCTGCTCATATAGTAGGTGTGTTTGTTTTAAAATACTCATTATGTTGTTACAACATAGTCCACATCTTTCACATAGACATAATATTTAAGGTAATGATATTTAATTAGTTAATAATATTGATATTTTTAAAGTAATTTTAATATATATGATTAACAAAATTAAATTATGTATTTAAATATTTTAAAAACTATATTGCAATAAAAAATACATTTAATATGAATATCATTTTGTAGAGAATAAAATTTTTTATAAGAAAAAGTAAACTAAAAAATATTTATTTATAATTAATATAAATTAATTTTATAAAAGATGTGGAGTTCTAAATGTAGATAAAAATTATTATTTCTCTGAAAAAAAATAGAAATAAAGAGGTTTTGAGTAAGTATGTACGATGCTATATGTTAGACAGTTAATTAAGTTGATTTATATTTGTTAAATATATTTTAATTTAATAAGTTTTACCCCATAAAAATATATCAATTATTATGAAATAAACAGAAATAAAAATAATATCAAGTTTAGTGGAACAAATAGAATATTTCACATAAAAATGTCAATAATATTTTAGCATCAATTTTAATGTTATTCCAAAAAATATATATTATTTGAATAATGATAAAATTTGAATAAAATAAAATTTTAATTAAATTAAATTTAGGTAGAAATATATATATATATATATGTGTGTGTCTAGTAGCTTAAAAGAGTGATACGCATATACCATATTTTCTCAACCAACTTATTCAATTCATTTCCTTTAATTTTTTCCTTTTCCTTGCTTCGCCTCGTTTCTTATATATATATATATATATTTTGGTCTTTTTTCTTCCTTTTTATTTTTTATTTTTCCTTTCTTTAATTTCTTTCCTGTCTCTTTTTTCTCCTTTTATCGTAATCCTATTTTTCTCAGTTTTTTGATTTATTACTTTCGCAAACATGGTTTTGGATCTTTTGGAGGAGGTTTCGGATTTTTTTGAGGAAGACGGAAATTTAACCCAATTTTCTTATTAATAATTTAATAATTTTCATACCCCTTCTCTTTTTTCATCCACTGTTCTGATTTTTTGGAAGGAAACAAGAAAACCCCAAATTTCAGATCATTTTTTGAGGAAGTCAGTTCTAGATATTCATCCAAATTTTTTTTCTAAAAAATATCAAATCTAATACTTATTTTTATTTTTTATATTATACTAAAAATTAATTTTACATTCAAAATATCACATCAACACTCATTTATATCACATCATACAACTATTTAAATTTAAAATTTTTACTATTTAAATCCCAACCCTAAATCCAAATCCCCCGAGCAAACACATCCTTGGAGGAAATCGAGAATCCACCCAATTTTTTGTTGACTCCTTTCGATAAACTGCCAAAAAAATATTTTGAACGACTATATAATATTATTTTTTTATTGTAGAGAATTCTTGAACTGAACAGTTCTTGCATTATAGATTTCTCAGACTGCTTTACGATGATAGCTTTATGTACAAAGAAACTAAGATGAAGACGATCGCCATTGATGCTACCTTTGCAAACCTCGATTCAGACAGGTGAGAGAACTAAGGACCATCGCCTATCATTGCCATTGATCCTGTGTGACCGCGAGAGTCGAATATCCGATCCATCGGTGCAGATTCATTCGATCAGATCGAGCTTCTTACACTGAATTCCCAGTGTCTCGACTACCTGTAATTCCGGCGGTTGCATGAACGGAGGAATGAATTGGACTTCGATCACATTACCGAACTAATTGTTTTGTGGTGTTATGTTAGTTTTGTCTGCTTTAGCTTAATATGCATAGTGAATTAAGTTGAATTATTTAAGATTGAACTTAATATATATATATATATATAAACATGTGAATTAATTATCAAATTAGAATTATTTTATATATATAATAACAATATTAATTAATATTAATATATTATAATTAAATTATAGTGTCTAGTTGAGAGCTTCGATTATAACCCAACTCGTTTATTATTGCGACACGGTGGTGGCAAAATGATTACCCAAAATTGAATTCGAGTGCTTACATGTAACAAACTATTTAAGCAAATCACCATTTTCAGGTTTTGTGTGTTCATGTTCACCAATTTGAGGTTCTGCGCATTCATTTTCACCATCAGATATTAATTTTAAAATAAGAAAGGTAAAAGAAGTTTTGAGAGAAATAAAAAAAATAAAATTAAAAAAAAAAAAAAAAAAAAAAAAAGCAAAACAAAAAAACCCATTAGATTTTACTACTACTACTAATAATACTACACTCATTTTTGCAAAAAAATAAAATAAAAATCGAATGTAGTTAATTTCCTCCTACAATTTCCCCCCAAATCAAAACCCTATTCATTAAACTCTGTTGCTCGGTTCGCAAAATTACTTGTTTGCTCGAAGAAACAACTCAGAACTGTTCAAAGATTTGGGTAATCTGCAACTTTTCGTCGATTTTATTAAATCAGGTGACTGCTTTGTTATTAGGGTTTCGCGCTATATTGAATCATTGTCTAATGTATCGGTTAAACACTCTGTTCCTGTTCCTGTAGTGTTTGCGGAATTCTCGTTTTTAATATGTTAAATTTCTTGACGTGTTTTAGAGTACGATCTTGGCGAAATCTGTTCAGTTCTTGCATTCAAGAATCGTAGTCGTGTGTAAATGCAAGATCGATTTTAAATACCGGCGAAAGAAACTTCATTAAAGAAGTCGAAAATTCAAAAGACAATGTGTTTAGTTTGTCAAGAATCAGTTGGTTCTTCGTTTAAACTTAGGTTTATTGGAACAATATTTTGAATCTTGCAATGAGTATCTACTCAGAAATGTTGTTCGATGCAATGAAATCACTGTCAGGTGTTGTAATAACTTGCAGCTTCTTGGATTTGTGGATTTTGAGTTTTGGGTGAAATGGTGATCTTGATTTCTCACCACATGAATGAAATCTTTGTGTGCTTACAATGCCTTTGCTGGATATAATTGCTCGTCGTTGTTTGGTTTTAATTGATTAGATCATTATTCTGTCGCCCATCAAAGCAATGAAAATATAGCAATGCCCGTCGTTGTTAATGTACAAAAGTATGTTCAAAAGTGTAGTATAGCAATAGCCGATAAGATTTTTCAAAATGAGATTCACTTATTATGGTAGTGTTGTGTTGTACAATTGAATTTAGTCATTTTGCTCGTGGTTTTGATGAACATGTTAAGTAGAATTGCAGTAGGAGTTAGAATGAATAGTGCCGTAGCAACGATGTAAGAATACTTATGTATGTTCATAACCTCGTTAGTCTTTTTCCTTTGCAATAACTCGAAATTTAATACCCTAAAGATGGTTAATCTTTTATCAATTTGAAACCCCTTTCTTTTTTGGGTGTGTATTCTCTATATAATCCTTTATAGTTGTAAGCCATCTCCGACAAGTAATCAAAGTGTACTTTTGATAAATTGATGTTCATTTGCGTAGAATTCTTGGAGAACCCTTAGAACCTTTTACAATATGCATATGTTGCACGATATAATTACAGTGCTGACTGAAGCAAATCAACGCATAAAACAAGAAGACGACACATGTTTTTATTTAACACAGCATAAATAAATAGTTGTACTGTTTGAATATATTTCTTGTACTGAAATAAATGATAGCATGTGTTGTGTGGAACTATATAATCTGCTATGTGTTGTCAATGCTGAATTTGTAATATGTTAACATAAATTGTGTACTATTTTTGTAGTTATATTTTATTGTCTGTTAGCACTGTGCTGAATTATAAAATTATCGTATTAGGCTTATTTTGTTTCAAATCATTACTACGACTCATGGAGTCCGACGAGGAAGAGTACGCCGAATTCATAAAGAAGGTAAGAAGGACCGTATACATCGACAACATCTCCCCAAAGGTAACCGAATCCGTAATGAAAGCAGCTTTCAATCAGTTCGGCAATGTGATCGAAGTCCAATTCATTCCTCCGTTCATGCAACCGTCGGGCGCTCCACAAGCCGTCTTATTAGAGATGGAAAATCGAAAACAAGCCGTGCAAATCGTCGAGGGATTGCAAAGTTGCCCCTTCATGATCGCCGGGATGCCTCGACCCGTACGAGCAAAGGCTGCCGAAGTGACGATGTTCGACGACCGTCCAAGGAAACCCGGAATGACGATAAAATGCCGGTGGCTTCACCGGAAAGATCCCAATTTCGAAACTTCCCAAAAAATCAAAGCTCTGGTGATTAAACATTCGAAGGAAGCTTCCTTCGTGCTCGAAGTAATTCCCGCGCGCTTTCATCTCTTCGATTGCTCTGACGAACGATTTTTTATTTGTTTTTTTTTTTCGTAAGATGGATTTGTTTCTTTTGCTCAGCGGCAGGTTGTCGAGGAGGAGCGTCTCGACAAGTTACAGGCCGAGACACTGGGAATTCAGTGTAAGAAGCTCGATCTGATCGAACGAATCTGCACCGATGGATCGGTTAGTCACCTCTCGCGGCAATACGGAAGCAATGGCATTGACAGGTGATGCTCAGTTTTCTTACATGTCTGAATTGAGGTTTGCAAAGGTAGCGTCAATGGCGATCTTCTTCATCTTAGTTTCTTTGTACATAAAGCTATCATCGTAAAGTAGTTTGAGAAATTTATGATGCAAGGATTGTTCAGTTCAAGAGGTAATGGAGCTAAGTATTTCAATTCTATAAATTTTATCAAGTACAGGAATTTAAGTAGTATACGTTAATTATTTATTTAGATAGTAAAGCTTAGTGAAAATATATAATACAAATAAATAAAAAAAATGTATTTATTTATTTCTTATTACTACATAAACAAATAATGATTTTTAAAGAATGAGAAGATAGATAAAAATAAAGAAATTTTGTAATAAGTTACCTTTTGTAGAGAAAAAAAAATTATTTTTGGAATGATTGAATATTAGGATAAGTTAAGGAAGAAAGTTTGGAAGTTTTGTAATTTTATTGCAAATGGTAAAAAATTGATATTCCATGAAATAAAGTATTCAAAATAGAGCTAACTTTTCTATGTAAAATACTACTATTAGTTTTTATTAAATTAATTATATATAATCTATGGCGGCTATAGTATCTTTGGAGTATTAAATATTTAAATTAACATGTTTATCCTTATAATCTTTTATTTAATTTCTTTCTCATTGCACATATTTTATTGAATAGTGTCCGAATGGAAATTTATTTATTGTTTTTTCGACCAACTTGACAAATTTTTTAGTTGGTGATGTGATGCTTCAAAGTCCCTACCTAATACATTAATTAAGGAAGTCAAAAATAAATTTACTCGCTTAATTGATGTAAAAATTATACTCCTATATTTATCACTATAATTACTCCCTCCTCGTGAACATTCATTTTTTTATTTTAGTATGTCCATAACAAAGTATTTATTATTATTATTTATTTTTAAGTAACTGTATTATCTACCTGAAATATCCTTACAAATATCACTACTTTCGTATCAAACCTATTAGTAAGGTTATTTTAGTTATTTTTACTTTATTCCTACTATATTTCAATATAATACTAATATTTCAAGCAAATGAATATTTACTTACAGAACGGGGAGTATAATTTTGTGAATTGGAGAAGAAAATTTTAATTTGATGAGCAATATATTTATGTATTTATTTTAAATAAAGATAATATTGTTCTGGGATTATTTATTATTATTATTTTAATTTGGCCGGTTAAGGATTAACTATTTATTGCTTAAGAAATTGGAAATTTAATGGGTCTGACTTGATTTTTTATCCAAAAATTTCTCGAGCAGTCCAAATTTCAAGAAATCTGTAAATATGACTGTTATTTAATGACATTTGTAAGCGACGTGAATCATCGGCGGTGGAGGAGGGAGAAGATTCAACCCAGTAGAAGAAAATTTTCGCCACGATCGCTTTGTGATTCTGGGGAAATTGGATTCCGGGAATCTTCTTGCGGAAAGAATTCGACGATTGAATCCTTTTTTCGCCTGTATGTTTCAATTACATCGTCAATCTTTGGACCGCGAGTTTCAATTTATTATTATTATTATATAGAAAATCTCCTTGTTTCCGATATGCTAGTATAATTTGTGAAAATGTGATTGTCAATTTTTCCTGTGTTGCATTGATTGTTTTGGGTTTATTTATTTTAAGAAAAAAATAAATAGTGATGTATGGTGTGGAATCACGTTCTTAGGGTTCTTAATTGTTCCTCAATTATATTTGAAGTGATGGTAACTTGAGAATGTGTGATTGTGTGTTAGGTGTTTGGATTATTGAAACAAAGTATTTCTTGGCAAAGTAAAATATGCTGAAGATATTGATGATCAGTTGTGGTTATTATGTGTGATTGATTTTATGAATGCAGACTTCCTCAACTGCACCTGAGGGAAAGCAAGAGTTTGAATCTATAAGTGAAATGTATTTGGGTTGATATTGATTTCGATATCGAATATCGAATTGTGAATATATGTTTTTATGATTAACTTTTGCTGCTGGAGATTTGTGGGTTAAAGAAATGAATGTGGTGGGTAAAGTAGGCAGTTTGATCACTCAAGGTGTGTTCTCGGTTGCCACGCCGTTTCATCCGTTTGGTGGTGCAGTGGACATCATAGTTGTTGAGCAGAGTGATGGAACTTTTAAGAGCACACCTTGGTATGTAAGATTTGGTAAATTTCAAGGTGTCCTTAAAGGGGCAGAGAAGATTGTGCGAATGGAAGTTAATGGTGTCGAAGCCAATTTTAACATGTATCTCGATAATTCTGGTGAAGCTTATTTTATTAGAGAAGTAGATCCAGGACAGGATGGTTTTAAAAAGGAGCTGGAAATGCTCGAAGAGAGAAGGGAGGATAATAACAATGGTTGCAGTACGAGTGACAGTTGTCTTCAGGAAAGCGACATTCTTAATCAAGATGCACCTGACTTTACAAATGATGATGTAGAGGTGCGGGATGAGCGACACACACTAGGTATGGACTGGTTAGATAGAGTTGATTCTGATTGTGGGAGGATATACTATGAGATGCAAGATGATGAAAGATCTTCTTTGGAGGGGTCGTCACTTGAATATTCTGATTTTGGGGGTTCAAGTAGTGCATATGAAACAAATATAGAGGATGTCCAACATGCAATAGAATCACAGGATTCAAATTCAGAGGTCGTTTTGGTAAGTGTGGATGGGCATATACTTACAGCACCTCTATCATCGTCTGGGAGGAAAGATGACGACGAAGAATTCAGTTCCCTGCAATTGAATGCAAGCCCTGATGAAGGGACTGAAAAGTATACCATAGCTGAAGATGGTGGTGACTGTTTGAATGAGTCTGAAGTTACGACTGAAAGCAATTGCGAGGGGAACTCTGAGACTCTATCTTCTGCACATGACTTAGAACCATCTGTAGGTGATGATGGCGAGCATACGTGTGATGGGCAAGATGCCAAGGTGTTAGATGATCAGGATAAAGGGCCTTGTGCCGAACACAATAGTGACATTGTCAGGACTTGCTTGGAGCTTGAAAATTTGGAGGAGCAGCCCCCAATTGACAACCAGGAAAATGTGGATGCTTCAGTGAATAGTCCCGAGGCCATAGATGAATCGAAAGAGAACTCTCATTTAAGCCCTTCAACGGATAAAACTGAAGGGGAGAATCTTGAAACATTGAGAGATAATGACGAATTGTCCCCCAAGGATTCTGGAAACCTCCTCGGCGTCTCTTCACCAGTGGTTGAAGCTACAAGTGATGCAAGAACTGCTTCTGATATGGAACGTGATGGTTCTGATAATGCCCCTGTTCAATCTGTTGGCAATGATGAGGACCCGCCGCAACAAGTGGAAGGAGATGTGTCAGACAGAAGTATGCACAACAATGGGGAGAGTTGTTTTTCAGATGAAAATGGTGAAACTGAACACTCAGAACCTGAAAATGGCAAAAACGAACACGCAGAACCTGAAAATGGTGAAAATGAACACGCAGAACCTCACACTGGTGAAGATGGACACACAGAACCTGAAAGTGGTGAAAGTGAACAAGCAGAACCTGAAGATGGACACGCAGTACCTGAAAGTGGTGAAAATGAACAACCAGAACCTGAAGATGGACACGCAGAACCTAAAAGTGGTGAAAATGAACAACCAGAACCTGAAGATGGACATGCAGTACCTGAAAGTTGTGAAAATGAACAACCAGAACCTGAAGATGGACATGCAGTACCTGAAAGTGGTGAAAATGAACAGCCAGAACCTGAAGATGGACACGCAGAACCTGAAAGTGGTGAAAATGAACAAGCAGAACCTGAAAATGGTGAAAATAAACACGGAGAACCTCAAACTGGTGAAGATGAACATGGAGAACCTGAAAATGGTGAAAATGAATGCCCAGAATCTAAAATTGGTGAAGGTGAACATGCAGAACTGGAAAATGGTGAAAATGAACGCACTGAAGCTCCAACTGATGAAGATGAACACCCAGAACTTGAAAATGGTGAAAATGAACATGGAGAACCCAAAAGTGATGAAAATGAACGCCCAGAAGCTCAAACTGGTGAAGTTGAACACGCAGAACCTGAAAATGGTGAAAATGAATGCGCAGAACCTCAAACTGGTGAAGATGACCACACAGAACCTGAAAATGGTGAAAATGAATGCGCAGAACCTCAAACTGGTGAAGATGAACACACAAAACCTGAAAATGGTGAAAATGAACATGCAGAACCTGAAGCTGGCAACAGTGAACTTGCAGAACCTGAAAATGGTGATTTGCTTAAAGATATCAATTCAGATGTACTTACAAGTAAGAGTGCCATTTTTCTATAGCATAAAATTTGTAGCCTTCCTTTGTTTATTTTATGCTGCTCTACCTAACACTATTTGTTACAGGATTAGACCTGTCTCTCTGCGGGCACTTGCTGTCTGCTGGGATGGGTTTAAATGCAGCACAAGAAGCCTTTGAAGCAAACCGTATACCATTGGAAGAATTTAAACTTGCAGCCAAATCGATTGTGAAGAATGCGAGCCTAATTGTTAGAATAAATGGGCAGTATGTACCATGGAGTAAGGCTGAACGTGTCATTCTTTGTAAGACAGATTGTGGTCCAGATCTATCAGTTGATCCACATGATGTAATTCCGGTAGAACAGGAGACACAAAAAACCAAGGAAGGTAATCCAGCACCATCACGGGGATGGAGTCTCTGGTCGACATTTAGGAGGGTGAAGACACCTGAGAAAGGCCAGAATAACTCGTCTAATGTGGTAGTATTAGCTGAACCCAACTCTGAATCAAATAGCCAATTTTCACTTTCAACTCCCACTGCCCGTGCATTCACTGATTCTCCTCGAAAACAAATCATAAGAACCAATGTTCCCACAACTGAGGAGATTGTATCTTTGAATCTGAAAGAGGGACAGAATATGATAAACTTTGTGTTCTCGACTAGAGTTCTTGGGTCCCAAAAGGTTGGTAATTTATACACAATCAACATATCTGTCCATGTTTCTATCTATCCATCTACTGTCTGCCTCTGTGCATCGATATAGATATAAATAATGATTTTATGGGAATTTTGCAAGCCTTCATATTGTACCACACCTTACTGCACCAGGTTGAAGCTCATATATACCTGTGGAAGTGGAACACACGAATTGTAATTTCTGACGTGGATGGCACAATTACCAAGTAAGATTCTCATAACTGACTTAAATTTTTACGGCACAATGCAAGCTGTATTAGTATTATTATTATTATTATTATTGTTATTATTTTGAAGACAAATTTCTTAGTAATATTGTGTTGTAACTTGTTATTCATGATGCAAAATTCTGTATCTAGCATTTGACATTTGGCTGGATGCATTGCTGCTGACCCTAATCCTGAAATGTTATTGTGGTTTTTGGCTCATTACCATGCTTCTGAGATTTGATAAAACTGCATAAGTTGGACAGAGATCTATCTCACATTTTGATGGATGCATTACAGTTTTGTATTCTTGTTTTTAGGTCTGATGTTCTTGGTCAGTTCATGCCTCTGGTTGGAAAAGACTGGACACATTCAGGGATAGCTCGTCTTTTCTCTGCAATAAAGGTACTTACTAATATATGTTGTTTCCTTGGCCTAAAGGCATTGTATCGCTTCTGGACTTATGCTACTTATTTTGCCTCTGCCCATACCTGACATAAGTGAGTAGGATTTCCACACCACAGAATGAGATTTTTTTAAATGCAATTAAATTATTGGGAATCACTCTTGAATGATCTAATACAGGGTGCAAGGTATTACTCACAGTGTTTGACGAATACAAGTTCCAAGAATCAATCTCAAAATCTAAAAGAAATGTTGTTCGTGAAAGTGGCTACAATTGCATAAGTTAACTAAGGGTTGCTATATAAATGAAAACCCTCGTGCAATTTAAGACTTAAAATTAAGTTGGATAAAAATTATATAGAGATAAGAATCATTTGTAAGAATAGATAATTAGAAACTTAGGACCTAGTCAGGAAAAATTTTGGTGGTGGAAGATGATGAATAAGATTATATAAAGCTTGATCAATATTGGTTGTCATCAAGAGGTTCTGTCAGACAAGGTGAATTGTCTGTTCAAACAAGGTTTGTTGGTTAGAAGGTGTACTCGATAGAGTGGGAATTTGGTGAAGCATGAAGCTGGCTTAAGATTAGGTTGTTAGATGATTAATTCCATTGGTTATAGATATCCAACAGTGATGGGAATTTAGGTAAAGTGTGAGTGAGTTATAGCTGGGCTATCAATTGGGAGTTTTATAATCGCACTATGAAGATATATCAGATAAATGAAGAAATTTTTGTTGAATATAAGAGGTTATCCCGGAACTTTGCTGTATATTAAAAACTGTCAATTCTAGAAACCAAAATGATACTGCTGAAATCTTATCAGGAGTCGAAATATTTGGGGTGATATGTGGGTTTGTTGAAGGAACTCAACAATCATTAGAGCAGACAGAGATTGAAAACTTGTTGAAGTATGGAAATTTGTTGTAAGGGAGTGAAGGAAACCTTCAGTTGCACAAACCGACTGAGCATAAACGGATTCTTATTTCTGTGTTGAATTAAAAAATTGACAAAACAATATATTTTGACCAAAGGTCAATATCCAATTTCTGAAACTTCTGATTGAGATGCCATCACATGGGACGAGCTCTTACTGTCCTTTATTGCTTAAAACGATTGTCTTGGCTCCATGCTTGGTCATCCATAATCTCTATTGTTCGAAAAAAAGTAGGTGCTTCTGTTTGTTGAGACTTCTGGGCTCAGCTCCTTGTCTTCGGTTCTTGTGGCAAGAGTAGTGGATCCTCTATGATACTTCTAATGACTTAAGTTTCTCATCATAAGAAATTTTGAGTACTTGCAGTGAATAAGATATGTTGCACATAAATATTAGTAAATGTATTTATTCTGAGGATGCTTTGCAAGTTAGTAGTTTTGTGCTAATCTTGAGTTCTATTAGCTAAATTATTCGATTTCTCTGATGCTGCATTAAAATTGGAAGGTGTGCACATAAATTTTGCTGTACAAAATAACTAATAGGGTCGTATGTTACGCAGAGAATTTAGATTTTTATATCAAGTGTAGTGGTCTTACTAGTAACCCATGAACATCATCATCCACACAAATGTTCATTCAATGAATTCTGCAAATTATCATATTTTACAAGTTTGTATGTGTTCCTATTTAGTTCCATTTGACACTGGATAAAGATCTCTTAAATCATCCTGAGTATGCCTGTGTTAGGTATCTTTATTTTCTAGAATTTGACTATATGTCAAGCTGCTCTGTTGAAAGATTTTTGGGAAACTGTAACAAAATTTTGAGAATACTTTAGTATGTGATTTGAAGATGCACTAGCAAACCCTGCAGAAATTCTTGTATTTGACAAAATGGAATAGCTCTTTAACTTGATATTAGCATTAAAGTCTCTCGAAGGTCTATCTGTTACACCTATGTTATGGGAGGGCTGTGAGACTGGCAATGGAACCTGGAAGTTTTCATTTTTTAGCTTATTATGAAAGTTTTAATTAATTTGAATGCAATATCTTGATTTCTACAGTCGTCATATCCTTGCTTTTCTGCTACAGGAGAATGGATACCAGCTCCTATTTTTGAGTGCACGCGCAATCGTTCAATCCAATTTAACCAAAAGCTTCTTGTTCAACCTGAAGCAGGTATTTTTCTTGGACTATCAAATTTTACTGGAATCTGCTTTACTTTACCTTGTAATTCTGATCGACATCTGGTTAAAAATCACCAAGATTATTGTATGCTTCTGCTTTTCTCTTGTGCGATTTCCTGAATGTATTACTTCAGCTCCAAATTTTCTTACAACCTTGCAGGATGGGAAGAGCTTACCGATCGGACCTGTTGTTATTTCCCCAGACGGCTTGTTTCCATCCTTGTACAGAGAAGGTGCTTTCAGTTTCATTTCTACTTCTTACTTATCCAAACAAATATCCAATATTAGAACATCTATCCAACGACTTGTTATGATATAGAACTCTCATTCTAAACTTAATTAGAACATTATGAAATCTTTTCGTGATGGCAGTAATAAGAAGAGCGCCTCATGAATTCAAGATTGCCTGTTTAGAGGTAAATATTCGAAACTTAATCCCTCACTGGTCGATCATCTCTCGCTCATGATGCTCATGTGAGTCCCATTTTTGCAGGACATCAAGGCACTATTCCCTCCAGATCACAATCCATTCTACGCCGGATTTGGAAACAGGGACACTGACGAGCTCAGTTACCGGAAGATTGGGATCCCCAAGGGCAAAATCTTTATAATTAACCCCAAGGTACATTGTCTTTCATATATTTGAATCCAAAAACTTTCAATGACACTCGTAATTTTTTTCTCAGGGAGAAGTGGCGATAAACAACCGAATTGATGTGAAATCATACACTTCGTTGCACACACTCGTACACGACATGTTCCCACCAACGGAACTGCTCGAACAGGTCTGATAATCGCTACAATCATACGATGATATCGAAACCAGAAATTATAACTACTCGCTCATACTCGTTTTGTTTCATCTTCGCAGGAAGATTATAACTCGTGGAATTACTGGAAAATGCCGTTGCCCGACATCGACAACTTGTAGAAAAGAAGCTTTAGCTCAGGCCCGGAGATACTGGGCAGATTTTTGCGCCACCGGTATTCTTCTTCTCCTGCTCCCCGTACGTACGTTCAATGAATTTTTTGTCGCCTTTCTTCCTCCGGCTATATTGCGTATCAGTAAGTACAGTAGAGAACATTGAATTTTTGGCAAATGTAGAAAACCATTCCTGTAATCTAATCATGTTGTACGCCATTGATGCCTTATGAAGAAGTTAGAAGTTCTCTGGTGAATAAAGCAGTTTTTGATGATGAAATATGCTCTGCATCATTCTTACAAAATTCTTTCTGGACATTCATTCATTTATTTCATTCCATTCTCATTTATTTTGTTTGAGAAATTTATGATTCAGTTTGTTTATACTTTTAGTGTTAATGTATATTTTTACACTTTTCTATTGAACATGACAAAATTAGCTACATAACCACTCCAATTACTTAAAAGTGAATTATTTTTATTATTGTTGTTTGAAGGTGGGGGAACCGTTAGGGACTCCTGAATTTTAACTAGATTTCATTATTCACTTATTTTTAACTATATTTTTGAAATTTTTTTAAAATAATAAAATACTCCATCAGCCAGCCAATTATATTTATTTTGTGGGTAAAAAATCAAAATTTTTACTATTTAAATTCCGAACACACACACAACTAAGAAAGTATTAAATATTTGCTATGATTAAATTAAATGTCAAATGTAATAGTAGTTGATATAAAGTTTTTAATATAACACTATCATAAATAAAAATAAATACTTCTCCTGTCCCATAACAAAATATCTATTTTTCTATTTTAGTCCCCATAACAAAGTATTTATTTACTTTTTTAGTAACCGTACTATCTATCTATCTATTTTTTTATTTTAGTCCTCATAACAAAGTATTCATTTATTTTTTTTAGTAATCGTACTATCTATCTAACGTTACTAATACCTTACAACTTACAATATATTACACAATTGTCATTACCTTTATATCACACATACTAATAAGATTATTTTAGTCATTTCTACTTTATTCCTACTATTACACAATGTATTATTCTATATATTTTCTTAAAAAATGTTATTAATTAATTAATAGTACATTTGGCTTCTTATATAAAGAAGACCACACCCCAACAATACATGCATGCTCCCTCTGTCTTCTTTCTTTACAATAATAACTATTACAAACAACATATGGCCTCATCCATTTTTACTACATCAAACCAAGATGATCAATCTTACATAGACATAATCTTCACCCCCTCTTCACCACCCCACACCCCATCTAACACCTACTCATCCCAATCTCTCCGTCGCCATCGTCGTCGTCGCCGTTCTTCCATCGAATTCGAGTTCCAAACGTCCTTCACGCTCGATCGGGACGAACCCTCTTTGTCCCGCCGATACAACCTTTTTAACGAGGGGAAACTCGCCTCTCGACGACCCAATTCGATCGAGCTCGTCGAAGAAGAACATTACTATACCATTACATTCGCAACTGCGAGTGACGACGTCGATGACGTTGCCCCCGTCGTCGATATTCCTCATCGGTGGTCGCCCCCTTGCCTCGACGACATCTCTAAAATTCCGTCGATAGATTCGAATCGATTTGTAGCGACTTCTTGGATCAAGAAAGCGAGGCTGGTACTCGTTCGCAAAACGAGCGCCTCGAGGGCTTATCTCAAATCCTTACTCGTAAAATTGGCGTCGCGTTCGTGTTACGCGACGTTAGTTGAGAATAGGACATTAACCGCTCCGACAACCTCGGATGTAATGAACCGCCGTGTTGAGGATAACAAGTCTTTATTGATGACGAGTCTTCCTTTGTCCTCGTCGAGTTCTCGTTTTTCTTGTTCATCTTCCGATGCTTCTTCTTGCTCGTTTCGCGCTTGGAGTACTCGTGAGGTTCATTTTCTTAGCGATGATGACGACGACGACGACGATGTTTCGATCAATGCAGCCATTGCTTATTGTAACAAGTCTTGCAAATCACCTATGAACAACACAAGTTTGGGCAAACATTTCGAGGAGGATGTTTGTTATTTTGATATTTTTATGTGATCAATTGTTCCAAGTAATATATATATATATATATATGTGGTGTAATGTAATGTAATGTAATGGATCGATATGTTATTACTTATTTTGCAAAGCATTCAAACCTTTTTTAAGTCGACTTGTATGTTATCGATTTAAAAATATATTGTTTATCTTACCAAACAATTATATATATATATATATATATATAAAACACTATTAAAAGTTAAAGAAAAATGCTAATGATTGATTATTCATTCAAATAAATATTCAAATACTTAAATATGAATTTTAATAAAAATAAACAATAATTCTCTTTTATAATAAAAAAAATATAATAAAAATATTGTTTATGACAAATTAAAAATAATTAGATTTGTATAAATTTTACATTACAAATGTAGTAACTTGTCCGGATGAAATCTCCAAATTTTTTGTAATTTTTCACTAATTAAGACTTTACTTATGTTTCAAATTATTATTTTTTTTTTCTTACAGTTTTTGTCAATAGTTTACTTTTAAAAATACATTACATCACATTCATATTTTTATTTAAATTATTATATTAAAATTTTAATTGTATATAAATATTACAATTAATACATACTTACATCACATTAAAAACCTTTTTTCTTTTTTTAATATTATTAAAACTTCAAATACAATTTTTTCTTTATTTCTTTCTTTAAAATTATAAATTGAATATATATTTATTTTTATTTAATATATTATGTAAAATAATTTATTTGATTCAAAATACCAAATCAAAATTTTATTTCAATTTTAACTTTCACAAATTCCAAACTACATTCAATCAACATGTCTTTTATATTATATTATAAATAATTGGGGTTAGCGTGCTTAAGGTGCTATAAAAACACTCTTTCGACAACATTTTAAATAGAATTGACCAGTATATAAAATATAATATAATTTATATTAATATAATACAAATATAATATATAAATCAATAATAAATATAATATTCCATGTAACAAATATTGTCATTGATCTATTTTTATGTTTATAAATCACATTCCACATTGTCAATATATGATTTCAATTAACACATTGTTTAAAATATTGACTAGGCTTAATTTAACACCATAATAATTTTTTATTATAAATATTAGATAATTATATGAGTGGAAAATATAAAAAGATCTGTAAATTCATATAAATATTTATTTAAATGTACAAATATTCAAATTATTATTACAATACAAGAATATAGATAGCATTATTTAACACAATTTAAATTCATACAATAAAATAATGGATAATATATCATATCTTCGACAATGTTGGATTTGTAGATATTATTTGAGTATATGTAATAATAGTTTGATTTGATATTTGATAAAATAAAATAATATATTTTTTATTTGAAATTCTATTTGAAAATAATTAATATTCAAAATAAATACAATTATTATCTTGACGTCAAAAAATATAGAGTTTGTTCGTTCAATAATTTTTAGATGGTATGAGTTTGCATGAATATTATTAAAAGACTGCAATATATATACTTTACATATTCATAAAATTAATAATAACAGAAAAATATTACTCCTTCTATCATACAAATGTGTGCTCATTTGATCAGACACAGTTTTAATAAAAATGAGTAATAATTCTTAATTTTTTATTTTATAGTAAAAAACAGTACAAAAGTGGAATGATTTTTTACTTAAAAAAGGAATGAAAATATTTTTCCAAAAAAAAAATTGAGTATAAATTTGAACAACGAAAAAAATATATTTTATGATAATATTAATTTTTCATGTCTAACATAAAACACAACTGAATTACATTTTTAAATAATAATAATAATAATAAATACAAAATATTTTATAAAAAAATAAAAAAGTCAAAAAAAAATTAACTACTCATTATAAAAAATTAAAAATAAATTTCAAATACTCGTCGCTAAAAGTCAAAAAATCAAATTCAACTTAAAATAATATATTTTATATTTTTAACTTAATTTTTCATATTACACACTAAATATCATTTCACGCCAAAATGATCAATTCTTATATAAAGTTGTCGAGCAAAATAAGGGCATTTTAAAAAATAAAGTAATTATTAAAATATTTTTTTATACCCAAAAGTAAATGCAGAATATAACATTTTATATATATATATATATATATTAAAAAAAAAGGGAAAACACATATTGTACTTGCGATACACATGGATTTAAACATTATAAAATACTTTTTTTTAGGTATATTAATAAAAAAAACATAATTTATAATATAATATTAAGATATTCTAACAAACGCAACCTTACAAATCCATTGTCATCATAAAATGATATACAACGTGTGTTTTGTCGTCTTCCGGATCCGCGGCTCTGCGAACGCCACGTGGAGAAATCCAAACCAGTGATGTTATGGACTCGAGGTCCCGGGTGCTTTCAAAAACAATAGAATGGAACTGAAGCACTGTGGCACGTGTATGTATGTTGTTTGTATTTATTAGTATCAATCAAGAGAAATGCTGTTTAGAATAAAGTCAAATTTAAAAGTGGGCCCCAAAATTAATAAAATTACAAATTGGCTGGCAACGACATGTCGTGTTTTATCCACATCATGACCATCATCATGTTAATCGTTTTCAGGCCTTTTCATTATATTTATATATATATATATAATTTAAAATAAAATGTTGTATTCAAAATAATTTAATATATATTCTATAGACATATTAATGGTTTAGTAGGCTTTGAGCCCAATCATATTTGGGCCGACCGGTCCATTATAATTGTATTGGGCTCCTAACCGGCCCATTAAGATCATTAGTTATTTTATTTTACTATCAGTTTTTTAATTGAGTACTTATTATTTAAGAAGTCCTGCTTGGCAACTATTGTTTAGATTTGGTAGCTTGATTTCTGACATATGTGACAAAAAAAACTATTGTTATATTTTATTTGTATGTCCATTTGAGTACTGATACAATACAAGTCATATTTCATCTCAGCATGTGATGTCACTGCATGTTAAATTCATACTCCTTTCCCTTCCGTCTGCGTCTAAAAGTAAAAGTCGTATTTAACTATTTAACATTAAAAATATTTTTATATTTATATAATTTTTTTTTTTACAAATATCCTTCTATTAGTATTATAAGACAATAATGCAAATATTTTTGCAATTTTCTTTTTAATTTTTACTATATTTTGATATAATAATTAATATTCAAAAATTAACACGCAAAAAATAAATTAGACCTTTAGAACCGGACGGAGATAGTATAAGTATAAAATAATTTTACATTACACATATTACAATTAATCTTAACATATGCCACACAGAAGCATAACATAAATATATATTCTCACTGTCATTCAAACTTTATTTAACTTTTTTTTTTTAATTATCATCTAAATTTATTTCCGTTATTTGTTTCTAGTAAAAAAATATAATTCTTTTCTATTTTCTTTTTTACCATAAAAAGAATTTATAATTTTATCCATATTTTTGTAAAACTCACCTCGCATCAAATAGACATAAATTTACGTAACAAAAAGAATACTTATGTACTTAATTTGAAAATTAGAGAGAGTGTATCACCCGAGGATGAGAATGTGACCATTGCATTAATTTCTAGCCATATTTACAAATTAAAACCTTAAAATCCCAAAAAAAAACATTGTAAAAATTATATATATATAAACATTAATTCAGCATCACAGAGCATAGAGGATCTTATGTTCATCCTCCGCAGCCACATCCGAATTTTCCGACACGGCGGCGCCGGTGGCCGGCCACGACCCCCACCTGGTGCTGTTCCTCGTCGACGACCGCCGCAGGCTCCGCCTGGCCTCGATGCGGTACACAACCACCCAGTAGCAGAGCGTCCCGAGCGTCGTGGCCATGATCACCGTCCCGACGACCGTGACGCCCACAGCCAGCCACCGCTCCTTCTTCCCGACGACAATGTAGCAGAGGGCGAGGAACGCCACCGACACGAACGTGCACGCCAGCCACATCAGCTTGTTGATGATCGCCATCAGCTGCCTCTTCGCGTTCCTCTCCACCACCACCACCGACGTCTGCACCACCACCACCGCCAGCGATATGAACAGCGCCAGCGAGTCGAAGATCAAGAAGATCGCGAACTCAATGTTCGGCCCGATGTTCGCCTCCCCCAGAGAATACCCCGCCGCGACGTTTTTGGGATTGTCCGCGTATTGACCTGGTGACCAACATGGTTTTTTTTTTTTTGTTAACATAGCGTATATTGTGTTAACTGAAATCATGTAATAAGTTTCATAGTTTATCTGTTTAGCTCAATTAGAGTTGACAAAAATAAACACAACTCGAAAAATTCGAGCCGAATCCGACAAGAAAAAGTGTGCTTACGCCTAAAAAACATGTTAGGAAAAAGTCTATTGTCATGGCGCGTGTGGCCTAGCCTGGCCCAGCCTAATTTTTAAATTAAATATAATTTTAACAATACATTAACAAGTAAATGTATGTCAACAATGAAAGTATAGTGTAATAACTTAGTTTTTATCTTGTTAATATTAGGTTATGAGTTCAATTCTTATACTAATTGCCATGCCCGTCCCGCCCGAAGACATTATCGGGCCGGGCCGGGCCAGGCTAGCACGTAAAAATGGATCTATCTCAATTTCCTACCTCTAAGTTCAATGATAATGGGCTCTTAGTTCATATGCTGAATTTATTTATAAAATTAAAAAATCAAATCTTTACGATAAAAGTATTGTGGTAAATTACCGGGAAGTGTGAAAATGGCAGCAAAAGCGACGGTGGCGATGAGGACGGCGACGACGGTGGTCGAAGTTATGGCGTTGTTGAGCCCTTCGGATTGCATCTTGTTGAGGCGCTTAGCGATGCCGCGCACCCGTCGACGTGTTTGCCGTGTGTGCTCGAGTTGATCGTGCACCTCGTGCTTTATGTCGCTCACCGTTTGCTTAAGCTCCCGAGCGGCGCTCGGAGGCGCCGCCGCCATCGACTTTGCACTCTTAACTCCGTGCTCGATCAAAATGCTCGTGATTTCCGCTTTTCCGGTTTTCTCGGCGGTGTCCAACGCCGTCTCCCCCGACTTATTCACGACTTCTTTGCAAAGCCCTTTGTGTTTCAACAGAGTCCGAACAATCTATAAAAAGAAAAACACATACATATATAAAATAATGATTGAACGTCGTTAATTCAAAATAAAATAAAATTTATAAAGACTTATAAATTAACATACTTCGGCGCGGCCTTTGCGAGTGGCGATATGCAAAGCGGTATTGCCTTTTCCGTCGACAATGGCGAGCAAAGACTCGTCGGCAGCGATAAGCTCGTCGACGACGCGGGTGCTATTGCCCTTGACGGCCATATGCAGCGCCGTCTGTCCCTTTTTATCGCTCCATGTCACGATTCCCGGCTCTTTGGTTAGAATGGCGACGACGACCTCCAAATGGCAGTTTCTCGCCGATGAATGCAGCGCTGTCTTGCTGTTGTTTCGCGCTATCGTCGCGAGGCTGCTGTTTCTGTCCAGAAGGAAATCGACGACGCCGATGTGGCCCTGCGCCGCCGCCGAGTGTAGCGGCGTCGTATTCGATGGGTCCACCGTCGCCACCAGTTGGGGCATCGCCTCCATTAGAACCTTAACTACTTCTGCAGTGAAAGAAAATGTCCTAAACATTAGACTCTGTGAACTAGTTCATTTAAATATTTTTCGATACGATTTTCAATATTTATATATTTATTTTTTTTTTTGAAAAAATCAAAATTATTCGATACTTACCTTTGTCTTCTAAATTCATGCTCAATTCCTTTGTAAAATACAAAAAGAAAATAAGCACCAATTTTGATAACAAAGAAAGTATAAAATATTATTTTTATATTAGTCGTATATATTAATATTTTTAGAAAAATTATATTTACTTTGTAATTACTTTTTCATAATTATAACATAAAAATAAAATTTCTCTAAAACATCCTATTGAATACTAATTTTTTTTATTATTTTTAAATTTTGAAGCGAAAAAATATATTTTTTCTTAAAAATTGAATACTAATTTTTAATTGCACACCACATATAGATACAGGTATATATGTATATGTAAATGTAATAAGGAAATGGACCTAATCGGCCGAGCTTGGCGGCGATGTGAAAAGCGTCGTAGCCGTTTTGAGCTTTGAGGCCAGCGGAAACGACGTCATAGTGCTTGATCAACGTCTGGACGACTGCCACGTGTCCACACTCCGCCGCGACGTAGAGGGCGGTTTCGCCGGACTGATTCTGCTTGGACAGAAGCTGCTCCAGCTCTTCCTCATCGTCTTTACATCCGGCGATGATGTCGGAAACGGCGCCGGAATCCGCCGCCCTGGCGGCGGCGTGCAGCGGCGTGTCGTCGCGCTTGCCGCCGGTCAACTGCTTCTTCAATGGCTTCAGCTCCATCGCTAACTGTTTGAAATTAATTTGAAAGTCAAATGCGAAAAATTCGATCGGGTTTCAAATTAGGGCACAGAAAAGGGGGATTTTACGTTTTAGGAAATTCCGAAAGCTCAGATCGAAGAACTGTAAGAAAATTGCAGAGTGCACACGTGAAGCATATGGATAAAGTTCTTGTCTAAGAATTCGATCTGAACTAATTTTTGAAATTCCTTTCACACTCCATAACCATAAACACAGTATTTCATTCCCCACACGTTTTTCAACTTTATGAGCAGCAATCATTCCGCCATTGAAGAACCCTAAAATTGAAATCTCATCAAAAAAAAGAACATCAAAATCACATGATTCTGTAAGAAAGGGGACAAAGATTCTTTACCTGAAAATCAAACCCAGATTGAGATTCCAAAATTGCAGCTCCCCAAAATTTGTGAGATTCAAGAAATGGTTGGAGAAGAGAGAGGGAAGTAAATTAAGTGCACAAAAAGGCGACACATGGGTTCATATTGTGAACAAATTTAAAAATAATAAAAAATAAAAATAAAGAAAGAAAGCAATAATGGAGTATAATTATGGAAGAGGACACTAACAATGATTAGTTAATGGATCAATTTGGGGTACGACTGTCGAATGGTCCTCTTTTAGACTCCATTTTTACTGTGAAATTTGTAAAAACAATTTCAAGTTCAGATAGAACCGGTTCTGCTTCGTTACATGGCTAGGAATAAAATAATTGCAGTTATTTTTGGATGGTCCAGGACTTCAGAAACCAGGCGTTCTTTTCCGTGTGGAGTTTACATGACGCGTGGTGCCGATCCATCTGGTCATCAAGTCCTGTGTTTTCCCATACAATATTCGTCTTGAACTTAATAATTGATCAGCTAACGTATTTTCACTTATTTTATTTGATATTATTTATTTATAAAAAATATTACATTAAATACAATTTTTTTATCATAAAATATTAAATCAAATACTAATTTTTTATTTTATTTTTTCAAATTTTCAAAATTTCAAGAACATCCAAAAAAATCTCTATTTAAACATACCCGAAAATTATTTGTCACGTTAAAACTTATATGTATATATATATTATTTTATGAAAATAAGGCCATTAAATTATCATTGAGCCATTTTAATTTAAAACACGGTTCTCTATTACTAATCTTTTCAATTATGCTTTTGTATTATTCTATTAACAGTCTTTTTTAAAAAATATATATATATTAATATACATATTTTTTATTTATAATATTATATCAAAAAAATATTTTCTAAGGAACAATACAACATTTAATACTTCTTCCGTCTCAAAACAATAGGGATATTTGAGATGAATACGAGAATTAAGGAATAATACTCTCTCCGTCCCGTTTGAAGGGTAACGTTTGTTTTTTGTACGTAGATTTTTTAATATTAGTATTATATTGGATTGTAATAAAAAAGACAAAAATACCCCTCATAGTATGGTGTAATATAAAAGTAATGACATTTGTGTAATATATTGTAAGTTGAAATGATATTTATTATCTTAAGTAGGTAGTACAATTACTAAATTAGGAAACGGTAACCTTGTTTTGGGACGGACGAAAATGAAAAATGGTAACCTTTCAATGGGACGGAGGGAGTAGTATTATATTGATAATATGTGTAAAAGTATTTTTAAAAGACCAAAATTCCCCTACTTTATTTCATTATTGTAAAAAAATTGAGGATAATTTTTAAAAAATTGAGAAGACAGTTACCAAAAATAAAAATGAAACAATACTATCGTCTTGGGAAAGACGGAGCAAGTATATTTTTATACTATTATATATAACATATTTTCTATTCCATACAAAACAATAGTAGTAATTATTTAAAAAAAAAAAGTAATATTTTACTATTATCTAGTACAAATGTGTAAAAAAAATTTAAATTTATATAATTTAATTTTATGTATAAAATAATTACATATATAATATATTTATAATTTAAGTAAAAATTAAAATATTTTTTATTTGTATCAGTGTATGATGATTTTTGAATAATTACGAAATGAATATATTTTTATAAAAAATAATAAATAATTTAATAAAATGAATTAAATATATATAGCCAAGTTTGCAGTTTCACTTTAAAAAATGGTAAGACGACTGATGGCTATTCATAGTCATGAATAAAGACAGTCACAAAATCAGGAGTGATTGAAGAGAGCTCCCGGACTTCCAACACTTCACACTCCGGGAATCAATAGTTTATTCATTCATTCTAAATTCCAACAAAATAAATAAATAAATGTTTTTAGATAGTATAATTTATATAAATATCATTAAAAAAAAAAGAAGAGTAAAATACGATTTTTAGTCCCCTTTGTTTATATTCGTATCAATTTTAGTTATCTATATTATTAAAATAATAATTTTGATATATTTTATTCATATTTGGAGCGAATTAGTCCTTCAATTTTTAAAATAATAATTTTGACCTCTTTCAATTAATTAATATAGTTAAGATGTAGTCCTTAATTATTATTTTTTCAAAAAATTAATAGATGTTTAACTGTGTTTATCACTCAAGGCTGCTAGACGAAAATTAGGAAGTTTAGTACTCTCTCCGTCCCAATCAAGGTGCAACATTTGTTTTGGGCGCAGATTTTAGGTTGATAATATTAAGTAGGATAATTTAGAAATCAGGTAATCTGATTGAGAGATAAATGTATATTTTATTTTATTTTATTTGGGTGATGGAATGAGATAAAATGTAGGATAGAAATTAAGTATAATTAATTATTTTTTATTTTGGAAAATATTGCAGGATGTTTGAGTTATACCAAAAAAAAAATGTTGCACGATGTTTGAGACGGAGGGAGTAGAAGACTTGCTGAGGATACATGCATTGTCGTACATATTGACTATCCTTAAAAAATAGTTTACAAAAATTATTCTCCTTGTAATATCTATTGACAAACTAAATTTAATATCATGTTCATATCCACAAAAAGAAAAAATATATATTTCATTTTCTTAGACCAATAATTTAATTAAGGCAAACAATAGCTAACAAAAATGATATTGAGAACGACCAAATATATATTACTTGGTCATCCCATCCAAATCAATTGATACGTTTTCCTGTCTATTTTGTCCCACCTTAATTGATATATTTTTATTTTTAATAAATTATACTCGTATATATAACTGTAGGAGTATTTTGGTCTTTTAAAAATACTTTTACATTGTAATTCTAATTTGACCTGAGAAAGAATTTCAGAATCTTCATCCTTATTCTTTAAAAAAACATACACAAGACGCCCTTAAATCATCCAATCAGATTGCAACAAATTACTTTGATTGTGAAATTATCATTTCTTGTTAAATTTATATTAAAACAAATTATATAATTAAATTTTTTTGTTGCCTACGTCATATTTCTTTTATATTCTTTTAGATGCCTCCATAGGAGCATGGCAAGGTGGTCGAAGAAATCCATTCGAACAAAATGGATATCATCGCCTTTTCTTCAACTTCTTTAACATTACGCACTACATAAAACATACTTAAAATAACTGAAGCTTTGACTAATTAGTAAATAATTGAACAATTAGGCTGTGTTTGGTGCCAACAAAAAATAAAATAAAATAAAATAAAACATAAAAAATGAAGAAGTGAAGTAGAAATATCTATATTTATCTTATTTCTCTAATTTTGATAAATCAAAATTGAGAAATAAATAACCTTTCTTTCTCTAGTTTAATTTATCTCTCATTTGCACATAGATAAAATTTGTGTACTTATATTTTTATTTATTTATTTTTTTAAAATATATTATTTCGATTTTATAAAATTCATATCAAAACTATTATTATTAAAAAAATACTAATTAAACATGATAAGATTTATTCACAAATTTTTACTTAATTCATTGTTTTTCAGTAATTAATTCATTTTTCTTTATTTTTTTCATTTTGAAGTTTAATCTAAATCTATATATCCAATTTTTAAATATTTTTTACAAATTTGGGTATAAATTATTTATTATATCAAATAAAATACTAATTAGTTTTAATTCTTCGGTCAATTTATTTTCTCTACCATTCCTTTGTCTACTAATATGATAAATTTTATACTCATTAAGGCCGTAAAAAATAGTCCTATGGGAACCCGTGTAAAGAATTGAGATGGAGTCACAGAGACAAAATAAAATATACTCCCTCCGTCCCACGTACCATGTCATGTTACTGTTTCTGTTCGTCACACGTACTATGTCACTTTCTTTTTTTGGAAAATAATTACATACTTTAATCTTATTTTAATTTTTTTTTAATTTTTTTTAATTTTAATTAAACTAATTGTTTATCTTAATCTTAATTTATAATTATTTATATTATAGGATAATTATTTTCACTAATATATTCTTAATTATCTACTAATTACACTCTTATTAAAATATCATATCTACGGTGTAACAGACACCGATATTTGGGACGAAGAAGGAGTAATATATTGTAATGTTTCATAAAAAAAATTAATATTTTAATATAAAATATTATTTTTATATTATATACATGATTGTTTATATATTATATATAAAATATATATCAAATTGAAATACTATACAGATAAATTCATAGTAAATACAATTACCAAGACAATAAAAACAACAACATTACTAGTAAAATTAGATAGAGTTTAAGAAGTTTTAAAGTTTTGAATTTTTTTTTTAATGGTAAAAATATTAAGGGTTTGTTTGGTTTAATATTTTTCTTAAATAGTTAAAAAAAAAAATTATTTTGTTTGACTTTGATTTGAGTTTTGAGTTTTAATTTGAGTTTTGATTTTAATATGAATTAAATAATATTTTTATGTGATTTTTTTAAAAAAAATATATTTTATTTTGATTGGAAAAAGATGAATAATGTTTGATTTGAATTTAAATTAAAAAAGAAAAATACATTAAAAATATCAAATTGTAAAATATGTTACTATGGACAAAATATTTAATTTGATATATATATTTTTTAATTGAATATTAAAATTTTTAAAAAATATGTTGGTAAATTGAGAAAGGTAACAGTAAAAATGTAAAGAAGAAGTGGATGAAATTATGGCGGAATTGAAGAAAATTCAATGGCGGAGTCATAACAACAGCTGACTTTAAGACACTCTCCCACGTTCAAAGTTCAAACCATTGCCGGATTTAATAAAGTAATACTGCACTGCAATGCATTTTTTAATTATTAATTCATGAATCATTCCCTTCTTTTTAACTTTCCAAGTAAAGAATTTATTCCCGGCTGTCGTCCACATTTCAGGCTTCATCTCCTCAATTTGATCGACAACAATCGCCATTAGGGTTTTTGAAATCGATTTCATTTTTATATTCTTGTGATTGATTACTTGTTGCTCTTCTTTTCTTACTGAACAGATACGCCCGAAGGAGGGATTTCAGAATTCGATTTCTTTTTAAGCTGTCAAGAGGAATCCAAAGTATGTATTTCTTCAGTCTGATCACCAACTGTTCGATGAATTGTCTGCATATGAAAAATCACTCTTCTACCTTCTTTTTTTTTTCTTCAATGAGTTGAGGATCACTGTTCGAAGAAGAAACGTTGTAATCTCAAATCGATTGTGTGTTTTTAGAGTAAGATGCTTGAAATCTAAATAACTATTAAAAGTCATTTAGCCATTTGCTTAAGAAACCATTGTTGCTGTCATTTGTGCACAAAGTTCAACATCTGTCAACAAACAACTTAGAATTCATCGCCCCCCACCTAATTTCGATTTTTTTTTTTCTTTTAAAAAAGAAATTGTTTAGGGCAAAACCAAGGAGAAGTGATATAAGGTTAGCTGTCATAATTCAGTTTTTTTTTTTTTTTTTTTTAAATTCAGTCTGACTGATTTTCCTCTTGTTTGTTTGCTATATTTCACTTCTTTGATGTTTTTTTAGGTCTCAGGTTGGCTGATAATTGAACAGAGCAAAAGAAAGTGAGCACGTTAATGGACAGTGCAAAAGCTAAGCAGCAAAGAAGGTGGACCATGTCTCCTTCTTTGATGCCCAGGACTCTGTGGTCCACAAGAAGCCCCACCAAAGATGCACAATCGAACGTGCAAGTTGTTCTTCGATGCAGGTGGATTGGCAATCTTTCTTTTGTTCCTCGTATTTGCATCTTAATTTGATCACAAAGATTATGTTTTTTAATTTAAATGTTCAATGTGATTAGGCCTCTGACTGAAGTTGAAGTCGGGGCAGGAACTCCTGTAATAATTTCTTGTGATGATAAAAAACAAGAAGTGACCTTAACTCACACCACAGCTCACAAGCAGACGAATCGGATTTTTGCGTTCGACAAGGTTTGTTTGTTAAGATGCTGTACCAGTCAGTGCTTCTGTTTCTTGAGGAGTTCGTCCATTTGTCGTTGGATGATTGATTATATCGGTTCTCTGGTTAAGGTTTTCAGCCCGGAAACACAGCAGAAAGAGCTATACGACGATGTTGTGGCTCCCATTGTTAATGAGATTCTCGAAGGATACAGTTGGACCGTCTTTGCTTATGGCCAGACGGGAACCGGCAAAACTTACACAATGGAAGGTGAAGGACGAAAAGACAAGGTTTCATACCATTTTGAAAATTTTATGATGAAAGTAAATTTCTTTAATCTTTTGCTACTTTGGCTTCAATTATAAGTTTCATTGTAGAGCGGGCAATTCAATGAAAATGCCGGAGTTATTCCGAGAGCTGTCCAGCAGATTTTCGACATTTTGGAAGGCGAGCATGCTGATTATAGTGTTAAAGTGACATACTTGGAGCTTTATAATGAAGAGGTAACGGATCTTTTGGTCCCGGATGAGGAATCGAGGGGGCAATTAGTGTTAATGGAAGACGGAAAAGGTTCCGTTTTTGTTAGAGGTTTAGAGGAGGAGATTGTATTCAGTGCAGATGAAATCTATGAAATACTGGAGAAGGGAGCAACTAGAAAACGCACAGCAACCATTTTTCACAATCGAAGCAACCGGGCTCACTCGATTCTATCAATCACGGTGCAAATTAAGGAGTTGAGTGCTGTGGGTTCGGAGCTAATCAAGTGGGGGAAGTTGAATCTTGTCGATCTTGCTGGATCAGAGAACATACTTCGATGGGGCGGAAGAGAGGCGATAAATGTACGACAGTGTTTTTTACTTCATTCCATTTAGTAAGACAGCTGTGTTTTGATTTGAGAATTCGACTCTCTCTGTAGGTAATAGCGAGGGAAGCTGGTGAGATCAACAAGAGCTTGCTTACACTTAGCCGTGTTATCAATGCGTTGGCTGAGAATTCTGCACATGTTCCCTACAGGCATGTTTTATTCGATTACCTGTTATGCTGATTAAAGTTGCTGTTTTTCGTCGTGAAGCTGAGTGTGGAACGATCGATTGGTCGCAGGGATAGCAAATTAACAAGATTGTTGAGGGATTCGTTGGGTGGTACGGCAAAAGCGTGCATTATTGCAACAGCTTCGCAATCGATTCTCTCTCAGGAAGAGACACTCTGCACTCTTGATATTGCGTCTCGTGCCAGAAATATTAAGAATAGACCGGAGGTACGACAGCTGTTCGTTGCTCTATGATTCGACTTACTTTTAGTTAGTTGAGATAACAATTTTGACACTATTTGAGTTGTGAAGTAGTTAATAAGTTGGTTTTTCAGATGAACCGAAAAGTGATGAAGTCGACAGTGCTAAAGGATCTGTATACTCAAATAGACATTCTGAAACGAGGTTTGGTCACTCTCTGAAAATGAATTCAGTTTAACCGAATGCAGGATAAAGTTAACTATGTGTCTATTTTTCTTGCATCAGAACTGCGCGTGAAACGGGAAAGCAATGAAAGCAATGGAGTTTATGTATCACATGACAATAATCAACGCGCTGAAGAGAGAACCAAGAAGGTGACTTTGCTTCAAGTAATTCGATAATTTGCCATTTTTTTGCATAATCTGATGTAAAAGATTGTTCTGTGAAGCAATTGATGGAGCTACAGGAGATGTACCTTATTCAGCAACAGTTCACAGAAGATTTAAAAGATAAACTCGAAAGCACCGAGGTAACCTGCATGATAAGGTTTTTGAAACCATCTTTCGTCGTACTTTTTATTTCGCCTTCACTAATAACGTAATTGCGTTCTTCACCAGAGAGAACTGATCAAGACTCGCCAATCTTTACGTCATCTGGAAGATGAATATCAGCAAGCCAAAGATGTTATCAAAGATAAGGAGACAATGATACATAAAATCCTCTGTTCAGGTAAAAGTTTATTCAATCAAATAAATGCGAATTTCTGAAGGGATTTATAATTAAGTCAGAAAATTATTCATAACAGGAAAAGCACTTACAGAGAGAGCACTTGAATTTCGGTCTGACCTTGAGGGCGCCGCATCGGATGTATCCACCTTGCTTGCTCGAATTGGTTTGTGTTTATAGATACGAAGTTTGATTCGATATTATAATGTTTTCTCAATTGATTCTTAGTCACACTTTCTGTCCAACAGAGCATAAGACGCGTTTGGAAGACAGTAACAGGGACGATATGCAGAATTTTTACACACAGTTAGCTAAAGAGCTCGACGAGTTAAGTAAAGTTGTCTCGTCTTCAGCCGCACACCAAGAACAGAAATTTGAAGTGGTTCAAGACGAGACAAGGTCATTTGTAACATCAAAATCCGAGGTACCTTAGAATTTCAAATTTGTCTATCCTCAGTTTGTCTATGGTGGTACTACAGTCTCACATAATGTTTTCCGATAATTTTGCAGGCAACGAACGAGCTGCTCAAACAAATCCAAACTTTAAAGGATTTGTATGCATCCGGCGTTAAGCAGTTGGACGACTCAGCTGAAGAAATGTATCGAAGATCTCAATTAGGTTTCGGTGGATTGAGCAATGAATTATCAATCCATTCTTCATGCGCTGCCGATGTATGTATTTGTTCGATTTCCATTTATCCTTACTATAATCCGACTTCTTTTATATGTATTTGTATTTCATTAGTGTTTCTGGTGAGCAGCTTGTCGTGAAAAGCTCATCGATTACCGATTCAGCTAGCAACGATCTAAAACTCAACCTCCACAGTCTCCGATCATGTATAGACGCATTCATAAAGCAGCAGCAAGAGGTATAAAGAAGTGCTTTAGTCCTCGTTTTTTTGCATTTTCTTGTTTTATTGTTTTTTACGAACATTTGATGATGTTCGTGATACAACATTTTGTCATCAGAATCATGTCAGAACGTACGATGGAACCAGGTCCATCTCATACAGTCTTCTTAACTTCTTCGAGACTTTAAGGATTTACATTTCTAAATTGACACTCATGCAAGAAGATTCCCGTACCGTCACAACTCGGAAAATAAGTGACTTCACAAAGAAGTTTAAGGTATTTCACTAAGAATGTAATAACATATATATATTCTTACCGTTATTTCCTGTAAACTACACGGACTTATTTGATTCATTGTCGACTGCAGGATTTCGCTCTTGACGAGGAACTCCTTTTGGTAGACAAAATAACCGAGCTTTTAGCGAGTTCAAGAACTAGAAAGGAAAAAATGGTGAGTACTTCCATTCGAGAATTCTCATGTTTTTTAAGATTCAATTGATTATGTTTTTCCCTCTTAACAAACTATTGTCCATTTCGTTTGCCAGATTCAAGCAGCGGCCGATGATATTATAGACAGCACCCGTACACAACACAGCGGCATAAATCAAGAAATTTCCGAGATGCAAATTTCTACAGTGGCTGCTGAAGAAAATTGGACCAATTACATTCAGAAAATGGAAGCAAATTGTGTGGAAGATTCTGCTGTCGTCGAAGCTGGAAAAAGCATTCTTGGGGATGATCTTCAGTGCTGGTAAACCAATGAAATATCTGACCCTTTTGTAGCTTCTTTATTCAAGTTTTCTAGAAAATAGAAAATTTTACCGAACTTTTCGTATTACATATGCAGCATTATAAAGTCGACAAAAGTTGCAAAGCAATATAGAGTTGCTGAAGAATCCCTTTTGCATGTTCTTGAGGAAAATGCCAAATCAGTCGATTCGTTTATAAAGTGAGCTCATATACTGTTAGTACTACATTACATATGTATTGTATTTAGTAATTCATTCTCTGCCTCCATTTTGATCAGGAATGTCACAGAGGACATCGAAATAATCAAAGCCCAATATTCATCTGTTGCCTCGTCAATTCTTGAAGAAACAAATGGTGCCGGAGAAAATGCTATGTCTTCAGTAGAATGTAGGAAAATTTAAAATTACATTTTCTTACATGTTCTAAACCATGTTTATTACAAAACGCGCGTGCTGAGATTGTGCCGTTGTGTCTCCTACAGGTTTAGCAAAATTAGACCATGAAGCGACCGAGAAATTCAGCTCTATGAGTCGTTGCTTCCTTGATGGTACGAGAGAGATGAACAGCTTCCATTCAGAAAAGGTGGCTGAGATTTCTCGAAATGCAAGAAAATCCCTTGTCGAGGATTACTTGGTAAGAATTTAACTGACTATTTTAAAAAGAAAGGGAAAATGTAGGTTTGGTTCAATAAGTAGCGATCTTTTATCATTATTTTGAGAATTTGAAATGAGCCGTATCTGAAAATAGTTATATATCTCATTCGTCAACGTTCTTATTATCATAATTACATAACTATATATATACAATATATACAATAACAACCGTCATATATATATATATACTTATCAGGTGGACGACTCGTCAGATTTGAGCCCGAGGAAACGAGACTTCAAGTTGGCAAGTAAGGAATCGATAGAAGGTCTCATGAATGTTTGTGTTGGAAATTCATTAGAATTATCGCATTCGCCACCCCCCGACATTAATGTTGGAAACTCGATCGAGCCATGTCCGAACTAACTTGGCTAGAATTATTACATCGATGGTATGGTAGGCAGGTGAAGAAGAATAGAAACGTGACATTATTCTTTGTGGTGTTGTGCAGTAGAACATGCTTTTAACAGTGAGTTCTGTTTGTGAAATCACAGTCTCATATTTTTGTGGTGTTTGAATCCCACATCGACGATGAGATGTTGACTGTCCGAGTTTGTACATGAATTCTTTAGACGATGTATTTTTATAACCCAAGTTTTTATGAGTGTGTTGATACTATTTTATTTTTCTTAGTTTATTAATAAATTTTATTTTATTTTTGGTCAATCTTTGTTCTAAGATTAGTGACGGAAATGGATAAATGCATGGGGACAAGAGGCAACAGTTTCATACACTTGCTTACATTTAGACATTTAGTCCAATTTTGACACGTGACATGACCATTGTTCCTATTTATGTTACCATCTTCAATAATGCACACATGTTGTCTATTCTCTATTGTCTGGAACTTATATTTTTATTTATATAGGTATTTCTAATTTTTTATATTATTTTTTTTTTAAATAAAAATTATACTGTCAGGTATCTATTTTTATTTACAAGATATTGTATTAAATATTGTTTTTAATTTTATTTTCAAAAATCCAATAACAATAATAGTAATTTAATTTAATTTAATTTTCTATATTAAAATATAATTATGATTGGTTAAAAATATTCTCATACTTATATATATTTTTAAAATACTATTATTTTTAATACATATAGACGTAAGTAGTAAGCATAGAAGCATGGGCATGATGGCAAACCACATCGACTCCATACATAACATACTCATGTCCTCTCTCTCCACCCTAACCTCTCCTCTCCTCCGCCGATTCACTCTCGCCGCCTCCGCCGTCTCCCGCCGCCGCCTCCGCCGGCTCTCCGCCATCCTCTCATCGCCGGTACTCTTTTCGCTCACTCTCCGCCGCCTCCAGTCCCTCTCTCTGCACCACAAATCGCTCATTGTCGCAAAATACCTTTTATCCAGCATCGAGCTTCTCAAACAATTCGCTGTAAACGACGTCGTCGGAGGTCATCGAATTGCACCTCTGTGCTCCGCCGTGAAGCTCCGCGACCTCGATGCGGTGCTTCTCCTCCTCCTCCTCTGCGAAATCCACCAACACGATCGGAGATTGCTGCTCGACGCCCCGCTCGCGCGTTGGCGCGTGGTTCTGAGCGGTTACGTCTCGGATTCGATTCTGCGGATTTCGAATTTCGCCGGAACTTCTAGCAGCGACGTTCTGGTGCAGTACGTTGAATCAATTGGAAGATGCTGGGGTTTGGTTAGTGCAATCGGCGGCGGTTGTGGCGTGGAACGGAAGGAGGTTCCGGCTTCAGCTGCGGCGGTGGTCGCGCTGCCGTCCGTGGCGGCGACCGGCGGCGGAATTTGCGCGATTTGTACGGAGGAGATTAGCGAACGGCGAGAGGTTTGTGAGTTGCCCTGCCGCCATTTGTTCCATTGGATGTGTATACTGCGGTGGCTGAAGAAGCGCGACTCGTGTCCGTACTGCCGGCGCCGCCTCCCGACCGACGACGTCCGCCGTGAGATCGAACGGTTGTTGGAGGATCTCGCGAGGATCGACGGTGGAGGAAGCTCGCATCGAGACCATTGCTCCGTACGGTAATTATTAATTAATTAATTTGCAAAAAATAATAATTAGAAAATCATTTTAAATTAATGGTATATATTCTATTTAGTATTTAATTTAATTTGAGGTACAATTTTATAATTAGTTATAAATATTGTTTTCGTGATAGGGATATATTGGAATTAAATTTTAATATAATTAAATGAAATGAAAACTGAACGTTGATGAGTAACAGCGACATAACTGGCTGATGATAACAAAGGCGGTTGTCTAGGGCCTGTTTGGATGTGTGGTTTTGGATTAGGACTAGCTGTAGGAATTCGCACCTCAAATTTTGGATGTTACATCGAAAGCCAAACGCACACCACAAGATGGACGTAAATGAAATTATTCCATCACTAGACATTTTTAGGCTCACGTCTTTGTTTTAACATGCTGATTTGTCGGTCGCTTATCTTACGTGGCATTCGATTGTTGGACACGTCACATTTGTCTGAAGTCTAACACAAATAATTTAATCATCGAATGATTGCAGTATAAATTAGTCCTAATTAATATATGAAATATAATTCAAAAATTAATAAAATATGTTGTATTCAGGCCTAACAAAAATTGACACGAGACCATAGTTAAACATGAATTCAATACAAAATTATCGAATTTGGATTAAAATTTTCGATCCGATTATATATATATATATAAAAGTTAATAGGTCCTCAACTTGAATATGATATGATAATTTAATTATAAAATATTAATATTAATTCGTATATTCTAATTTGATAATTAAATTTAATTTTAAATAATTAAATCTGTATACGAGAACAAGAAAAAAGCTAAATATGAATTGGACATTATAATAATCAAGTCAAATTCTTTAGTCCAGTACGACCCTAAACCCATCGTCAGGTTTAAAGTAGGCCCAAAAATACTTAGTAATGGGCTGGGCTGGGCTAATCGATTGGGCCATAATTAGCTTCCTTATCAGAATATTTATTTTGGTAGTAAGTTTATTATTATTTATTTAAATAGAGTTGCTTAATTTAATGAATATTCTTTGATGATGAGTTTGGGGATTTTCATGCGCGCTTCTTGTAATAATTAATCTGCAATCATCAAAAGTGAGCTAGAGAGGTTTTGCTGGATTTTATTAAATTTTAATATTAATTTGGTCACTGTAATGATTTGCAATGTTGTGTAGTGTTTGTGAATCTATTGAAATGAATGATCATTTGGATTTCACTCCAAGTTTTCCTTTTCTTTTTCTTTTGTTGCCCAAAAATAAAAAAGATGCGTGCTTTGTTTATTTGAATTTCTTTTCTTATAATGTTCACTACAAAAATAGATTAAAAAAAATTAAAAAATCAAACAGACATACCTAAATCTTGAATTTAATTAGGAGTTTGTATATGATTTGATATTTTATAAAATGAATATATTTAATAAGATATTTTAAAAAATAAATTAATAATTTATTCGTCTCAATTCAAAATATTTTTTTAGCATTTTTATCCGTCTTTAAAAGTATCTAATTTTTAATATAAAACTCCAAATAATCTCTTTTATTTGGGCAAAAGAGTATAATTTTTTTAAAAAAATATTTTGATTTTAAAAAAATACTCTCCCGGTTCCGTAAAAAAAGCACCATTTGCTTTTTGCACGTAAAACTTTTTTAATATTAGTATTATATTAGTTTGTAGTAAAAAAACGAAAATGCTCCTATTAGTATGATATGTTATAAAAATGATGACATTTGTGTAATATATTGTAAGTTGTAACAGTATTTATTATGTTAGGTAGATAATACAGTTATTAAATAAGAAAATAGTACCCTTGTTTTGAGACGGACAAACATAAAAAATGATACTCCCTCCGTCCCAAACAAGGTGGTACATTTAAGTTGGACACAGGATTTTATGTGAGAAATATTAAATGAGATAATTGAGTAATTAGATGATGTAATTGAGAGAAAAATATATATTTTATTTTTTTTATTAGGGCGATGTTACGTGATAAAGTGTGAAGATATAGATTAAGTATAATTAATTATTATCTAATTTATAAATATTGCAGGATGTTCGGGACATACCAAAAAAGAAATATTGCACGATGTTTGAGACGGAGTGAATATTATTTTTATGGGAAGACAACAATATTTTTGTAGGGTAGGGCTATTTCCCAATTTGAAAGGTAGATGAATCATTCGTCCTTCATTCCCAAAGCAGATCCAAAACCATCTCCATCTTCATTTTACTACAAACCAAAAATGATAAAAAGATTGTCTGAAAATGGCAGTGAGAATAGAACACAAGCAAATTATATGGATGTGTATAAATAAAAATTTTAATTTTTTTTTTTTAAAAAAAATAAAATAAATAGTAGCTACAAAATAATTCTAAAAATATTTATATAACGAGATAACATTTTTGTTATCCATTTATGTAGTATTACTGCAATTTCACCATTGAAGAAGACAACAAGTTAAAAGTGAAGTGAACACGAGAGACCTCACCTCCCATAGATCCAGTCACAGAGGTGGTCCCCACATCTTGCCACCATGTGACTCTTTCTCTCTCTCTCTCCCTCCATTCTCTCTCTCTGCAAATACTTTTTTGTCTTGTTTCTCTGTCTCTCTCTCTCCGTTTGAATCAAAGCTTATTTGCATTCTCATTTTGATCAGCTTAAAGTTAACAGTTTAGTTAGAGAGAGAGAGGGGGAGAGAGAGAGAGAGAGCAGTTATTATTGCAACTTTAAATTTAAAGGTAACATAGAAGCTAAGGTGGTCTCATCAATGGTTCATTGGTTGGTTGTGTGGTGGAGACACCTTTTAGAAACTCCAGGGAGTTCGACTCCAGACTGTGTCCCCCAAACTAATCAACTGTGTAGATTCTCCCCCAGCGCTGGAGTCCTGGGAGTGCTCAAGAAACACATCACCAGACCCCTCCTGATATTGCTAAGTTCAATAATGGCACTGCCCCAAAAAATAAAAAAATCAATCTTTATTTATTTATTTATAATACCTATATATATAACTTTTTATCATATCAGTCCTCACACAGTATAAAATCTCCCCAAAGAAGTGCTATTTTTGATCGATTTAGAGTTTGGTCAAGATCAGGACATATATGGAAGACAATGCAGAATCAAAACCGCTCTTTGGGTAAGTTTTTATTTATTTAAATTAAATAATTCATCTCTGAGTATTGTGGTCTCATTTAGGGTTTTTTTTGAAATTGTAATTTTCAGTGAGAAGGTGAAAATGGAGGGAGAAGGAGAAGCAGAGAGTGTGAATGTACGGACAGTGAATTGTCTGAGGGGCAGATTGCTTGCAGAAAGAATGGCTTCCAAACACGCCAAAGAGGAGGCGCACATTTTAGGGAACAAAGTATTAATTAATTAATTAATTGTTTTTTGAAATTTATTTATTAATTGATTGATTTGTTTGTAATTATTTAATTGAATTGAATTAAGATGATGGAGCTGGAGAAGCTTCTAGAAGATGAGGAGAAGAGGAGGAGGAGAGCAGAGAGGAGGCTGAAGCGTGTGATGAAGAAGATGGAATCTCTGAATATTAGTATTACTACAACTACAACATTGATATCTGATGAGTTCGACAAATCTGAGGTTTCTGTATCTTCTTCTTCTTCTTCTGATTCTTCGTTGTGCACCAAAGATGTTGGAGAAAGCATCATGACCATAGTCAATGGCAATTTCAATTCGACAAATAAGAATGAGAAATTTGAAGATGAGGTTGAGGTTGAGATTGAGGAGAGATCTTTTTTTTCTTCTTCTTCTTATTGGGAGAAATCGATCTCCTCTTGCAACAACTTCTCCAACATGGATTATGACCAAAGGTAACTACTACTACTACTACTACGTATTAACTAGTTAATTTAATTACTCTTTCAGTCCAATTGTATACTCATTTCACCGAGATTCTAAGAAAAATAGGTAAAATAATAATTATTTTTTTGATAAATAAAAAGTAGAAAAAATAGTATGTTTTTTAAAAATAAATTTAGATTACAAAAAATAATAATAATAATAATAATAAAAGAAATGGATATTTTATTAAAAATATATATATATATAATTGATGGTACTTTTAAAATTTTCATTATTATTAAAGTGAGCATAGAAATAAAATATAATACAAGTAAGTGAAAATAAATTTAATTTGGTGGACGAAGGCGTTTTCGAATAAAATTAGCAGTAGATATACTAGTTTTGTAATTTTGCTCATTCATGATTCATGTTCATGTAGTACCACTGTAAAATCTTGGAGGGAAGAACCAATCGAGCAAGACAAAGACGACGATGATGATGGAGTGGATAACTCAATGGCTTTAGTTCCGGTGAAGGCGGAGCAGCAGCAAGAGCAGACAAGAATCGATCCCCAAGTTCTCGACAAAACTGTGAAAGAAGTTCTCGATGCTTTGAAGTATGCTAAAGAACAGCTGCAGAGTTCGATGGAGCGCCGCAGCCGTGGCCGGAACATGATCAGGGTTGGTTAAAAGAGGCTTAAAATATTCTTTCTGTTGTTTGATGAAAAAGAGACATTTGATGTGTTTGTGAATAAAAATGGACTCCATTTTAGATTCGATTTAGAATGTGTCCAATTTAGTATTTTAACGTTAAAAAATATTAATAAAAAATTACAATACATACACTTGACAATACTTTTAACAATACTCAAGAGATCATCTATCTGATGGTGTAGAAATGGACACAATTACACATTATATAAATGTATTTCGAGGAAGAAAATAAAACACAACTTACGGTGTATATACTTTGATGTTTCGTACCTGTAAATATCTCCTTTCTTCGATAGCTCCACAAAGACCTACTCGACCTATTCTTCAACACAAGATCATTAGTATCACATTTAACAGCATACCTCAAGAATCTCGGCAAATTAATTTAAATAATAATAATAATAATAATAAGCATCGAATACAATGTTAAGAACAACAATACTGGAAGCATCGGGGCGAGGAATTATTATCACACCCCTTCCCTTGCTGGGTGTAAGAATGTTACAACAACTATAGTCTCACAAATAATTTAGATATTTTAAAAAAACCAAAAAAAAAAAAAAAAGAGTATCAAGGTTTTAATGGCGCACGGGTCGCCACTCTTATGTTATTTAAGCCTTGTAAAGACAGACGGAAAGGATTACGCTTTCTGCAAAACTTTTAAGCATGAACAAACCATGCGAAGCAACTGTAAGAAAATTAAGCAGTGGCCGACTGTTTGTCTTCGCTCTCATCAAGGTTCAGGGCTTCTAGAAGTTTCGGCCACGACTCTGGTATGCCTCCCGGCAAATCAAATTCCAGCAACTTCCCTTGGCTGCGATAGAAGCCCTCCACGGGCTGACTCTGCAGTTGTCCAAATAAAACACAATTATTGTGTAAGAAATCGAATCTTGGAAGAAAACTAATGATTTACACAAGTATCTTATCTATAGAATGGTACCTTTTCATTATATATACGGAGCCGTTCTTTTACAATAGCTTCAGTATCATCTGCACGAGTGATGAGCTTTGAAACACACTTGGATGGAGGGAGGAGAGGTGCCATGCTTATGTCGGGTTCCCCATTTTCGCCTTTGACATTAATCGAGGCCACATTGAAGTTCTTACCACATTGGCCACAAAGTCTTCTTCCTAGGCATTTCTCTATTAGTACCTTTTCTGGGAGCTTGAGATTTACCACGAGATCAATGTCTGTCACATCATCCAATATTTCCTGTGTGAAAATGAACCATGTATTTGAATAATAACACTAATAGATTAAAATTAGTGTTGTATGTGCGCAAAAGTTAACAATTTGTTTAAGAGCATTCTTCGAAAAAAAACAACAAAACATAAATTCTTCACGCGAGCAGATGTGACTGTAACATCTCTTTATAATTTGTACAAGCCAATTGATTCACTGAACTAAGTAACATAAATTTCGACCGTATATTTACCAACAAGAACCGGATATTAATGAAGCGTATAGTGAAGCAAATGCAACATACACTATAAGGATAGCAAATCGTTTCATTGAACTAATTAACATAACTTTCAGCCATATCTTTACCGACAAGGACCAAATATTAAAGAAGCTTATAGCGAAGAGAGTGCAACATATGCTATAAGCGTTGCAAATCGGTTCACTGAACTAAGTAACATAAATTTCGATCATATATTTACCAACATGAACCGAATATTACTGAAGCTTATAGTAAAGAGAATGCAACATATGATATATGGATCGCATAGAGCGACAGCATCAGAAAATCAACGAGCTAAGGAAACACTTGAATAACTGCCTAATTATCATTATACAGCAATACTAAAAGCCAAAATTTCTCACAAAAGCAATCGGCACAAGAAGCACATGTAATTATTCATTTCAATCGTTTACAGCATCCATCTTTTCAATAGCTTCAGGATAGAAATTTTACTTACAGCTTGTCTCACTGTGCGCGGGAACCCGTCGAGTATAAACCCAGATTCTCCTCTGGATTCTCCCACCTCAAGCCTCTTTGACAATAAATTTATGATTATCTCATCTGACACCAATTTACCCTGGTTTACAATGTCAGCAAGCTGCAAGAGCAACAGCATCAAAGTTTAAAACAGAGAAGAAAAATCACGAAATCATCAAATAGTGAAATAACAAGACTTGAATATCAAAATTTGAGATTAGAATGCATCCCTCGCATCATTAAACTTAAGGAATGTTCAAGATCTGCTGAAATAATCTAAATCAAACTGGTAGAGTATACATGGGAATCTCATAATCTCATTTCTTAGACATCATTTCATCCGAAACTACCGGAATTGGTGTCAATTCCAGAAATAAAAAACGCAAGATAGGTTCAAACGATCGATGGCAGCACATACCTGCTTCGACAGAGGACTAGACGTCGCGAGCTCCTCACGAACCAGATCCCCGGTGGCGATGTGAGGAACGCCCAATAGAGTCGACAGCCGACTCGCGTATGTTCCTTTTCCTACACCAGGACTTCCCAAAAATACCCACTGGACACTCCTGCCCTTGGGATCTATCCCGGTAGGGCACGAATGGGACTTCAATTCGGCGCCGGCCGCCGTCGATGCAGACCTCCGGACGAGAACACTCGCCGAGGACGGCGAGGATACTGATCTAATCAGACGGATCGCGGCCGCCATTGACTCCGGAGCCAAAAGAGAGTTAGGGTTAGCAACGCCGTGTAGTTTTCTAGGCTTTGAGAGAAGAATTGGGCGAATATTTCTCGAGATTCCCAATTGATCCAAGGCCTTGTTTGGAAAAACGTTACGCATATTTTATGTGTATATATATTTTTAATACTCTTTCGGTCCAAAATTTAATATTCATTTACTTTTTCATCTTAGTATTAAAAATATTATTATTGTATTAAAATATAATAGAAATAAAATAGAAATAACTAAAATAATTTTATTAATACGTGTGATATTTATTAGTATTTATTAGTACGTGTGATATAAAATTAATGACATTAATATATTGTAAGTTGTAAAGGTATTTATAATGTTAAATAGATAATACAATTACTTAAAAAAAATATATGTGTGCTTATTTGATCGATTCAAAATTTAATAGAAAAATGTAAAAATATTTTTAGGACAATTAAAAAAAAATGAATAAATTTAAATGATTCGAGGGAATATTAATTATATAATTGTAATAATATTTTAATAATGTTAAATATGTAATATAATTATAAAATTAAAATATAATATCCTTAGTACAATTATTTTATTTTTGTCTAAAAAAAGAGAGAAGAAACAAATTGGGTATAATTCTTTTGGTTGAGTTTAAAAAATTTTGAATTTGATTTAATATTAAAATAATTTTTAATAAAATATTTTATTAAAAAAATATATTTTTTTAAAAATACAGATAATCTAAATAATAAAATTTTAAAAAATTGAGATAAAAAACAAACACAACATGGCCCGTGAGCAGATATTTTAGCCTCAACCAAACAGAGCCGCGTGCTCTTGCTTCTTATACAGTTTTATTTTATTAAACAAAAAAAACGTGAAAATAAAATTAAATACTTGCCACGTGGACGCGGATTTTCCACTAGCATTCCAACGGTTAAGGCATCCGCCACGACCACCGCCCTTCCAGAAGTTTCCACTACAATGGCAGCGTCTCTCTCGCCAGTCGCACCATTCACCGGCGGTGGCGCCGCCGCTAACAAAATTTCTATTCATGTCCAATCACCGGGCGTCATCGCAATAGTGCCTCGAAGATGCAATCCTCTCCGTGCCAAATCGATTGTTGAAGATTCAATCCCTAAGAGGTTCGTCAGTGCCTACGCAGTCTCCGGTTCCGCAGGTAAGCGTCAAATTGGAAATGTTTTCTTTTCAGTAAGTTTCCTGTGTTTCAATTGTGAGGTTATCGTTTTCTAATCGATCGTTATTGCATATGAGTTGATCAAATTGATTCTCAAAGTGGGAGTAATACTTTTTAATTTCGAATTGCGTTGAGAAGCAGGAGCTGACACTTCGTCCATGGTTGAGGGTACTTATGACTCACTGGACAGTGTTCTAGTGTATGACTTGAATGGGAATGAAGTTCGGATTTCTGATCTATGGAAAGAAAGGAAAGCTGTGGTTGCATTTGCTCGTCATTTCGGGTGAATTTGAGTCAAATTTGAAACACTGTGCATCAATACTTGTGTATATAAACAAGTGTTATAACTGTTACTTCCATTTTTTTGCTGCTTCAGATGTGTGCTCTGTCGAAAAAGAGCAGACTACCTCGCAGCCGTGAAGGTAAACTGCAACACGAAAATCTCTCTGGATTATCGAAGAGCGAATTGTTAAGAAAATGTGAAGAACATAGAAGATGAATGAAAACCATACAAACACATCAGATCCTAGTTTATTGCTGCAAATTAACTTAATCTTTTTGCTACTTCTCTGTCACTAGTTATAGGCATATCCACATATGAGAGATATAAGTCACTCTAAACTTTCTTCTGATGATAGTATCAGTGTTTAATCCATGCTTATGCTACTGTGCTTAATTCTTCTTTTTTGTTAAAAAGCACTCTCTTGGTTGCGTTTTGCTAGCTACAACCATAGTGCTCTAATTATCTTGCAAAAGTTTCAAGATTATGTGATTTGGGGTTGCAATCTCCATCTTGTCCTGATTTAGGGGTTTCGCTTATTTAATAGGACAAGATGGATGCAGCTGGGGTGTCACTTGTTTTGATTGGCCCTGGTAGTATTGATCAGGTAATGACTAAGCAATTCTTGTTTGATGGCCATTTTCATTTGAAGTATTTATAGTCCCTCCCTTTTGCTGAAACTCTTCATTTGAGTGGTGGTTTATCTTGTTGTGGCAGGCAAGAAAATTCTCTGAGCAAACAAAGTTCAAAGGGGGTGAGTTTTTTTATTTTATATTATAAATATTGTTATATATTCAGTATGGAAAGTGGAAACTGTAAATTAGGCTTGAGAATGATCTTCAAGACGGACAAGGTACATGTTGAGCATGGTTACTTGGCCATCTGTTTCTTTAACCAACTTTACTATTTGGATTTTGTGTTTTTTAAAAAAAAAAATACACTTTTTTCTCTCACAAAACATCTCATCAAACATTATTTTTATATCAAAATCAAACCAATTTTTTCCAAACTCAACCAAAAGAAACACTTATTTAGGAGTTTCTCTTCATGTTTTTTATTCAAAATGTCTTAAGCAAATATCATGTAAAATTTTAGTTTGGACACCATGTGAATTTTTATACACTCCCCCCATAGCATTAGTCATAAAGAGGGAATGGTTGTTAGCGCTGCCCGACATAAAACTTAAAACAACATCTAGTGTAATTTGTCGATTAGTGATGGTTGCACCTTGCACACATATGTTGTCAAAATGGTGCAAGTTCTTCTTTCGTGGCTATCTTATTACAACCTTTTGTTGTGCTTTTTTGTCCATTACAGAGGTATATGCAGACCCTAGCCATTCATCATATAAGGCACTAAACTTGGTATCCGGTGTCTCCACCACATTTACTCCTGGGGTAAAACAATGATCTAGATCTTGTACGACATCCATGAGCTCTTATAGCTTCTTCGGACACTTTTCTTGACTTTGAACATTGTATATCTGCATCTCAGGCAGGTTTGAAAATAATACAAGCATATGTTGAAGGATATCGGCAAGACTGGGCGCTCTCCTTCGAGAAGGATACGAGGACAAGAGGTGGATGGTATGTTTCTCGACTCGAGTTTCAAGTGAAATATTATCCGTCTTCTTATACTTAGCAAAAAGGTGTACTGAATTTTTTAATTTATCAAGAATGAAGGGCACATTATATGACAACAGATAACACATCATTTATGTTAAAATAATACAAATACAATACATGAACCGACGTTTCATAGCAATTGTCCACAACATTTCAACCTGTCTTTTGATTATTGTTACTTTTGATCTTCTCTATTCCATCTGATAAATCAAATGTATATGCATTTATTCGACTGTTGAATCGTGGCTTCAAATGCATATATATTGGCTCGTTTTTCTCTCGAGTATTTGACCATTTTACCCCCACAGGCAGCAGGGAGGCATCATTGTTGCTGGCCCGGGTAAAAATAACATCTCCTATCTCCACAAGGTTGATCTCGATTCTTACTACACTGCGAAACTTACTTTGCGCGTAGCTAACTTGGAAATTCTGGCTTGTATTCGTATGTTTGAGGCTTATTGTCGTTGGTTTTCCTTGTGTAGGACAAAGAAGCTGGAGATGATCCAAACATAGATGAGATTTTGAAGGCCTGTTGTTTGCAAGGCAGCTGAGATAAGTAGTTGTCTCTTCATGCAACATTCTGTGTATTGTTATTTTTATATACTGATTTAATATTTTTATAAATAATACTTATAATCATATATATATATATTATATATTATCATATATTTTTGACAAGGGATATCAATTTGTGCATTCTCATAATTTTGGATTTTTTTTTTTTAAAATAATAAGTTTGGATAATTAGTTAAAATTTGTTAGAATAACAAATAATCTAGCAAAATTTGATTTATCGAGATAATAAATAACAAATTATGGATAATATTAGGGTTTCGTATATATATAGCTGACTCTTAATTTTATAAATTGTTCGTTTTAAAACTTTTGATTTTGTTTTTATAAATCATATTCTTTTTATACATATTAATATATTTTCTTTGATTCTTTAACGAAGATAAACATCGATGTTTTGTTAACAATCTGATAAAGTTAAAATTTTGAAGGAATGTTCGACCACAATTTTATATAATATATGTGACAGATTTTTTATTTTGTAATTTTGATCTTAATTTTTCTTATTTTCATCGATTAATAATGTGGTGATTGGAGCATGTTTACACACATTCTTAAAAGATTTTTTTATTTTTTTTATCTTTTATTTTTTATTATCGTAATAGATTTTCTATTTCATTTGGTTGATCGTGATTTTTATTTTATTTTAAAATAAAATTTTTCGTATTTTTTATATTTTGTTTGCAATATGGTCATCGGGTTATTGCAAGGGGATTATAAAATTCTTACACTAAATTTTTTTGTTTAATTTTTAAAATTTTAAACTTGTGAATTTGACATATAGCATTGTAAAGCCGAAGCGTGTGTTTATTTTGTGTTTTAATGTAGAGAAATTTATTTGAGAATTGTGTATAAAAAATAAAAATAAAATTTGTGTAATATATTAATTTTTTGAAAAAAAAAATATTAAAGAAACCAATCTTAAAATTTTTTGCTACTTTAAAATTTTCTTTTTTCTTTTTACTTTTTGGCAACTATGTATTGCACTACTTAGTATTATTACCATTTTAGTCCTCACAAATATTCATGCAATTTCTATACCGAAAAATCTTTCTATTATTTTTTTTCACATATTTTTTTTAAAAATATGAGTACACTACATATATTCATTATATTTATATTTTATACACAATTCCCTACGTCTCATATAAAAAAATTTTCTATTAAAAAATCTTACAAAACAAACACACCATAGGTGTGTTCATTTATAAAATTTTACGAGGTTCAAATCCCGATGCTTTCAGATTCACATGTCATACATAGTTCGTCTAGTATGACTTGCTTTGTTGAACTTAATTTGCAGAGTATTAGATTCGTCCGGAGATTTACGCAATAGACTTCCCATTTAATATATGTATGGATGAAATTAATTAATATTTAAGAACATATTCCTAAGAAATTTCAATCAAAATGAATGATAGCAAGCTTTCTTTATATAGACACTTTTTTAAGGTTGTCATTTTAAAAAATATAATAATAATTCTCATAAATATTTAAGATTTTTTTTTAGTATTTTTTTTTTCAAAATTTTTATCTAAAAAAAAATCTATTTTCAAATATATATATATATTATATAATTTCATATGCAACGGAGATTGATAATCCAAAGAAACATAATGAATTGTCAGATAGCATTGTAAAGAAGAAGGGTGTGTTTGTTTCGTATTTTGATGTGAAGAATTTTATTTTATGTAAAGTATAAAAAATTGTGTATATAATATAAAAGTAGAATGTGTGTAATATATTATTTTTTTGAAAAAAAAATATATATTAAAGAAACAAACCCTAAAATTTTTGCTACTTTAAACTTTTATTTTTTCCTTTTGGCAACTATGCATTGCACTTAGTATTATTATTCATTTTAGTCTTCACAATATTCATGCAATTTATATACCGAAAAATAGTAGCGTTGTATTCTTTCTATTATTATTATTATTTTTTTTCATATATATATATTTTAAAAAATAATACACTACACGTATTCATTATATTTGATTTCATGCACAATTTCCTACTCCTTACAAAAAAAAAAAAAAATCATTTAAAAAAATCTCACAAAACAAAAACACCATGTGTTACCGAATCTCTATTATTATTATTATTTTTTTATATATATATAAAATATTAAAACAAATACTTATTTTTCACTTTTTATATTATATTAAAAATGATTTTATATTCAAAACATAAAACCAATATATATTTATGTCATATCACACAATTATTTATATTCAAAACTTTTACAATTAAAATCTCAAATCTCAAACAAAAAATTAAACCCCAAAACAAGCACACACCTTAAATTTACATCTTTTAATACCAATAATGTACTTCAGTTATTTAAAAACTATAGAAGTATGTATTTTAATAGATACTAGCAGTATTTATCAGTAAACTGTTGGAAAATAGTTTTTAGCGAAATATAAGATATAACGAAATCCGAAAATACAAAATCAAATAGATGCAAAATCAAATTCGAGCCTCGCGTGGAACACGATTTCCTTAAAGCAAATTCGGCCCTCCACTAATGGCCTCCCAGGATAGAAGGAATTATCAACAAAATAATAGATTTCGCAAACCGAATTAGAAATTTTTTTTAAGATTTAGAAGAAAGAATTTTCCGTATTTCAACATAGGAAGGAAAATATAATACTATATATTATAAATTTTCAGATTATTTTGTATTTATTCTATGCAAATAATTTATTTCTCTTTCACCAATTTAATTAAATACCAAACATAAACAATATAAAAATAAAAATTAACATGTTGGATGGTTAGAAATTTGTAGGGATGACAATGGGCAGACCTGAGATCCAACCCATTTATTTGGGATTGGTCCAATTATTCGGATATTGGATTCGTATCGGATCAGTTGTGTGTATCCCTTATCGGGTCCGGGTCTCGGGGTTCAATGATGGATAAATTATGTGGGACGGACGAAAATAGAAAATAGGGACAAATTATGTGGGACGGAGGGAGTAATTTGTAAGAGTATTTTTAATGTTAGTAGAAAGTACAGTTACTATACTTTGTTATGGGGTGGACCAAAATAGAAAAAATAGATAGATTGTTAAAGGAGTATACTTATAAAATTTAATTATTTATATTTTAAAATTTTAATTTAAGGATTACTATATAAATTAAAAATAAAATTTACAATCCAATATTAAATTATTTGTATTTTAAAATGTTATAAATTATATTAATAATTTTAGTATAATTAAAAATTTTATATACTCCTATTTAAATTTTATATCTTAATTATAATTTTAAATTTTATTTAAAGTATAGCATAGAAACTAAAAATAATAATTGGATTTTTTTTTATTAAAATATAATATGTATATATATAAATTAATTATTTTTATATTATATTATTGTATTTATTACTCCCTCCGTCCCAGTACAATAGTTCTATCTACCATTTTTGTCCATTCTAAAATAATAGTCTTATTTCCATAAATAATCATATTACTATAAAACTACACTTACTTTTTCATTATTATTACACAATTGTCACTACTTTTTACATTAATACACTCAGAAGGACAAAAAAAGTCATTTATTCTACTTTTTACCAACTACCAATATAATATCAATATTTCTTAAATCTTGTACCAAACATAACCCAGTTTTGGGACAGAGAGAGTATTATTATTAAGAATAAAACATGTAATTTTAATGAAATGTGCTTCCGCTGCCCTCAAGGTGCTTCTTAAAAAAAATACTTTTAAACTTCAAAGGTTGTTTTTTTAGACTGCAAAACACATGGAAAATATTTTTTCTACAAGGAGAAGTCAAAAGTTCATGCCAAAAGTCAATCCAAACGAGACCTTAAACCCATCGTCTCAATATATATATATATATATATAGGCAACCAATAAACCACATAGAGCCTCAAAATCAATAACAAACCTACCTTGTTAATTGAAGAACAAAGGACCGAAAGAGAATCAAATTTGAATAAGACCAAAGAAAACGGAATAGATCACCCTTAAAGCATCGACTTCGAACTGTTTGACAAATAACTTATTAAATAACTGTTAATTTTTTTGTTGTTTGACCAATTAATTAAGTTATTTGGTAAATTAATTGTTTCAAAATGAAAAAAGCTATAGTATTTTTGAGAACAGTATTTTTTATTTTAATATCTATTCTAAAAATAAAATATTCAAATGCTTTTAATTGTCATTTGTAAACAACTAATATTAATATGCTGTTTTACAAATAGTTTAATATAAACAACGAATATAACTACCTAACTACTTAGTCATATGTCAAGTAATCAAATTAGATAACAAGTAATTAAATTAACTAAAATCTATAAGCTAATTGCATGAGATTTTGAAAAGGATCCAATTTTAAATCTCAAACGGGTTCAAGAATGTATTAAAGCGGGTCGGGTCGGGTCCTAATGATAAAATCCAACATGGATTGGATTGAACTAATATTTTTATTTTTAAGTGTATGATCTTCTCCATAATATAATTAAAATCTATAATACTAAGCGAGTCGTCGAGTCCTCGTCTCCGGCTTGACTTGTTTCTCCATCTTCCTCGTCTTCTCCTCTCTTCTTCCTCCTCCTCCTCTCTGTCTCTGTGAGGGCTTCGTCTTTCTTCTTCTCCTCAAGTTTTACACTTCCAAATAAATCTGCAGAATTAAAGTGTTGAGAGTTGGATAACTTCCGTAGAAGAAAACGATAAATCAATCGATCAAGAGGAGGGGGAGAGAGCTGCGACAACCGATTTCACTCTCGGCTGATCTGAGCCAGGCAGTTCTCTTGAGCTTGATGATGTGGTGTCGAAGAGGAACCAAATGAGGAATGGTAGATGACGGGCGGACGGACGTTGTAAGTGGTTCGGTCGGTTTTCTCTCTCTCAATTTCTTTCACTGGTTAGGTTAGGTTAAGTAGTAAGTGTATTTCTGAGAAATAGTTTGGGGATGAACTATATTTCACAAGTTATTGTTAAGGTAGTTTAGTCTTTGGATTTTATTTTAGTTGGACAATGTAATTATGTTATTTTATTTTTTGGAGAATGTAAATTGATGTCTCTCAACAGCGATAATCGCGAGGTCGAATTCAACATCATCTCCGGCAGGTCGATAGCGGCTTGGCTTGGCGGCGCTGCTGGAACAGGCCCACCCTGAGTGGTCGCCGGCGGCGATCAAGTCAGCATTGATGACCACGGCGTACAACGTCGACAACAACGGGAATAATTTAACGGACCTCGCCACCGGGGACGTGTCCCATCCGTTCTCGGGCCACGTCGATCCAAACCGAGCAACGAATCCCGGCCTGATCTACAACATCGATACCCAAAACTACGTCGCGTTTTTGTGCAGCATCGGGTACAATGCGCGGCAAATTACGGCATTCACGAAAGATTCGTCGATCGTGGATTGCAACGCAGTCGGGCTGAAACTCCGGGGGATTTGAACTACCCGTCGTTCTCGGCTGCCTTCTCCGGCTATAAAAGCGTTGTGAAGTATAAACGAAGCATAAGAAATGTCGGGAAGGAGGCGAATGCCGTGTACGAGGTGACAGTGCACGCACCGGACAGCGTGGAAGTGACCGTGACACCGAGTAAATTAGAGTTCGGCGAGAAGGAATACACTCTATCTGGGTCTATAGAGATAAGGATAAATCTAATAAATAAATACAATGGTAATGGTAGTTAGGAAAACATTTCTCCTTCGTATTTGCAAAGCTTTATTCTCTTGGTTCTGTTGGCATGCAGGTGACCTATCGCCACTTAATTTTTAATACGGTTTTAGATTTATATTAAAAAATATAATATATATAGTTTTGTACGAAATATATAATATATAATATATAATTTATCCACTAAAAAATATAATAGTTTAACATAAAATATTACTCCATCCGTCCCACTTAATTTATCCACTTTTTCTATATCTATCTGTCCTATATAAATTCTCTTTTATTTTTTTGAAATATAATTATACACTTTAATCGTATTTTAAAATTCATAATTTATAATTTTTTATTTTAATTAACTTCAGTCATTTTAATCTATAATTATTTTCACTGATATATTTCTTAATTAGTTACTAATTACATCATACCTAAAACTTTGTGCCCCAACTAAAATGGACAAATTAGTTGGGTATTATTTCTTTTACACTACTTTAAACTAAAAATACAAAATTAAGACCAGTAAAATAAATTTTAAATTATTAATCTATTTAAAATATCAGAATTAATGATTATAAATAAATATATGTAATTGTAACAGTATATTCAAATAAAATATTATATTTTTATAGAAGCAATAAAATATAATTTATATATACATATATATATACATATAATATTAAAAAAAGAAATTATTTTAATTTTTATTACATTAGATAGGAGGGTAATATATTTTTGGTAAGTTTTTAAATTAGGTAAGTAGCCGTTAAACATAATGATTTTGATTTTGATTTTAATTTTAATTTTAATATACACATAATATTAAAAAAAGAAATTATTTTAATTTTAGTATATACATAATATTAAAATGTGAAATTATATATGGTAAGTTTTATATTAGGTAAGTAGCCGTTAAGCATAGATTTTGATTTTGATTTTGATTTTAATTTTAAATATACACAAAATATTAAAATTATATATGGTAAGTTTTTTATTTTAGGTAAGTAGCCGTTAAGCATAGATTTTGATTTTGATTTTGATTTTAATTTTAATATACACATAATATTAAAATTTGAAATTATATATGGTAAGTTTTTTATTTTAGGTAAGTAGCCGTTAAGCATAGATTTTGATTTTGATTTTGATTTTGATTTTAATTTTAATATACATATAATATTAAAATGTGAAATTATATATGGTAAGTTTTTTATTTTAGGTAAGTAGCCGTTAAGCATAGATTTTGATTTTGATTTTGATTTTGATTTTAATTTTAATATACACATAATATTAAAATTTGAAATTATATATGGTAAGTTTTTTATTTTAGGTAAGTAGCCGTTAAGCATAGATTTTGATTTTGATTTTGATTTTGATTTTAATTTTAATATACATATAATATTAAAATGTGAAATTATATATGGTAAGTTTTTTATTTTAGGTAAGTAGCCGTTAAGCATAGATTTTGATTTTGATTTTGATTTTGATTTTAATTTTAATATACACATAATATTAAAATTTGAAATTATATATGGTAAGTTTTTTATTTTAGGTAAGTAGCCGTTAAAGCATACATTATAAATATTTTAGATTTTGATTTTGTATACATTATTATAAGTTTTTGGGGCTGCAATGCAAATGCAATGGGGGGTACGAGCAGGGCAGGGGCAGGGGCAGGGGCAGGCGCAGGGGGAATTCCGAGAAGGGGATGAAGAAGGTTTTGTGAAGAGGGTTCTGGAGAATTTCGGGGGGCAGGGGTAGGGGCAGCTGGAATTCCAAGAAGGGGATGAATAAGGTTTTGTGAGGAGGGTTCTGGAGAATTTCGGGGGGCAGGGGCAGGCGCAGGCGCAGGGAGAATTCCGAGAAGGGGATGAAGAAGGTTTTGTGAAGAGGGTTCTGGAGAATTTCGGGGGGCAGGGGCAGGCGCAGGCGCAGGGGGAATTCCGATAAGGGGATGAAGAAGGTTTTGTGAAGAGGGTTCTGGAGAATTTCAGGGATCCAGCGGTCGACACTTGTGTTTGTGTTCTCGACGAGTAAGTTCTGAGATTTACTTTTACTGCTCCAGTGGTAATGTAATTTTGGTGAAGTCTTCAATATTTACAAGGGTTTAGAGCCTTTTTTGCTGCTATATTCATTGGTAAAATACAAATTAATTGTTACTTTATTTTAAGTGGTTATTTCTATATGTTTCTTTTTAAGTCTTGGGTGATGCTCAAGCATCTGAGTGTTGTTTTCGACACGGTTGCATGACTGGTGTTTGCTGTGTATGATTATGGTTGAATCGAATTGATTGAGTTGGCACTCACAGGCTAGCAGTTAGAACACATGATGCTGATGTTTAGAGGATTTCTTTTTGTCTTGTGTTAATCATTCAAGAAAACTTTTCTTGAAAAATTTTAGAATCCAATTTTGGAATTTTTATCTTGGAAAATCGCATTTATTTTCTCATATTGCATATAGAGTTAGAATTATTTTTATATCCCGGGACTTGCATGCATTAATTTTGTTTCTATATTTTATACTAACTTATTTTCAAATGTTTTTAATTTGTAGGTAAAGCTCATGTGGAGACGAGGGGATCCGCAAAGATCCTTCAATCTCGATTTTAAATCCAAGGTAAGTGATATTAATATTATTTTATTGTTTCCTATACATATATACTAATATCTATTTTGAATCTTTCTAGATACATACGATCGGGAGTGGCCGGATGATCGGACGACCGAATACATCATAGGGAGTAATCCGTCCCTTTCCTTTCACATTTATGCTTTTAATTTAATTTAGCATTATGCATATAGAAATAGATTTATTTTTACGTCAGTCCCGGGACATGCATGCATTAATTTTGTTTCTATATTTTATACTAACTTATTTTCAAGTGTTTTTAATTTGTAGGTAAAGCTTAGGTGGAGACGAGGGGATCCGCAAAGATCCTTCGATCTCGATTTCAAATCCAAGGTAAGTGATTTTAATATTATTTTTTCGTTTCCTATATATATACTAATATCTATTTTAAATCTTTTTAGATGCATACGAGAGGGAGCGGCCGGACGACCGAACACAACATAGGGAGTAATTCGTCCCTATCCTTTTACATTTATGCATTTAATTTAATTTAGCATTATGCATATAGAAATAGATTTATTTTTACGTCAGTCCCGGGACATGCATGCATTAATTTTGTTTCTATATTTTATACTAACTTATTTTCAAGTGTTTTTAATTTGTAGGTAAAGCTTAGGTGGAGACGAGGGGATCCGCAAAGATCCTTCGATCTCGATTTCAAATCCAAGGTAAGTGATTTTAATATTATTTTTTCGTTTCCTATATATATACTAATATCTATTTTAAATCTTTTTAGATGCATACGAGAGGGAGCGGCCGGACGACCGAACACAACATAGGGAGTAAGTCGTCCCTATCCTTTCACATTTATGCATTTAATTTAATTTAGCATTATGCATATAGAAATAGATTTATTTTTACGTCAGTCCCGGGACATGCATGCATTAATTTTGTTTCTATATTTTATACTAACTTATTTTCAAGTGTTTTTAATTTGTAGGTAAAGCTTAGGTGGAGACGAGGGGATCCGCAAAGATCCTTCGATCTCGATTTCAAATCCAAGGTAAGTGATTTTAATATTATTTTTTCGTTTCCTATATATATACTAATATCTATTTTAAATCTTTTTAGATGCATACGAGAGGGAGCGGCCGGACGACCGAACACAACATAGGGAGTAATTCGTCCCTATCCTTTTACATTTATGCATTTAATTTAATTTAGCATTATGCATATAGAAATAGATTTATTTTTACGTCAGTCCCGGGACATGCATGCATTAATTTTGTTTCTATATTTTATACTAACTTATTTTCAAGTGTTTTTAATTTGTAGGTAAAGCTTAGGTGGAGACGAGGGGATCCGCAAAGATCCTTCGATCTCGATTTCAAATCCAAGGTAAGTGATTTTAATATTATTTTTTCGTTTCCTATATATATACTAATATCTATTTTAAATCTTTTTAGATGCATACGAGAGGGAGCGGCCGGACGACCGAACACAACATAGGGAGTAATTCGTCCCTATCCTTTTACATTTATGCATTTAATTTAATTTAGCATTATGCATATAGAAATAGATTTATTTTTACGTCAGTCCCGGGACATGCATGCATTAATTTTGTTTCTATATTTTATACTAACTTATTTTCAAGTGTTTTTAATTTGTAGGTAAAGCTTAGGTGGAGACGAGGGGATCCGCAAAGATCCTTCGATCTCGATTTCAAATCCAAGGTAAGTGATTTTAATATTATTTTTTCGTTTCCTATATATATACTAATATCTATTTTAAATCTTTTTAGATGCATACGAGAGGGAGCGGCCGGACGACCGAACACAACATAGGGAGTAATTCGTCCCTATCCTTTTACATTTATGCATTTAATTTAATTTAGCATTATGCATATAGAAATAGATTTATTTTTACGTCAGTCCCGGGACATGCATGCATTAATTTTGTTTCTATATTTTATACTAACTTATTTTCAAGTGTTTTTAATTTGTAGGTAAAGCTTAGGTGGAGACGAGGGGATCCGCAAATATCCTTCGATCTCGATTTCAAATCCAAGGTAAGTGATTTTAATATTATTTTTTCGTTTCCTATATATATACTAATATCTATTTTAAATCTTTTTAGATGCATACGAGAGGGAGCGGCCGGACGACCGAACACAACATAGGGAGTAATTCGTCCCTATCCTTTCACATTTATGCTTTTAATTTAATTTAGCATTATGCATATAGAAATAGATTTATTTTTACGTCAGTCCCGGGACATGCATGCATTAATTTTGTTTCTATATTTTATACTAACTTATTTTCAAGTGTTTTTAATTTGTAGGTAAAGCTTAGGTGGAGACGAGGGGATCCGCAAAGATCCTTCGATCTCGATTTCAAATCCGAGGTAAGTGATTTTAATATTATTTTTTCGTTTCCTATATATATACTAATATCTATTTTAAATCTTTTTAGATGCATACGAGAGGGAGCGGCCGGACGACCGAACACAACATAGGGAGTAATTCGTCCCTATCCTTTTACATTTATGCATTTAATTTAATTTAGCATTATGCATATAGAAATAGATTTATTTTTACGTCAGTCCCGGGACATGCATGCATTAATTTTGTTTCTATATTTTATACTAACTTATTTTAAAGTGTTTTTAATTTGTAGGTAAAGCTTAGGTGGAGACGAGGGGATCCGCAAATATCCTTCGATCTCGATTTCAAATCCAAGGTAAGTGATTTTAATATTATTTTTTCGTTTCCTATATATATACTAATATCTATTTTAAATCTTTTTAGATGCATACGAGAGGGAGCGGCCGGACGACCGAACACAACATAGGGAGTAATTCGTCCCTATCCTTTTACATTTATGCATTTAATTTAATTTAGCATTATGCATATAGAAATAGATTTATTTTTACGTCAGTCCCGGGACATGCATGCATTAATTTTGTTTCTATATTTTATACTAACTTATTTTCAAGTGTTTTTAATTTGTAGGTAAAGCTTAGGTGGAGACGAGGGGATCCGCAAATATCCTTCGATCTCGATTTCAAATCCAAGGTAAGTGATTTTAATATTATTTTTTCGTTTCCTATATATATACTAATATCTATTTTAAATCTTTTTAGATGCATACGAGAGGGAGCGGCCGGACGACCGAACACAACATAGGGAGTAATTCGTCCCTATCCTTTTACATTTATGCATTTAATTTAATTTAGCATTATGCATATAGAAATAGATTTATTTTTACGTCAGTCCCGGGACATGCATGCATTAATTTTGTTTCTATATTTTATACTAACTTATTTTCAAGTGTTTTTAATTTGTAGGTAAAGCTTAGGTGGAGACGAGGGGATCCGCAAAGATCCTTCGATCTCGATTTCAAATCCAAGGTAAGTGATTTTAATATTATTTTTTCGTTTCCTATATATATACTAATATCTATTTTAAATCTTTTTAGATGCATACGAGAGGGAGCGGCCGGACGACCGAACACAACATAGGGAGTAATTCGTCCCTATCCTTTTACATTTATGCATTTAATTTAATTTAGCATTATGCATATAGAAATAGATTTATTTTTACGTCAGTCCCGGGACATGCATGCATTAATTTTGTTTCTATATTTTATACTAACTTATTTTCAAGTGTTTTTAATTTGTAGGTAAAGCTTAGGTGGAGACGAGGGGATCCGCAAAGATCCTTCGATCTCGATTTCAAATCCAAGGTAAGTGATTTTAATATTATTTTTTCGTTTCCTATATATATACTAATATCTATTTTAAATCTTTTTAGATGCATACGAGAGGGAGCGGCCGGACGACCGAACACAACATAGGGAGTAATTCGTCCCTATCCTTTTACATTTATGTATTTAATTTAATTTAGCATTATGCATATAGAAATAGATTTATTTTTACGTCAGTCCCGGGACATGCATGCATTAATTTTGTTTCTATATTTTATACTAACTTATTTTCAAGTGTTTTTAATTTGTAGGTAAAGCTTAGGTGGAGACGAGGGGATCCGCAAAGATCCTTCGATCTCGATTTCAAATCCAAGGTAAGTGATTTTAATATTATTTTTTCGTTTCCTATATATATACTAATATCTATTTTAAATCTTTTTAGATGCATACGAGAGGGAGCGGCCGGACGACCGAACACAACATAGGGAGTAATTCGTCCCTATCCTTTTACATTTATGCATTTAATTTAATTTAGCATTATGCATATAGAAATAGATTTATTTTTACGTCAGTCCCGGGACATGCATGCATTAATTTTGTTTCTATATTTTATACTAACTTATTTTCAAGTGTTTTTAATTTGTAGGTAAAGCTTAGGTGGAGACGAGGGGATCCGCAAAGATCCTTCGATCTCGATTTCAAATCCAAGGTAAGTGATTTTAATATTATTTTTTCGTTTCCTATATATATACTAATATCTATTTTAAATCTTTTTAGATGCATACGAGAGGGAGCGGCCGGACGACCGAACACAACATAGGGAGTAATTCGTCCCTATCCTTTTACATTTATGCATTTAATTTAATTTAGCATTATGCATATAGAAATAGATTTATTTTTACGTCAGTCCCGGGACATGCATGCATTAATTTTGTTTCTATATTTTATACTAACTTATTTTCAAGTGTTTTTAATTTGTAGGTAAAGCTTAGGTGGAGACGAGGGGATCCGCAAAGATCCTTCGATCTCGATTTCAAATCCAAGGTAAGTGATTTTAATATTATTTTTTCGTTTCCTATATATATACTAATATCTATTTTAAATCTTTTTAGATGCATACGAGAGGGAGCGGCCGGACGACCGAACACAACATAGGGAGTAATTCGTCCCTATCCTTTTACATTTATGCATTTAATTTAATTTAGCATTATGCATATAGAAATAGATTTATTTTTACGTCAGTCCCGGGACATGCATGCATTAATTTTGTTTCTATATTTTATACTAACTTATTTTCAAGTGTTTTTAATTTGTAGGTAAAGCTTAGGTGGAGACGAGGGGATCCGCAAAGATCCTTCGATCTCGATTTCAAATCCAAGGTAAGTGATTTTAATATTATTTTTTCGTTTCCTATATATATATACTAATATCTATTTTAAATCTTTTTAGATGCATACGAGAGGGAGCGGCCGGACGACCGAACACAACATAGGGAGTAATCCGTCCCTTTCCTTTCACATTTATGCTTTTAATTTAATTTAGCATTATGCATATAGAAATAGATTTATTTTTACGTCAGTCCCGGGACATGCATGCATTAATTTTGTTTCTATATTTTATACTAACTTATTTTCAAGTGTTTTTAATTTGTAGGTAAAGCTTAGGTGGAGACGAGGGGATCCGCAAAGATCCTTCGATCTCGATTTCAAATCCAAGGTAAGTGATTTTAATATTATTTTTTCGTTTCCTATATATATACTAATATCTATTTTAAATCTTTTTAGATGCATACGAGAGGGAGCGGCCGGACGACCGAACACAACATAGGGAGTAATTCGTCCCTATCCTTTTACATTTATGCATTTAATTTAATTTAGCATTATGCATATAGAAATAGATTTATTTTTACGTCAGTCCCGGGACATGCATGCATTAATTTTGTTTCTATATTTTATACTAACTTATTTTCAAGTGTTTTTAATTTGTAGGTAAAGCTTAGGTGGAGACGAGGGGATCCGCAAAGATCCTTCGATCTCGATTTCAAATCCAAGGTAAGTGATTTTAATATTATTTTTTCGTTTCCTATATATATACTAATATCTATTTTAAATCTTTTTAGATGCATACGAGAGGGAGCGGCCGGACGACCGAACACAACATAGGGAGTAATTCGTCCCTATCCTTTTACATTTATGCATTTAATTTAATTTAGCATTATGCATATAGAAATAGATTTATTTTTACGTCAGTCCCGGGACATGCATGCATTAATTTTGTTTCTATATTTTGTACTAACTTATTTTCAAGTGTTTTCAATTTGTAGGTAAAGCATATGTGGAGACGAGGGGATCCGCAAAGATCCTTCGATCTCGATTTCAAATCCAAGGTAAGTGATTTTAATATTATTTTTTTGTTTTTTTATATATATACTAATATCTATTTTAAATTTTTTTAGATGCATACCATAGGGAGCGGCCGGACGACCGAACAAAACATAGGGAGTAATTCGTCCCTATCCTTTTACATTTACGCATTTAGTTTAATTTAGCATTATGCAAATAGAAATAGATTTATTTTTACGTCAGTCCCGGGACATGCATGCATTAATTTTGTTTCGATAATTTATACTAACTTATTTTCAAGTGTTTTTATTTTGTAGGTAAAGCTTATGTGGAGACTAGGGGATCCGCAAGATCTTCGATCTCGATTTCAAATCCAAGGTAACTGATTTTAATATTATTTTTTTGTTTCATATATATATACTAATATCTATTTTAAATCTTTTTAGATGCATACCATAGGGAGCGGCCGGACGACCAAACAAAACATAGGGAGTAATTCGTCCCTATCCTTTTACATTTACGCATTTAGTTTAATTTAGCATTATGCATATAAAAATAGATTTATTTTTACGTCGGTCCCGGGACATGCATGCATTAATTTTGTTTCTATATTTTATACTAACTTATTTTCAAGTGTTTTCAATTTGTAGGTAAAGCTTATGTGGAGACGAAGGGATTCGCAAAGATCCTTCGATCTCGATTTCAAATCCAAGGTAACTGATTTTAATATTATTTTTTTGTTTCCTATATATATACTAATATCTATTTTAAATCTTTTTAGATGCATACGAGAGGGAGCGGCCGGACGACCGAACACAACATAGGGAGTAATTCGTCCCTATCCTTTTACATTTATGCATTTAATTAAATTTAGCATTATGCATACAGAAATAGATTTATTTTTACGTCGGTCCCGGGACATGCATGCATTAATTTCTGCAAATTGTTACGTGCTAGGCACGGTCCAATTTATTAAAATAATTGAAGTAAAAATATTTTTTAATATAATATTAACTTTAAAATAAAATTAATAATTAATTAACGTTTAATTTCTTAATTATCAATAAAAGTATTTTGTCCTAATTATATCAATTTAGATTAATATAATTTATTTTTTAATAAAAAAAGACAAATTATTTTTAAATCTAATATTAAAAATTTGGGCTGGGCTGGCCCGGTATAATTTCAAACCGGGCCATGCCTTGGTTTGGGTTTTCAAGCCCAATGCAAAATCAGGCCGGGCCTATCGGGCTTGAATTTTAAAACGGCCCGTGCCAGCCCAAAAAAAATATTACTCCCTCCCTCGCGAAAAATGCACAAATTTTTTGCGTGGCGGGGGAGTAATACCAGCTTTATAAATTGCCACATTTTTTTTTCAAAAATGATATAACTTTATCAAATAATGGAAGCAAGATACCTTGAAATATGAATCCACCAATATGCTGAAGCTTTTTTCTTTAAATCCGCCGATATGCTGAAGCTTTTCCCAGGAATACCTTTGTATCGAACTGCAATGGTGCACCAGAGAAGTCATTTCCCAATACTTTTGCATATACCTCTTGAAAGTAAGAGATTTAAGTAAAAAAAAACACAAATCATGCTTATACTGGTCTTTTATATAACTGTTATTATGAAATTGCCCAAAGCATTATTATTACGAAATACAGTTCATCAAATTCTCTATACTAAGACTACTTTGTACCAGCTCGCAAACAATCTGTTCATAACTCAGGGGAAGACAAAAATGCCCATGAGAAAATTATTAAGCACAACATGACTACTATTTTAAACTTTTTAAATAAAATTTGACCCATTTGTCTTATGGAAATATGTTCAACAATTAGTGGACAAAAATTAATGTTCACACATACATACACATGAATACTAGAAATCATATTACTCTTTTTGTACATTTTTTTTATTATAAAACTCAAAATGTAACAAAAAGTACATATTCATTTAAGTAACATGTTGCAATACTTCAAACACACATTCGACTGCGCATACCTGCAACACCCGTAGGTTTATTTGCAATAGTTTTATTTGTAAGAGGAAATAAAATATATTAATTGAGAAGATAAATATTGCATTTAAATAATATAATTTAGATAAAAGAAAATTTCTAATCCTGCTCTCTTCAATTTTTATTTGCAATACTTTTATAATTTTTTTTAATTATAAAATAGAAAAAAAAATGAAGCTATAAAAAAATTTTAAAAAATCAGAATATTTCACATTAAATTGATAGTTGATAAAAAAAAATATATATATGAGTATAAAAAATAGTAGGATTTGTGTAACAATAATGAAAAAATAAGATTAAATCTTGCAGGATTTTACATGCTCGAGACGTACGTCCCATCACTAGTGATTTCATTAGTATTATAAATATAAAAATATTAATATTTAAATTATAAAAATTTTAAAAAGTTATTTCTAAAAATAAATAAAAACAAAACGGTCATATTTTAAAAGATTTTTTTTTATCCGAATGATTTCATTAGTATTATAGTAATATATATATATAATATGAATAATTTTTAATTATAAAGATTTTTTTAAAAAAAAAATTACTTGTAAAAATAAATAGAGACCATAGCTGTCATACATAATATAATATCACTAATGGTTTCCTTAATTACTAATCACCAACAGACTTGGATTGGGCAAGAACAAAGAATGAAGGAAAGGTAGACGAGCTAGGGATGGAGGTGGAGAGAAGAGATGGAGATGGAAATGGAAAATATTCTGAATAAAATGAGACAGTCGAGAGAGTTAGTTACTTACTTGAGCAGGCAGAGAGCAGAGAGCATTGCAGCACATATTTCCCCTACGGACTGAGTGATGCATATACATACCCCCACCCCTCCTCAGCAATGCCCACTCACTCTGCTGCAGAGAAAGGAAAGGGAACACATATAATATAACATCCAATACTTTTGTTTTTCTTACAGCAAAACAAAACTTAAGTCGACACAACGAGACCATCAAAAATCTATTTAAATAAATGATGGAATGAATGAATGAATTAAAATCTGCATTGTGACTGATGCTCTCTTAATTACCGAATCATGTGACCTTTTTAGCTTTCTGACTTCCTCCAAGAAGGATCTCTATTGATTGTGAAAATCTAGATAAAATATATACCAAAATTGACATGTTATATACATAGATGCCTAAAAGTTTTCACTAGCATATAGAATAAGACTAACTGTTCAGAAACTGGTATGCCAAAATGCATTGAGAATCTCCATGCATCTAGCACTAATGTCAGGTTTGATGGACAAGTGCTAAGGAGGATGCTCATGGAACAAAAAGTAAAAACCATATGTACGTAGATATGAAATCCATCGGTAGTACAAATAATTACTGTGATTTAACTCAAACAAAAATTTGTTGACTTACCTGATCCATTGAGAATCTTGATCATGTTACGAGCAGCACCCCTAACCACAAGGCAGAAGTCTCTCTTCAAACCAACATACTTGGCATATTTCTATACAACAAGAAAATAAATAACTAATAATAAATGAGAGCCCAAATTTCAGAATCTACGTCAAGATGATGAGACTATAGATATAATTATAATTGGTATAAAAAAACTTCAAATTGCACTTTAAAACAATTTTTCAAATAACAATACATTATATATATATATATATATCAACATTGAACTTCTCAAACCAAAGCTCCTCCATATTGGTTTAGGCATCAAGCCAGTGATACAAAGCAAATATAATAAGAAAATTCTAGGAAGATGAATGTGCAACAAGTTGCTTTTTACCTCATTGACAGGGGCCTCATTGTCTCTTATAAGTGCATCATGCCCGTCGATTTCCTTTCCAAATTCTGTCTTCAGAAGATCCCTCGAATTTCCAACAACAGCACAAGTTTGAAACATGTGAGGATGAAAGGGTGGCTTTGCAGGTAGGAGCACATTAAGATGTTCCTCACAAAGAGTCATGTTGTAGCATTTAGCTGCTCCTCTACAATGAAAAGAATAAGAGGAAATAGACGTTGATAAAATTTTAAACTGCAGTTAATTTTTGAAATTGAACACCCAAAGACAACATACAACATACAGCATACGGCATGCACTCTCCCCTTTATCACTATTCTCACCTAATACAAACACCAAATTACAACAACCAACCAAAACGAAACCGAAATCTTAAATGAGCACGGTTTTGTTCTACAGCGGGTGCTATCTTCTACTCATTTCCTTCCAAAATGTCGGGGATCATTTACTTGTGCTTTTATGAATCCTTTTGCAAATACAATTTTCTATACCTCGGCTCTATGCAAAAAATCAAATCAAATCAAACCCCTATTTTTCTATTCAAAAAATTCAAATCCAAAACATCGAAAACATCCCAAACCACACAAGTAAACACTAGCAAGATCTCAAAAGCCAAAGCCAGTATAGTAAATCAACTTTGAAGACCCCATCCATGAGAAACAACTAAAACTGCAAAAGCATTATTCTATATCATCATTCAATCACTCACTGATCTTTAATCTACTCATTGAAATATATCAGGATCAGATCAGATCATCACCATAATCATCACTACACTGCTACAATACTCACAAGATGATCAACATAAAGTTGTATTATTAACTGGAACAAGGAGAGCTTCGAAGTCATACCTGATCAGAATCGCTGATTCATTCACTCACACGGTAGGCTTCCGCTCGAATTCATTCCCAGGATCATCCGTGCTCGGAAATGCCTGAATTCCAGTCACCATAGCATCAGGCGGACCTCACCTCTCCTACACCGCTGCTCCATCTCCTCAACCTTCTCCCGGAAACAACGCCTCCACAGATCCATCCCCTTTGCATTATCAATCGTCCAATTCCGATAGAACACACCTTGCACTCTCCCCCTTATCACCATTCTCACCTGATTCAAACACCAAATTAGAACGAAACAGAAATTTATTAATGAAATTGAGAAATCGCTTACTGTTTTGACAGAGGCCTCCTCCTGCGGCGAGTTCATCGAGGACATAGTAGAGAATAGAGTGCGTAGACGGCGTCGGAGCAGAGGAGGAGGAGGAAGACGAAGACGACGGTGCAGCGGAGGAGGAGGAGGAGGATGAGGAAGAAAGAGAAGTATGATGAGGCCGTAGCGTAGAAGAAGAGGAGGTCGCGCGCATGTCGGCGGCAGAGCGCATTGGCATTGGCATTTGGGGTTTTTCAAATAAATGTGTTAAGTCAATTATTTTTTTCAAAAATTAGATCTTAATAAGTTGATATAACTTTCTTTTTTATATAATACACTTACTTTATTTTTTAGATATTTAATTTTAATATTAAAATATTATTATCTATCAGTCTTTGTATTCAACAAAACCTACTTATTTTTACGTGACGGAAAGAGTATTTATTAATATTCATCATTTTTATTTTTCTAAAAATTCGGATATTTTTATTAACCAAAATTATAAATTATAAATAAATCGAAATCTAAATTTATACTTTTAAATTTTAATCGAATTGAAGCAATTAATCGAATAATATATGTAATTTAGTCATTATTTATATAATGTAGATGTATTAAATATTAATTTAGTGACTACTGTCAAACAAAGTATGATAAAAATATTATAATAGTAGTCTAATTTTAAACATTGATGATTATTATTTCTTATTTGGGATGAAAATGATCCAAATGTCAAATAATTTAATTATTATCCAATAAGAAATTAATTATTTAATTTTTTTGTCTTAATTTATAATTATAATAAAAATAATCATATTAAAATATCCCTAATTTTTAATAAAGAAATATTTATTAATTAATAGTCACACTAGGCAAACCATGTGTGGCAAGGCAAGACCTGAAGGAGTTGGAGTTTGAACTCATTATTTCACGGTCACGAGTCCATTCCGACACCACTAGGCCATCGCTTACGAAACGAGGTAGTAGTATTTTATTAGTTAGCGAAAGTGTGTAAGAGTTTTTTGATATTTTTGTCTTTTGACTTTATATATAAAGTAATTGTATGTATAATATAGTGTGTATTTTGTATTTTTTTTATAGTAAAAAATATACAAAATAGTTTAAAAAATGAAAATATTATGATTTTTTACTATGAAAAATAAATGAAAATAATTTTATATTGATACATAGTGCAAATTATTATAAAAAATAAAAATAATCTTTATTAGTCTCTATATGAAATAAATTAGACAAATATAAAATTATTTTAATGTTAAATATGCAAAAAAATAAAAAATAGTACTCTTTTTTATAAGACATGTAATATATATTGAGAATTATGTTAGTTTTAAAAAATATATATTTTAATGAACAAAACCCAAAAACTTAAATCGACAAAATATAAACAAAAAAACATCATTCATTTACAATTTTGAGGCTATGTTTATTATTATTTTTTTTGTTTCAATAAATATAATTTTTTTTTAATATAAATATCGATTATCGAATACTTATTTTGTATTTAATTAACCATACCATTAAAATATTTTTTCTATTTAAAATGTTATAAAAAAAAAAAAAAAAAAAAATTCAAAATATCAACAATAAGTTAAGCTCTATTTAGAGTTTTATTTTTTTATTTTTTATTTTTTAAGAATGAAAATAATAAAACTAATTGAATATTTGATGTGCAATAAAATAATTATATTTACCAAAAATTCAAAAAATATAAAAGTAAATATATAGTTTAGTATTCAAATGCTACTACAATTAATGTTACAACAAATAGCAGAGTAAATCAAACTAAATTTCAATATAGCTTACGTTGTGTTTGTTTACGAGGTATTGTTTTTAAAATAGTAAAATTTTGGATTCAAATAATTATTTGATTTGATATAAATATATATTGAAATGATATTTTGAATATAAAATTAAATTTTATTATAATGAAAATATATATTTGATTTAATACTCTTTTTTTAGTAAAAAATTTTAAGAATAGAAAAACTAAAATAAATCTCACAAACAACACACCCTTAATATTAATAATTAATTTTAATTTACGAAATAGTATACGAGCTTTATAGAATAACCATTATAATAATTGCATTAATAAATAATGAACTTAATTAGTTGTTACTTACCAAAAACCCACCAAATTTTATTATTCTTAAATTTTCCTGACAATTAAGTTATGTTTTTATTTGTTATATATATTTCTTTATTTTCATATTTAATTTTAAAAAGATTGATATATTGTTTTTAGTGAAAAGTTATGTTAAATATAAATTTTAAGCAATAGATTTTTGTATTAAAAATAACAAACGAATAAAATAATTTTGATATATATATTTAGGGTGTGTTTGGTACAGGGAATTAACCGAATAAAATGTTTCTATTTCTCTTGTTTATTTGAATTAAAGAAATAAAACTTAAAAATAAATTAATTTTCATTTTTCTCTCGTATCCTGACAAATGAAGAAAAATGATATTGTAGTATATTATTATTATTTATTTTTTTTATTATTTAATTTTTATAATCTTTAAAATTATATTATTTCCATTTACAAAAATCACATTTAATTTATTATTCAAGTATTTAATTTTTTACGATTTTTTAAAAAATTGTGTTAAAATATAATATTGCAAAACATCGTAAGTATAACTTTTTAGAAAAAAATCACCAAAAATTGTTTATTAAATAAGAGAATTAATTTCATTTTCTACTCAATTTATTTTCTCTCCAATTTCATTCTCTACTCTCATTTCAATTTCATTCTCCCTATCAAACACCACATTAGGATTTCTCATATATACTATAAAAAATACAATATTTATATATTAACATAATATATATTCTATTCGCCAACAAAAAATAAAAAATTCAACACAACATAATATTTCTTATATTAACAATAGGATTTCTCATACTTTCTCCGTCCTATAACAAAGTATCCATTTTTTCATTTTAGTCCGTCCCATAACAAAATATCCATTTCTTTTTTTTAGTAACTGTACTATCTACCTAACATACAAATACCCTTACAATTTAGAATATATTACACAAATGTCATTATATTTATATCACATATATTAATAAGGTTATTTTAGTCATTTCAACTTTATTCCTACTGTATCCCAATATAATACTAATATTTCTAAAACTACGTGCAAAAAACAAATAAATATATTTAATATCCCCGTCCATTAACAATCTATCTATTTTTCTATTTTGGTATGTCTCGTAACAAAGAATCTATTTCTTTTTTTTTTTTTAGTAATTGTTCTTTCGGCTAACATTAAAATTATTCTTATAACTTAAAATATATTACACAAATGTCATTACTTTTATGTCACAAAATAGTAAAAAGGTTATTTTAGTATTTTCTATTTTATTCGTACCACACCTCAATATAATACTAATATTTCTAAAACTTCGTAGAAAAATAAACGGATAGATAGACAATGGTCGGATGAAATATAAAAAACACAATTATATATATATAAAAAAAATGAACACGTCCCTAATTTGACTCCCCTTTTTCACACATACACACATTAATTATATGTATTTTTATAACAACATTCAACTAACCTCAGAGAATAAAATTAATTGTATACTATAAGACAGCATAATAGCGCTTTTACTTAATTCTATAATATAGATAAATTAAAATGCAGCCAGAAGTGTAATGCCCTAATTATGAATTAATCTGTCTTTATTTTATTAATTGGAAAATTTACTAAAATAATAAAATATTTGTCTGACAAACCGTTTGGAAACCACATATTTTGCACGATCAATGATTTAAAGTTTTTATAATAATTAAATAAAGTATATATATATATATATATTTGTTTTGGTTTAAAACATATTTCATGTAATATCAATTTTTTATATTATTCTAGTAATAAATTTCTATTAAAACATCAAACATATTTTCATCCAAATTCGTACATCCAATGATTATTACATATATGTGGTGGAAAAAGTAATCACAAAGTCCTTTGGTTCAAGCATGGCGACTTCAAGACAATATATTTGTTTTTTTTTTCATAAAATATTATTTAATCGCAAATTATAAAATAATTTCATATTGTATCTAAAATTATTAACATTTTTATTCACTATGTCATAAAAAATGGATTCATTATATTTTTTTGTTTGTAATAGAAAAATAGGCATATTTTTCTTTTTTTAAGTAAAAAAATATATGGATGCGTTTACTATCTGATTTTACTATTCCAACTTTTTTTTTCCTTAAAAAATATCAAATCAAACACCTAATTTTTATTTATTTTATTGCACTATAATCTAATTTTACATTCAAAACAGCACATCAACACATATTTATATCACAACAAACAACTATTTCAATTCAAAATTTTACTATTCAAAATCAAAATCCAAAACTAAAACCTCACAAGTAAACTATAATATTTTTACTATTTTTCCTATTATTTTTTACTATATATATATATGTATATAAAATATACGATGTATTAAAATTCTAATAAAAAGTAAACAAGTTCATTTTCCGTCATCCCATGGGTTATTTAGATAGAGGTTTTTTTTTAAAAAAAATAATAATAAATTAAAATATTTTATATGATACTTTTGGTGATAGATATAGATTTGATGTAATTTATTTTGAAGAGCTGGAAATAGTTGGAATTCGATATTAATTTGAATTTGTGCATATTATTACAGTTAAAGTTAAACCCATGTAGAAGTATTCAGCCCAAATCAACAAGATCCGGATCCGGATCCCGTCCGGTCGGATCTTTTGAATTGGGCTGTAAGGGTAGTGTATTGGTCTCCTCTTCTTATAATAACTCCATTTTCATCCAAGAAATCGAAACCAATCGAAGAAGATGATGAATGGTTTAATCCAAGATCCCAATTCCAATTAATCCCAATTCCAATCTCCAATTTCAGCAGCTATTCAGAAAACCTTAATCCCAAATCCAAATCAACCGTCGTGTCGAAGAGGAAAAGGAATCTCCTAGGCAAGCCCCCAAATTGCAGAAATTAACCCTAATTAAATCGATTCAATTATTGTTTCTGATTGATATATAATTAATTTTGCAGTCTCAGAGATGCACAAGTGATAGCTCTCTCTCCAAAGTCTCTAATGGCGACGAACAGATTCATCTGCAGAAATCAAGAAACATTACATGGCGAGAAGAAATGGAAGTGCGATAAATGCTCCAGGAAATACGCTGTCCAGTCTTATTGGAAAGCCCACACCAAGATTTGCAAATGTAAGATTATTATTATTTTTAAAAACTTTTACAGAAAGGACAGCTTCATTACGCATAATAGGGCACGATCTACAATTACAAAACCCCCAATTATTATTCTTATTATTAATTATTTACATAATCTTCTTGAAGAATTTATTTATGTTGTAATTAATGGTGATTGTGTTCAATATAGGTCGACAGGTTTGTCTTAACAAACTAAGAACATCTCCAACATAAGTATCATTTGCAATAAAACTGATAGAACAATACTGATTGATCATTATATTTTATACCAAAAATAATATTTTTTTTTTTAGTAAAAACCATGTAGTCTAAAAATTTATTGCTTTGTTGAAAAATTTTCAATTCATTAAAATTAATAAAAAAACAAGAGTAACATGTAAAATAAAAATAAAAAACTGAAAATATTTAATAATTTGAAAATATGGTAAGTTTTAAAAAAATAAATAACTGAAAATATTTAATAATTTGTAAATATGGTAAATTATAAAAAAAACAATTAATTAATTAATAGTGTGTCTTTTTTCCAATGGTTACAATATGTATATAAAGATATCATAGTCACACATACATGTATGCATACAATTGCAATTGCAAGAAATGAAACTCATCCACCGGCAAGACTATTTCAATCTTGGTGTCTTCGGAGAAAGCTTTTGGCCATGTCAACATTCTCATCCGTCCTGCTTGCTTGTGTTCAAGATGAAATTTGATTTTTGAGGGGGTGAAGGATCGGAAGGTTCTATATCCATGGCTTCCCTGAGTCTCTTCTCTTCTGCACAAGGTTCCGTTCCCCCTTTCCCTTTTCCTTCTAGGGTTTCTTTAATTTATGATTTAATTCTTGATGATTGATTACAGTCTGTTTATGAATTTATCATTGATCTTGATTGGTTGATTCCAATTTTGTCTTTCACATGCTAATTAATTGCTTCTTGTTACATCTTAATCTCAATTAGTCTAGTCACTCTTCACATCATTCTTGATTATAACAAATTCGATTGTTAAAGCTTTCCTATTTAGGGTTCTTATGGTTAGTCAATTGTGTAGAGACGATGATGTTCGATTGATCTATGCACTTTTTCAGCATGTCAGAGGTGGTTCATTAGATTCTGCTGCTAAATAGAGGGAGGAAGCTGATTCTTGCCGCCCGCCCAAGTTCGGTATGATTCGATAATTCGATTGTGTTGTCTTGTTCAATTTGTTTCTATAAATAGTGTTATCGATCTATGAATGGCATTTGGATGAATTGAATCAAATCGAACGGGATACAGTAGAATGTTGATAGAATGATTTTGTTAATCGATTGTTATATATAGGGACAACCGATAGATAATTCAATTGTTGTTCGATCCGATACAAAGTTGACTAGTTTTAATTATTTTTAAATAAATCGTTATGTAGAAGGTTTTTGTTGATGCTGATTGTTTGCGCTCACTAGTCTCATTTCTCAGATTTCTACACGAAAGGCGCAAACAACTTTCCGAAACAATAAATTTGAACGTGGCGGGCCAACACGTCGCTTTCCATTTACATTTATGCATTTAATTTATTTTTAGCACTATGCATATAGATTTATTTTTACGTCCCGAGACTTACATACATTAATTTTGTTTCTATATTTTATACTAATTTATTTTTAAGTGTTTAATTTGTAGGTAAAACTTATTAGGTTACGAGGGGATCCGCAAAAATCTTTCGATTTCAAATCCAAAGTAAATCATTTTAATATTATTTTTGTGACGGATTTATTGTTACGGTCAGTTTAGCTGTTACAAAATGTCATTTTTTTGATAATACTAGTTTATTTTGTTGATTTAGATGTGTTATACAACCATAGATTGAAGCCTCGGATTACATACTTAAGAGCAATAGTAATGTCTTTATGTGAGCACCATCAACATCACAGCAAGTATATGAATCAAACAATGAACAAACCAAACCATGATTCAAACTACAATATGACATTCCAAAACAGATGAAAAATTCATGATTGAAAACTTACAATATAATCAAGACATTTCAACAAATTCAAATCCAAACCGACATTTCACCACACAAAATCAATACTACTTCAACTCATGACGATGACGCGGAGAAAAACCACCCAAACACAAAACAACCTACCTCCAGAATTTTTGCGCAAAATCGCCATTCTTTCTGAAACCAGTGCGGTGGACTGTGACGTTTTGACCTATAGCAGGCTTCGAACCGGTGCCGGCTCTCAGGACCTCCTTCTCTACCCCCATTGCTCTGATCGGATGAGCTAACATTCACTCGCACTCTCGCCGTTTTACTCGTTAGGGTTTACTGCTTAGCGCATTCGGTTATCGCCGCATTTTAACGCACGTGCATCACGTGACTTAAATAATGAATTTTGGATATGGCTTTATCCAATTTTTGATTCCTTTGATGATTGTGTATCTAATGTTTAGCAAACATTAGGTGTTTGTTTGGGATTGGATTGGATTTACACTATTCATTCAATATTTTTTTAAAAAAAATCAAATCAAACACTTATTTTTTATTTTTTATATTATACTGAAAATCAATTTTACATTCAAAATATCACATCAACACCTATTTATATCACATCATACAATTATTCAAATTCAAAATTTTTACTATTCAAATCTCAACTCAAAATTCAAACCTCCAAACAAACACAATATGGCATTATTAGTGTCCATTTTCAGGCATTGGGATGTCTTTATTTAAGTTTTGAATTATTTTAGAGATTTGAAAAGTTTTAAATATAATAAATAAATGATAACTATTCGATGTATTGTAGGCAAATATTAGATGTGATTTGTATATATAATAGGTTATTAATATAATGTAGCAAATAAAAAATTAATATGGATGTTTAAAGGAAAACATTTATTATGTTAATTATTAAATTAGAAAATTGTACCATTATTTTAAAAAAAAAAAATTGGTGAGGGATAAAATAACAATTGTGATAATTATATTCCTCCTTAAATTCCTATTAAAATTTGAAAATAAATAATTTTTCTTACAATAATTAAATTAATTCCTCTTAAAATCTTGTGTGAAATTATATGAATTTGAATAAATTAATATAAATGAGAGAAAAAATTTCACTATGCTAAATATAAAATTTTATCCAATAAATATTGTTTAATACTTTATATATTATAAAATTTTGTACAAATATCTTTTTTATTGATATTATAAGACATTAATAGAAGTATTTTGGTAATTTTTTCTTGTACTACGTTTTGATATAATAATTAATATTCAAACATCAATATAAAAATAAATAAATAAGACCCTTAGAACGGGACGAGTAATTTACTTTGTATAAAATAGAAATATTCAGATTAAAATTATTAATAAATTTTTCTATACATTTATTATATTTCAATTTATTTATGAAAATTCATTAAATTAATAACATATATTTTTAAAAAAATTAAAAGATTAAAATTATTTTTTAAAAAGAGGTTTAATTACGAGTTTTTTTTTAGTTTATTACCATTAAGTTAAAAATGACTACGAAATTATAAAGCATCGTATATAATTATTTTTTATGATGATTAAATTTTATAGTTGAATGATATATTTTAACTACAAATATATTTCGTAGTTAAAAATATTATAGCTAATTAAATATTTTTTAAGTGATGTCGACAATTTGCTCTTAAAAATCGCATATGGTGGAAAATACGATTTTCTCATCGACTGCTACCGTTTCCATCGCCGTTGCCTTCTATCGCCAAAAAGCCACCATTGTTGTATGTGTGTGAGGTGGAAAAGAAAGGGGGCAGGACAAAGGTTTTTATTTTGGCATTATTCACGGAATTAAAATTCGTACTATCAATATATTTGTCGTATTTATATTATATTATTATATATTTTGTATGATCTATTAATACCTTATATGTGTTATTAATAAGTATATATTTTATATATTGTCAATATTTATGAACAATCAATTTTTACATTAAACTCAATATATCATAATAAAATGCTCCATTCGTTCAAAGAAAAATATATTTGAATTTAATTTTTTTTATTTAAATAATATTTTAATGTACATTATATTTTTTTTGATAAAAACCATGTAGACTAAATAATAAAAGTATTAATTTGAACTACAAATCAATGAATTTATTGCTTTTGTTGAAAAATCAGGGTTTGTTTGGTTTGGATTTAAAATAGCTAATCAATATTTTATGAAATAAAAAATATATATATTATTGATAAATAACAATATTAAAACTTTCAAAATTATGAAGGTAAATTGAACATTAAATAAGTTTGACTATTTTTTTTAAAAAAAATTAGTCTAAATATATTGGAAATGCACAAATAATGAGAGAGTATGACCTAATTTTGTCAATTTTGTTTGAGACACTCATAATAAGTTTGGTATGGAATTTTTCTTTTCTACATTTAACTGCATATGGACTAATTTGCAATTTTTATATTTGTACATAAATATATATATACATATTCTCGACTATTATTTTTTTTTTTTAACATTTATTTTTCCCCACATCTAGTCTTAATTGCTTATTGTGTTACTTATACAAACCATTGTTATAATTAAAAATCACTAAGAATTCAAACTAATCGAATTAAATTACTGTGGTGAAAGAAAAGGAAATAAAATGGATTAATTGAGAAGATACATATTATATTGCATTCAAATAATATAATTTAGATAATTTTTATTTTTTTTAAAGTCATCATATCTTTACTTTTTATTTGTAATAATTTTATAACTTTATTTAAAATTACAAAAGAAAAAGACTTGAGATTAATATATTTTTATTTTTTTTAAAAGAAGCTATAAAGACAAACACAAAGCCACTTGCAATAGTAAGAATGTGTTTAATTTGTAATTTTTTTAATATGATAAGTTAATATGATATCTTATTAAAGATAATAATATTTTTTATTATTATTTTATTGTAATAGTTGCATAGTGACAAAATATAAAACAATTTAAAAAGAATCGAGTGTACATAGATGTCTCAATGAATTTTAAAATTAATTAGAAAGACTACGATCAATAAATAATTAAGAATATATTATTAAAATTAATTATAATATAATTTAATACTAATGACTAAAATTAAGATAATTAATTAATTTAATTAAAAAAATTCAAAAAATATAAAATTAAAAATATGTTTTTAAAAAAATAAAAAAATGATCTAATATAAGAGGTATATATAAATAAAAACTGTAACGTAGAATGAAATATATTTATTAAAAATAATACGGATTCCTAAGAAAATATTTGAAATAAAATCGAAGTTATCCATTATGTCGTATCAAATGTTACAAACTTCCTTAGCCCTAAATAATTAATTTATAATTTAAAACTTGACTTTGTAATATTGAAATGCTTATATTGAGTTTGTAATGAAAAATAAAATTAAACGCCTATTTAGCCCATGTAGTAGTATTCAGCCCAAATCAACAAAGATCCGGATTCGGATCCGAATCCGGACCGGTCCGGTAAGATCTTTTGAATTGGGCTGCAAGGGTGGTGTATTGGGCCTATTGGGGACCAGTTTTTGAAATCCTTGGTAAGCATTTTCGGGCCTCTCTCGCCACTCCAAAGTCCAAAGTGCCTCTCAACCTCAGAAGCCAGACGAACTCAACTTTCTCCCCCGACTTCCGGCCACACATCGTCTCCGCCGTCTACTCTCAATTGGATTCCGGTCATCTATCGATTTTATTGAATCGAAGTGGAAGATGCCTCCGAAGCAGCAGTCGAAGGCAGATTTGGCGAAGAAACAGAAGGTTGTTGAGGACAAGACGTTCGGATTGAAGAATAAAAACAAGTCGAAGAATGTTCAGAAGTACGTGCAGAATCTAAAGCAGTCAGTGCAGCCGAAGCCTGACGCCACCAAGATTAACGCTCAGGTAAAACGCCTAATTTTATTGTTGTTCTTATGCGGGGGTGTTTAGTGATTGCTGCGCAATTATTTCTGTTTTTGATGATTGGATTGTTGTTCGAAGAGCAGAAGAAAAAGGAGGAGGAGAAGGCTAGAGAGAAGGAGCTGAACGAATTGTTTAAAGTTGCCGTGAAACAGCCCAAAGTCCCCCCTGGTAGCTTTCTTAACTTATTTCCGATTGTGGTTTAGGGAGAAGTAAATATGTTAGGAGGATTTTGAGCCTTCATCATGTTTGAGTGATGCAGTATTGTTTTTCAGGGGTCGATCCTAAGTCAATTGTGTGTGAGCACTTTAAGGTGGGGCAATGTGCAAAAGGCTTTAAATGCAAATTCTCTCATGACTTGAATGTGCAGAGAAAAGGAGAGAAGATAGATCTCTTTAGTGATAAGCGCGATCAAGGTTAATATAAAAAAGTTTAGCTTACTGTGAAGTGATTTTTCTGGTGTTTTTGTTGAAGTGTCTAGTTGATTTATCGTTTTTATTTAATTTTGGGATTGTGTTAAAATGAAAAAGAGGAATCCATGGAGGATTGGGATCAAGAGACGTTGGAGAAGGTTGTCGAGTCCAAGAGTAAGGAATATAACAAGAATAAACCTACAGATATTGTAAGCACCCTTTTGTTCTCAACTTCTTCCTAGTGGTGAAACATCACTACTTCTAGAATATGCTACGTAATATTTTTATGGGAGATTTCAATGATGATGCATGGTAATTCTGTGCAAACATAGGACACCCTTTTAGATAGTTTCCACTCATTGAAGAGTTCGCCAGATGTTCCTTTTTCTTTTTTTGTCATTTCTAATGTTTGAGAAAATCCTGTGTATTTTAAGTGGTGTTCCAGAATAATATGTATTTTTTTTCTTGGTGATGGGAGAAGATGGCTATTGGCTACCAAGCTTTGGAATTGGTTGTTTTTTCTATATTGCTAGGCCGTCAATAGGATTTCCTGCTGATAAGCATTCATGTCATCTTCTTGAACATGTATATTAGGGGATCTAGAAAATTTTTAAACTTCTTGAGCAGAGAACACTTGTTTTAGTGACCAGTTGAAGCACTAGATTGTTATAAATGTGATTTCCTTTAGTGCATATTTTAGTTCAAATATAGCAAGCAATATCTGGTTGACAGAATTTAAGGTTTTGTAAAGAATGAGGATACGAAAAGGGAGACCTTAAATGAATGATTTTTTTAGTGATTACATTAAGACCTGGAATTAGTGTGTTAGTGAACATAGTTCAGTATGCCAAAAGTCCATTCAGCAACCTAAAACATTTATGTATGTAAAGATCAAATTAATGATTTCCATAGGATGCAACAATAATCAATCAGTTGATCTGGATGAATCTATAGTAGAAGATGTACACCACTTCTTCATTCCATTTCGTATTTTTCTTAATTCCCCTTTGTCATGCATTCATGCTGAGATGAATGGACACATATTTAAGTTCCTGTAGGGTTGTCATTTGAAACATCACGATTAATAATTTATCAATGGTCTCATGTTTGTTACAGGTTTGTAAATTCTTTCTGGAGGCAGTGGAGAAGAAGCAATATGGTTGGTTTTGGGTCTGTCCAAATGGTGGTAAAGATTGTATGTATAGACATGCTCTTCCTCCTGGATACGTCCTAAAATCTCAGATGAAAGCTCTTCTAGAGGAAGAGAGAGACAAGATACCCATAGAGGAGGAAATAGAAAACCAGGTGATACCTTTTTTTTTTTTTTTTTTTCTGTCAGTACGTTTGATCCATTAACTAAATTTTATAGAATCTTTATTGTAGTCCTGTCAGTTCCTTGGCATTTAACAATTTCACTCATCCCAGACATAGTTTTCTTACTAATGCTTTTATTTTCTTTTCAGCGTGCTAAGGTAGCTACTACGACTCCTATGACCCCGGAGTTATTCATGGAATGGAAGAAGAAAAAGGTGGAGGAGAGAGAAGCAGGCCTAGCTACGCAGAGAGCAGAGAGAGCTAAAAATGACAGGATGAGGCTAGTCTTCTTGAAAACACTTAAATTCCTGTATAGTTAGTGAAGTATTTACTTATATAGTTTCCTCTTTGGCACCCAGTGGTCGTGAACTGTTCCTCATGGATGCTAGCTTGTTTGTTGATGATGCTGAAGCTTATGATAAATACCAAAGAGAAGAACCAGACGAGGCTCAAAAGGTGAATTTTTTCAACATGCTCCTATGTTTAATCTTTTATGATCAGAAATTCAATGAATTTATCTAATTTATGAGATGTCTTGGTTTTTAGTAAGAATTGACATCTTTTTATAATTGTTACTTTTATTATCTGTTAAATTTTCATAGACTTGAGGATAGACCACTTCAGTACTAGGTTGAATGAGAATATTGGTGATGACAAATAGGAAAAATATATAGCTGATCCATTGTTCAGATGATATGTAAAATACTCACGCGATTATCATTATATCCACACACACAAACATACATATATATAGCATTAAGCATTCCAGACATACTGTCGTTACACTGAATACTGCCTTTGGTGGTTTAATTGTTATCAATCTCATGACCAAACTCAATAATCAAGGACATAAATATTTTTGAATTGTATGGTATCTGATATATATCTGACTTACCCTAACTATAGTCAACTTCATTTTTGTTACTGAATTCCGATTCATTTTCTGAGCACACACTTGGCCGACGAATCCATGCAGGCCAACAAAGATGCACCTGTGGACGGCCCAAGTTCTTCTATGCACGCCAAGCAGGATACAGAAAGTAAAGCTGACCAGGATGATTACGACGATGAAGATGACATTGATGATGATCTTGACCTGGATGAGTTAGATGAGCTCGAAGCTAGCCTTTCAAAAACAGCCTTAACAATCAATGAACACAGCTGATTTACAGTCCTGGCGGAACATTATGCATTGGGGTATTGAATTTGGAGGATGCCATAATATGGAGTTTTCCATAGCCCCAATAATGCTAACACCGAGGAGCTCTTTGTCATGCCAAATTTGGTAAGAATCTTCAAGGTTTTTTATCTTCTTTCCTACGCATGATCATCAGCTGTGTCTGTTTCAATTATTCCGAGCTGGCGTTGTTATCTTCTTTCCTACCCATGAATTATATATGCTTGTGATATTCCAGGTCATTGTTACTTCCTGTTTTGATATGCCTGCTGAGTTTCAAATATTTATTGGATTTTGATGAGGTGACTTGAAGATGATGTTTAACTTAATATTTTGTGAGCACTGTTTGTATTTTTAGTTATTTCAAAGTGTTTTAGATTAAAAATATTTTGTGGCTTGGGCTGATTTTAAGTTGTAAATTTCATCAATTTTCTGGAAGTTATATCGGCATTGTTTAGATTGTAGTTTTGGAATTTTGAAAAGTTGTGATAATTAAGAAAAAAATAAGTAATACCAAGGAATGTGTAAGTCAGTTTGATTAGTATTAAAATTTCTAAAATTGTTAATGTAAATTAGGCTTTGATAATCTTTTGTTCATTTTATTTTTACATGTATTTATTATATGTTTTGTAGATTAGTAAAATTGTATGTGGAAAGATAAAAGAGAGTTACCAATAATGACAATCTCGTTAGATAGTTATTGTGTTCATTCTATTCTATGACCCTTATCTTTCTTTGGAATGTTTTTAAGTATTATATCTGTGGCCGTGTTTTTGTATTGTTTTTTTTTTTGTAGTATAATTTTGATAATTATTTACTATAATGTTGCTTTTATTTTTTATTTATAATAATTTTATAACTTGTATTAAAACTTTATAATAATATAAATTTTAAAAATGCAAAGATTTTGGGGTACGGTAAATGGTGTTAGGTTTTGTTCATCCAACACTGTTTTTCAATTCCATTCTTAAAAAATAATAATCAAACAAATTCAAATACTCCCTTAAAAAAAAGTCAAAATATTTAATTTAAAATAATATATTTTATATTTTTGATATAATTATTTATATTATACATAATAATAATAATAATAATTCTAAAGACGGGTTGAACGGAGCCCTAATATTTCTATGACTATTATATTAATGTAATATTAAAATTTAAATTAAAACAGAGCAAACCTGTTAATTGAGATAATTGTGTGTGGGGGGATTAAATTAAAATTGGATTTCAAAAGAATATTTCCCCTAAGTTGAATTGTTTTGTGGTCTTTCAAATATTAACCTAAACAATATACTGAAAATAAAATCAAAATAAAAGTAAGTTTTAGGAAGAAAGTTCACTTGGATGCCTTTCATGGGCCATGAAAGTTGGATGAGGTAGGGAGTAGTGAAGCCCATCAAGGAGGAGTCTAAAATAATTTAAATATATTATTATTATTATTATTATTATTATTATTATTATTATTATTATATTTTAAAATTATTTTCATATCGAAATTATTGTAATTAAAGTATAAAAATAAAAAGAAGGTTGACTCAATTATTTAATTATCTAATCTATTAAAACAAAAAATTAAAATTGCATTAAAAGAAAGGTGGTAAATTGCTGGGACCCGTAGTAAAATGTAGATATTTAGAGGTATGATTAATAATAACAATAACAATATTAATATTAATATTAAGCCTGAAATTGCACGGCGATGTGAGATCCCATTAGCTTATTGTATAGTGGTAGTCTTAGGGTTGGTACTGTAGATATTGCCTGGAGTTGGGCACAACCTGTGAGAGATTGATGGAGGTTTGGGTTCCGTTGATTTACAAAATTTTAAAGTTTTAAAAAAATTAAAATAGTAAAAAGAATAAAATATTTAATATGATATTGTGTGGAAAGGTATATATATTTAATTTGATTTTAAAAAATATATATAACACATTTGATATAATTTTTTTCAATAAAAAAAAAAGTCAAAATAAGTAAAAAATAAAATTGTATAAAGAACTTGATAAAAATAATTTTAAAATATTATACTTTGAATATTATTTTATAATATAAGTAAATATTATATACGTAAATATAGTTTATATAAATATATATTTATTAAAGATAGACGTTCGGATTATTTCGAGTGTGTTTGTCGTGTAAGATGATTGAAAATTAGGTATATGAAATCGTATAAAAAATATAGAATTAATGAAATTATGTAATGTATTAAATTTTTTTTTTAAAAAAAAATATGTATGAAATAATAATAGAAATAACAAAACCTTCATCTAAAAAAAAAGAAAGAAAAAGAGTCTATGTTAAAAAAAATAAATAAAAATATAGTGCTACTAACTTGAGTTCCAACTGCGAAAGAAACATATCGAAGATTTTTTTATTATTATTTTCTTAGGTTGGCTGCTTGCTCCTTAAAATCCCCATTCCCCCTTCTAATTATTATTATTATTATTATTATTATTATTATTATTATTATTATTCATTTGTGGGGACAAAATAATAATCAAATATCAATTAATTAGACTTATGAACCTCTCTTCCAGTCCTCCTCATAACTATGCTCCCTATTTCCTTTTATAAAAAGTAATTTAATAATATAATTTTAGAAATAAGTTTTTGAATTATTTATGGGACTATATATTTAAAATTATTAGATTATAATAAATGCTTGTGCATCGAATTATGTAGTTACATGTTAGCCCTATGTGTTTGTAGGTTGGATATATTTAAAACTAAAATATATATATATATATATATATTTAGTTGAAGAAATTTGTGTCCTATGAAATCTTGTGATGTGTGTGGGGAAATCCAAACAGTGCTCTCAATTTTCAATTTTATAGAGTTCATTTTTCTTTTATCTTTTTATTATATATTTATTGACAAGAGTATAACAATTCTTATAAAATATATTACATTTAATTCTTATTTATAAAAAAATACAAAAAAAATAAATAAATTATATATATAAACAAAACCCATTCTAAAAGTTTTGAAAAAGAAAAATGATGAGCTGTAGCGACAATATTAATTAAATATGGACTATTGAACAAATTAATTATTAAATTTATTATATAAATAATAAATCTGTAAGTGAATAATTTATTTATTAAAATAAAATTGAATATAAATTTAACGAACAATAAAAAATAGTAACATAATTACAGCGGCTATTGGAAGTAATAATATATGCACATACAAATTATCACTTTTCCTGTTATTTATACCGAATTTATGTCCAACGTTGTCATTCACTTAGGATTAATTTGACAGCTCTTTATCGCTATTGTTATTAATTTATTGCATTCTTCTTTAAAGCATAGTTGGACCCATTCCTCCTTTTTTGTGTTTTTTACTACTGTAAAATGAGGGTATATTCTCTTCATTTATTATTTTTTTAATTATATAATTTTATGTAAAATATAAAATATTATATTCGATAACTATTTCTTTAAAAAAACAACAATAATCAAATTTTCAAGTGAAGATTATGCAGCAATGAATAGTATTCTTTTTTTAAAAAAATAATTATTTTTTTCGCCCGCTAGAATTACGTAACTATTGTTTTTTGCCGTCTACTAAATTTATGAATAATTTATATATTGTTTCACAATGGATGATTTAGTGGACTTGGTTTGTTGGACTTGGTATGCAGGTTATTATTAGGTTCAATAGGGAGTCCACTTAAAGTACATTCGAATAGTAGAAACTGCGAGTTCTTATGTTATTAAAAAATATATATTATTATTTTTTTACTTACCGATTATTTATTATTAATTCTTTAATAATTTCCTTATAATACTATTAACTTATTTTTAACTATCTTATTTTAATATTAAAATATTGTTATTTTTTAGTTTTGTATTCAATCAAATCTACATAATTTTAGCAAGAGAAGTAGTGTATATATTTTTATTGAAAATGTTAAAGTAAAAAAAAAAAAAACAATGTAAGAATTAGGGAATTTCATTTCTACGTATAATTTATATAAGCATGTTTATGATCATACAAAAATATCACACAATGTTAATTTTTTTTATTTTTTATTTTTATTTGTTAATTACAAATATGAGTCGATAATTTATTTTATATTAAAACTTCTATTATTTCCAAAGTCATTTAAAACACTCCAAAATACAAAACCAACAAATTTTAGTATTCCAATATAAATTACGACCCACAATGGTCACTCTTTCTGCATGTGTTTGTTTGTGGATTTTGCAAGTTGAATTTGGAATTTTGAATAATAAAGTTTTAAATAAAAATAATTTACTATAATAATTTGTGTGTAAAATTGTTATACTATAACAATGATAAATTTGTTATATACATTAATATATATATTTATATTAAAGTAAAAAGATTGTTGCTATAGTAAGAAATTTTAATTGAAATAGTAGTATGATGTGATATAAATAAATATTGATGTTATGTTTTGAATGTAAAATTGATTTTTAATATAATATAAAAATAAAAAATAAATGTTTAATTTTATGTTTTTAGAAAAAAATTTTATATTAATAGTGTAAATCCTTCCCTATCCTCCAAACAAACACACCTTTAAATGAAAAAGAGTTTCCTTTCTATATCTAAATATTTTTTTGTCGTTCTTACATCTTTTACCTTATTTTTTAAAGATTGTATATTTTAATTTTTATATATAATTATTTTAATTTTAATTAAATAAGTTAGTTATTTATCTTAATTTACCAAAAAATTTAAATATACTATATCCTATTCAGCAGTTATTTTTTTAATGTCATTGCATTTTTATATTATTTAAATATTTTTGAAATGAAATAATAATGGCATAAAAAAAATAAGTGAACATCGAAAATTTCGAAAATATTCCAAAACTGAGGGGGGCATTTTCGCAAAAAGGCTAATGTGAGAGGACTCGATTATAAAAAACAGAAAAGTTTGTTTCACGTTATTCCTCGTTGGTTAATTTGTTTTTTATTCAGCAGAGAGAGAAACCAACGCGCTGGCACTGCCCGTGCATGTCACTGTTTTGATTTTTTACACGCGTCACGTGATGAACGGCCTCCCTCTCGGCCCCCACCTCAACTAAAACTTGGTTATATTACTCACTGCTCCTGGACTTCAAACACCCGATTGATCCAAACCGTTGATCTTGCTATCTCAATGGTCATAAAATTGGTGCTTAAAAGATCCAGGATCTCGTAAAATCATCGCTCCATTCTCCTTTCCTCCTGGTTTCATCGGAGGTATTATTATTATTATTATTTAAAATGAATAATAAATAATATATAGTCATTCTCGAAAACTCCTCCTTTACTAGCTCGCTATATTTCTCTCTGCTGCTGCTGCGTCTTAAATAAATAGTAGGCTTTCATTCATTTGCATTTCTTCACTTTTTCGCCTTTTCTTCAACCTCAGTGGAGGAGGCTTGGGAGAGACTCTAAAACCAGGTGATAGCGAAGGTACCGAATTCTTTGCTAAATGATTTTTTGTTTGATGTATTAGGATTCGCTGGTAGATTTTTAAATGTGTATCTGAATGGTTCTATGGATTAAAAGAGCGATATATGATTTCCTGTGCAGGTATTCCTTTCTTTCTTCGCGAATTTTTGCTTTTCGCATGCATTGTGGCTTTAGGTGGATGCATATGTAGGTGAAATTGAGTGTAGTTTGGATTCTGTGATGTTGAACCTCGATTTGACTATTGATCCTTCTGCACCGACTTCCGATCGAACTGAATCGGCGTCGGATAACCACATCGCACTCTCCAGCGATCAAATGGAATACTCCGGCAGCTCTAATTCCTCGGTGGTTAATGTGGAGACTTCTAGCGCCGCCGGCGACGAGAACTCTAGTTCGAGTCAATTGGTCGGTTTTGATATATGGAAGAGCAGTGGTGAGTTTGGAGAGAGTGACAAATCGAGCTGCGGTTACGTGATGAAGGAGTTTTTTCCGGCTACTAGCGAAGGGCAGATGAATCAATCGATGGATCTCTCTGGAAATAACCATGAGCAAAGGATTATTGCTCAGCAGCAGCAGCAACTTAAGCGGCAGCATGTGCAGAAGAGTAGGAGGGGACCGAGGTCTCGCAGTTCTCAGTATCGCGGCGTCACATTTTATCGCCGCACTGGACGTTGGGAATCTCACATATGGTACGTTGTAAACAGTATAAATAAAGTTTGAACTGATTCCCAGTCGTTTCATTAGCTTGTTAGCGAGGACTGTATTGACAAGTTTAGCCGCTTCAATTTTTTTATTGTGATGAACACAAATTGCTTATGATTCGAGCACCAAGTATCGGATCTTCTTTAATTAGGAGTAGGAAAATGCTAGCACTCAGTGGTGCCAATCTAGTATATGCCATTCAGGGTGAAGATTAGTGCGCACCAATTTTGTGACTATACATCGACGAATCCACATATAAAAAAAACAGCGAAGAAATTGGATTCAACATTTATACATCTGATACTGATTGTCAATTTAAGTTGATCTTCACTCAATGTGTTCATCTTGATTGTGTTGTTAATGTGAGTAGTAACTTTGATTGAGCTAATCCTTCCCTTGTGATTTGTACAGGGACTGTGGCAAACAAGTCTATTTAGGTAAGATGCCTAAGTGATAAGTCCCCCGTTTGTTCATTGATGTTCTATGTTATGTGCTGATATTTGAGAAACTCATTGTCAAATGGAAATTTATTGTAGGAGGATTTGACACCGCACATGCTGCAGCTCGGTAAGATTGTTTCTATTGCAAAGTTGACACTACCTCTGAGATTGAGCAAGTTGTGATGACAAAAAACATGAATCTAACTCTAGGGCATATGATCGCGCCGCAATTAAATTCCGTGGACTGGATGCTGATATTAATTTTAACGTCAGTGATTACGAAGATGATCTTAAGCAGGTTGGCTATGCTGGTGTGATTCAATTGAAACTTTTTATTTGTATTTCTTCAGAGCTAAGCAGAGCTGTTTCTTTTTCTTTGCCTCGTAGATGAAGAATCTGACCAAGGAGGAATTTGTACACATACTACGTCGCCAGAGCACGGGGTTCTCAAGGGGAAGTTCTAAATACAGGGGAGTAACATTGCACAAATGTGGTCGATGGGAGGCTCGAATGGGACAGTTTCTTGGCAAGAAGTAAGATTAACATTACATCTGTCGAGATAATTCATTACATGTTTTTCTGAACCAGTTCATCTTCATGTTAGCAATTGCAATCTCATTGCAGGTATATCTATCTTGGATTGTTTGACAGTGAGATAGAAGCTGCAAGGTCAAGCCTGTTAACATTCTTTCTTTGTTTATCGAATAAAGCTTTTGATTCCCATACGACGCTCGTAATATTTTCTCTTGATTTTGTTTATAGGGCATATGATAAGGCAGCAATCAAGTGCAATGGAAGGGAAGCAGTTACCAATTTCGAGCCGAGCACATATGGAGAGGAGCTAAGCTCTGAAGCGATCACTGGAGGTAAATAAATATAAAACATGTCTACTCTGATTTCCTTTTGCTTCTAGAATTGTTGTCTGACTTATTTGGTTCTGTTTTCGACATCTCTAGCCGCCGAGCACCATGATCTTGATCTGAACTTGTGCATAGCTCCCCCTCCTCGGCCTGACGCTCCAATTGAGAACAATGACATGAAGGTTTGTGTGAAAAACAATTGATTCGAGTTTTAGTTTAAATAGTACATTTTCATTCGATTCGATTGTTTATTCATCCTATTTAAGAAAAGTTCACTCATGTCCAGGGAACTGCGGCAACGACGGAGAAAGGAATAAATTCGTCAGCAAATTGGACATGGATTCCCCAATACCATGTCCAAGTGAACAGTCCTTACCCTCTCGTAGCCACTGCAGCATCATCAGGATTCGCAACTAACTCAAGTTTCACTCCTTCCTTAGCCGACGATTATTGCCAAAACACATCTCACTATCACCGGACGTGATCAGGATCATCGGCAGAATCAGAGACTTGATAAATCAAAAGTTTTAAAGAGAGACAGACAACACATTATTACAAATATTCCCCATAATATTCTGTTTTTCACTATTCAATTCAAAGACTACTCTTTCTTTTAAATGCTATAAAACTTTGTTACTACAACAACAGATGCTTTTGTTTTACATAAATTAGATATATATCCAATTCTTATCCATCATCAGGTATGTAATGAGTAAGTGATGTTTTTTGTTGGGCAATGAATCATGATCCACTAAATGCAACAATTCTTATTACCTGGTGCAGGAGGTGCTGATCGTACAGGAGAAGGTTGCAAAGGAGTTGTGGGGACTACTACTCCATTATTGGTCTCCTCTCTCTCTACACTGTAAGTAAGGGAAGGGAAAAGGTTAAATGAAGTATCCTAATCCTAGTACTCTACTGTTTGCTTATGTTTTTGTCCTCTGATGTCATAACACGAAGGAGCAGAAAAGATGTAAAAAAGCCTTTGGACCGCTCACACATCCATCCAACCATCCATGTCAACCTTACCAAGCCCACTCCAGGACTGCACTGCAGGTACACTTACAGCTACTGCCATAACCTTCTTCAGAATAAATAATGTTTGAATAAAACTCTCTCTATCCTAGCTACTAATTTATTTATTTATTTTCTTTTCTTTTTAACTATAGATACTAAAGTTTAGGAGATGTATAATTACTGTAGATACTATCATTTAAAAGGAATGTAATTAGTAAAAATTAATTATTTTGTATATAATTTTATTCTAAAAAATAAAGAAATAAGTGAAACAGACTGAAATACAAAAAATGAACATAAGGAATATGACCTTGTATTATGGGATGAACTTTGGTAAAAAATAATTCAACCGGGATTCATACCCAATAGGGACATTATGTCTTTATATCATATTTAAAAATTAAAATAAAATAAATATTTTAATTTAAAATTAATCGTTGTTAAGTAGAATAGTTTTGCCCTAATAAAACAGGATTATTGAAAGATAATATAATCTCAACATGAATTTCAATGTAAAATACTTCAACAAATTTCAATATGAAATACTTAACCATCAAATTATGAGTTCCAAGTATCATACTACCTCAAATCATAAAGAAAAACAATAATAATAGCTAAATGATCATTTACTACTGTTGGTAAATTCCTCCTACTCTAAGTTGCCCTGACACCTGTCCACATCACGCATGCCTTTTTATGCTTTTTTTTTTTTTTTTACCTGGCCTTTACCACGTTACCCTATTATATGATGATATCTAATTAATAGGCGTATAACTGTATCTCAGTGTGAATAGGAGTCACTGACACACACTTTTGAAATTTGACACCATTGTTTCTGCATGCGCCTCGCCACAAGATTTTTTTATTTTTTATTTTTTATATTTTGTGTACTCCTATGTATATGTGTGTAGATCCTCTTGATTCACCCTTTATTCGGTAATTATAGAGCTGGATAAAAAAATGTACGGTTCACGTCCGATTAATTCGTAAAAACTTGTTTGCTAAAATAAATGAAATATAAATTTTAATTCATTATATTCACAAACAAATTCGAACCAATTAGCGAATATTTGATAGTATTTGTTAAAACATTAAATTAGAAATTTTATATTAATAAATATATATGTTTGTATCTATATTTAAATTTTTCTATTTAAAAAAAATTAATTTATATTAATTATAAATAAATATATATACTTTTAAATTATATGATATAAAATTTTATTTATTAAAAAAATAATGTTTAAATGATTTAAATGCATATTTTAATTTTTTTTAATTATATATACATTGTTGGGCCTAATTTGGAGTCTGTTAGGTTCGATAAAAAAATTTATCATTTTTCGAGTAGCGGCCGTAATTTCTCACGTTATAATAATAAAAATAAAAATAAGAATAGAGATTTGAATGGCTTACTACAGGCAATTGATATAGGAAACAATTAAGGAGTACTTTACATTTTTATTGCATATGGGATTTTGAGTTGGATTGAAGTTGAAATTAATGAAATAAATAAAGTGATTTAATATTTTAAAAGTAATATAAAAAAATAAAAATATATACTTTATTATTGGACCGAGTGAGTATATATTCAATAAATTTTATTCTTTTCATATCACATCTCATGTTGTCATTTATATGCTTATCATATTTCATGTTATTTTTTCTATATAAAAATTACACATTTTAATTATTTTTAATTTTAAAATTTTAAGTCTTAAATAGCTTAATTAATTATTTTAACATTAATTGTATTGTATTTTATTTATTTTATTAATATATTTTAAATTATTTACTATTAATTATAATTCTTCTAAAACTTTTGTATCTATTGTAGTAATGACCAAAATATAGAAAAGAGGGAGTACTTACTTAATGGTGTATTTTTTTTTTTATTTGGTTTAAAAAAATTTAATTTAAATTTAATATGTATGATATAATATTTTGTATGAAAAATATATAAAAAAATCTTAAATAACATATAAATGTATACATATGTTTATTTAATTATTTAGACCTAAAAGGTGGCGTTGGGTGGTATTAATAATTTAACCTAAAAGCAGTGATACAGGTTTGTGAGTTATACCATAACTGATACATTTATTGTGAGGATATCCGTGTATGGATGGATGGCCTTTTATTGTTGTAAGGCTACATGACAAGTCATAAGCAGAGGCAGGTCTATGCACTTACTAAGTACCATAAATTAATTAATTAATAAATAATAGTATTATTATTATTATTATATTCTGAGAGTAAGAGCCTGTCAGCTGTACAGTTATGATCCAATCAGAAAGGACAACACTTTCTGATGGATCAGTTTTGGCTGTTTCTTCCAAAGTCCACTCAAGAATTATAAATCCAATTGATTTGACAACACTCCTTGTTACTGCTCTCTCATTGCTTAATACGTATAAATAAATATATGCTATCCTATGCTACATGCTACTATGTTAAGCTAAGATGTGGACGCTGTTTTAGATATAAAAAAAAAAAATTAATTTTGAAAGTTTTTTTTTTAAAAAAAAGTAATTTTTGATTTGATTTTGTAAAAATAAATGTATTTAATATAATAATTTTTAAAACAAATAGTGTTAAATAAATAAAAATTGATTATGACAACGAAATAATAATAATGAAAAAAAACCCCTCTTCTTATTTTTGTCCTATCATCGAAACATTACATAAGGAGACTGAAATATATTTTGAGGGATTAATTGTTTAGTATTTTAATTTAAGTACTTTTTGTATATTAGGTATAAAAAATAATACTTCCTCCGTCCCAAAAGTATAGTCTTGTTGTATTGAGCACGAGATTTAATGAATATTGATATTATATTGGTAGTTGGTGAAAAGTAAGTATAAAATATTTTTTTGCCCTTGTGAGTATATTAGTGTAAAAAGTAATGGCAATTATGTAATAATAATGAAAAAGTAAGAATAAATTTATGGTGATATGGTTATTTATGAAAATGAGACTATTGTTTTGAGACAAATAAAAATGGTAAACAAACTATTGTATTGGGACAGATAGAGTATTTAATATAAATAATTTATTTTATAAAAAATAATAAAATATATATTAAAAATTATTTCGATAAAATATTAATTTTACAAACACATACACATGGTTTAGTTTATTTTATATTTTACTGGGTATTTTTTTAAGAGAAATAATTATTTAATGCCATATTTTGTAATATATATATATGTATCTTTAATGAAATTCTTTTAATAGGATTAAGAACATCCGTTACAGTCACCTCTTTCATTGCCTTTGTGATTATCTTTCCGGTTTTTACTATAATAATACTCGTTACCTTTAATAAGAAATACAATTAATCTAAATTTATTACCTTTGTCAAGAACCGGTTACCTTCAACAAAAATAATAAAAATTAATCAAGTATTATCTTTTCTTTTTTTTTTAATCTTAAAATTTCAAATTTTAAATTCAATAAAAATTATCTATAAATATATTTAAAACTCATTAACCAATTATAACGTTTTATCTATCTTATTTTAAAATTATTTTTTTTGGTCTCTGATTTTTCATATTCAAATTTTAAAATAGTGAATTATATGCTTCAAATTATTAAAATTTACATAGATTAATATTTAAAAATTAAAATATAATATTATATAAAAATATTATTATACAATAGAAATATAGGACTATGTATAAATAAATAAATTATTTTTATTATAATACTACGTAATAAAAATATATAGAAATAAATAAATTATTGTAGATATTATAAAATAGTAAAGATAATGAATTACAGGTAATTAACAACAAAGGGTGATAAAAAAAGTAATTTGAATATTGAAATGATTATGACGTGGATTTTATCTAGGCTAGAGGTAATGACTATAATAAATGCTCTAATTGGAAAGTTAAAAATTGAACACAAAAGTTTAAGTAAAGAAAATCGGCAGTGAAAATTTGTTAAGACATATTAGCGGGCCAGGTTATAAGGCCCAAATAAACGAACCAATATGTCTCTCAATAGCCCATTAATTTTAGCCCACTGATTCTTTACTCAATTAATACACACCTATACTTTGTTTTTTTATCCCACATCGGATGTACACTGCAACGAGACACCATCCAGCGCTATAAATAGAGACTCACAGCCTTTCTTCAAATTCACGCAGCCGCGCAGTAGGCACATAGCGAACTATTCTTTCGCCTTTTACTAAAGAATACCGTGTGTCTGCTGCAATTAAGTGGCATACGCTACTTTTTGGAGGGGTATTCCTTTATTTGGAACTCCCCATCAATTTTAAGTTATAAGTTTATGCCACTGTTGGTCTTTTTAGCAAGGTGTGATTTCCCTGGCACATGATCTTTTCATATTTCCTATGAACACTTTCATTTTAGTGCGTATCATATCTTCTTGCTCTTTTGTGTTTTGATTTTAAGTCAAATGTGTTATGTTATCAGAAAATTTGTGTTTGTAGTTGTATAAAGATAAAACCGAATGAAGGTGTGTGTATAATTGTGATTTGAAATCAGTTCTTAATTTAAATTTGCGTAAGCTAAAATATTTTTAATATATATTTTTCTTTTTAGAAAAATCTTACTATGTACACTTTTTTATCAATAGTAAATTTATTTGAATTTTTTTATTAAAAATATATATTTTTTTTTATACTTTTTCCCAAGTCATATGTACTTTTCTTAGATGAAAAATAAAAAAATACCTTTAAATTTATTTATTTTATAATTATATTATTTGTAATATGTAAAGTATATGAATATATTTTTATTAAAATTTTTTAATTTTTTTTTAATTTTAATTAAACTAATTTGTTATTTTAATTTTAATTTATAATTATTTATATTATAGGATAATTATTTTTACTAATATATTTTTAATTATCTACTAATTACAATATAGTGGACAGTATCGACTGAGGGAGTACTTTCACTAAAAATAAATAAATTTGAGTTGGAAAATAGCAAAATAGAAAGAGTATGATACTTTTAGGGTGTGTTTGTTTGAAGGATTTTGGAGGATTTCCACTATTCATCCAAATTTTTTCCCCCAAAAATATCAAATCAAACAACTATTTTTCATTTTTTATATTATACTAAAAATCAATTTTACATTCAAAACATCACATCAAACCCTATTTATATCACATCATACAACTATTCAAATTCAAAATTTTTACTATTCAAATTCCAATCCAAACCCCCAAACAAACACACCCTTAGAAAATAAATTTTATACTCAAATAAAATATCTACTAATCTTTTCAAAATTTTAGGAAACTTCAATTTTACTGTTATATTTTTTTTAGAGTAAATTGTGTATATCATATCTGTATTTTAATAAATTTTCATGAAATCTTCTGTATTAAAAAAAATCATATCAAAATCTCCTCTATTACAAAGATATTGCAGACTCCCCACAATTACTAACAGAGTTGATTTAGTTGGTGAAGTAACCGTTATACCATTTGCATTTAAACTCATTAATATCTCTTTTATGATAAATCATAAATAATTCTTTTATTAATTAAATGAAATTAACTTTCAATGAATGCCCAGTTTATATCCATGATCGAGGGTTTTAACCCAATGAAAATTCTTACATGAAATCAAATTACTTAGAAACAATAACACTAATTTAAGAAACTATAAATTTTTACCTGTGCAACGAATTTGTTGAGGTTATTTTTGAATCCCTCCCTTGCGAATATCAATTGCTTTCGGTGAAGAGGGCTTCGACAGGAAAGAAACAATGCTTGAGTTAGGGCATATGATCGACAAAAAAAAAAAAATTATATTTATTGAAAAAATATTCAGATACAACGAAGGGCATTTATGTTATTTCATAAGAACTTTGAGAGCTTATTTCTATGACACAGGCATAAATAACGCGTGTATTGGGGTTATATCATAAATGTAAATTATGCAATAAAATAAACATAAAGTGTATTAGGCAAATTTCAAATAACACAAGTACCAAAGTGAAATATATCCTATTTTTTATTAGAAAAATAACACCAATTCATATCAAGTAAGCGAGAACTCGTTATGGGTGCGTTCGGCCAAATTAAACCATAGATAATTTAATAAGATATCACATATTTTATAAATATTTATTTATGAAAGAGTAGTTGGCTTTTAACATCATTAATTAAAATATAATTATAAAATATTAAATCAAAATAAATTTATTCACTCTGCCATATATATATATTCAATATCTCTTCTAAAAATATAAATAAATTTCAAACTCTAGTTTTACATACAAACCAATATCACCACCATTCCCATTCCAAAAACAATAAAAAAACTCAAAAAAAATCCAAATCAAAATACAATATGTAAATAAAACACACCAATAGAATAAAGAATAAAAATAAAAAAATCGTCTTCCTTTATTTATATTAACAATTACAAATAATCAAAAAAATATCTATAAATCTAAAACCCAATATAATCTCAATCTAACCTGATGTTTATGCGTCGGAGCCACACCGAATGCAAAACCATGTGCAACAAATCGTACGGCCTCGCCGGGCGGTGCAGCAGGAAGTGGCGCTTCGCCGCCGCCACCCCTCTCTGCAGCTCCAAATACTCCTCCTCCTTTATACCTTCTAGAATCTTCTTTATCTCCGCTATTCTCCCCACCGGCACGTGCACCGAGAACCTCCCCCAGTCCAGGACGTCGCTGAACGGCAGCACGTACCCATCGGAAACCACCACCGGCACGCACCCCACGTGCATCGACTCCACCAGCCGGGGGCTCGCCACCTCCCACCCGCTCGGACACAGGCAGTACTTCGCACGTGCCATCTCTTCAAAGTAGTTCACGCCCCCCGGTAAATACTCGTGCACCTGGACCTCCGGGTCCCGGCCCTTCCAATAATCTAGAAGCTTCTCCCGCACGTACCCGTGCCGCCCGCCGGCGAAGAATGCGAGAATGCTCCGGTTGCGCGCCGCCGTGGAGGTGACGTCCGGCGGGCCGAGGGCGTCATCTGGAACGTTGATTTCCGGCAGCGAGACGTCTCTCTCAGGCCGGAAGCTTTCGGAGGCGTTGGCATTGCAGAGGACGCGGATGAGGTTGCGGAAGAGGTCGGGATTGGCGGCGGAGGCGTCGGGAGCCCAGTCGTGGCAGCCGACGAAGAAGTGGTCGGCGCCGCCCGTGCGGTTCCAGTATGGGTACTTTTCGGCGAGGAGGGATACGTAGTCCTCGACGACGTTCTGGAGGAGGCGGCGGTTGTAGTGCACGCGCGGGGTGTAGAGGTAGTGAATGATGTTGGTGAAGCCGATGGGGAGGTAGAAGGCGGTGGCCTCTTCCGGCGCGGCGGCGGCGAGAGGGTTCCGGCGGTTGTGGAGGTGCTCCAGAAGGTGACCTTCGATGGAGTAGATGTCTTTCATAGGACCGCTGTGGAAAATTGGAGGCTCGCCTTCTTTGTACACCCATATTCTTAGCTTATTCTCCATTTCTCTGTAGCTCCTGAATCAATCCAATAATTTCCATTTACAGGTTTAGTTCATGTACATCAATGGAAGATTGTTATTTGCTTATTACTGTAACATGATATAATTAAATACATTATTTGTGATTTCCTAAATTTTGATTCCACTTCAAGTGAGATAATAGAAACTATAATAGCTAAAATGTTGTATCTCATATTTATTATCAAACTTCAAGTGACTAATACAAATTCACCAAAGCAATGTAAATTAGCATGTGCAAAATTCCTGCAATTTGCAAGCAAAATCAACTATCAATTGAACACAGAAAATTTCATACGTTGATCATATTCGAATGTAAGCAGTAGGTTTGAGTTTGCATGGAAACATGTAGATATTTTATCTCTAAAGCAAAATAAATTTGTATATAGTAAGGTAATGTTGACATGAATGAATAATGAAATAAATTGAATACCGTAAAACGCAATAAAGAATACAATTTTCTTAACTGATGAAAGGCGTAGGGATTTCTGTAAATGGAACCTCTTGGAATGAAAGTGTCGTTCTCGTAGGACACATAGCGGCGTTTACGTCCGGCTGCAAGTATGTCGGCTCGAGCTCGAGCCAAACCTATTTCCAGCCTCTCCAATTTTTCATTCCTGAAAATTCTTCTCACCTAATCGAATATCACACAATCAGTCAATTCATATCGGAAATTAAATACAGATACAGATGCGCAAGCAATGTACGTAGGTACCTGTTTGTCAGTGTGAGGAGAAGACGAAGACGGAGACAGAGGCGAGGAGCGAATTCGAGAATTTATGCTGATTAGAGAGAAAAGAACGATGAGAAAAAGCGAAGAGTATAACAACGAATTGGCGATCAAAGTGGAAGTGGCGCTGTAGATCGTCTTCGTACTTCTAGCCATGAGTTCGATCTCCGCACAGGTATTTAGCGTTGCCTGCATCTGAAAACGCATTCGCCATTGATTATGGCGGAGGAGGAAGAAAAAGAAGAACAAGAGGCGGCTAGGTTACTGCGAGGTATACGATTCCGATAGAGACGAAGATTTCAGATACTCTAGATCTTATCGCGTAAACGTAGCAGGGGCAGTGCAACTGTACAGTTTATTTATACTAAATATATAGATTTCAATCAAAATAAACAATATTAATTAATTAATTAATGAATACTAACAACTTATAGTTAACCTAGTTAACCATCTTGCAATCTCAGCCGTCAGACCCCGATCTTTCTCCACCGTCCGATCTTCTCGTCCAGATATAAATATCCACGATCTCGTTCTCCTTCCCTCCATTTTCTCGCACTGGACGGGAAGCTATGAAGGCGTTCCTTGATAATGCGAAAATTGGAGAGTGTTCAGGAAAGCATTTCGAAGTTCATTGGTGAGTGTGTTTGGACTTTGGATTCAGTTAACTTTTTTGTGAAATTTGCTTATTTCATTCATGATTTGGTAGCCGAGATCGAGAGTGTATGCTGCACCGACCACCGAGCAAGTTTGGGCTTGGTTTACACCTGGTAAATTAGTGCATAGCGTTCTGAATTTCCGCCATTGCTCTTGGTCTTCTATCAGGAGTTGCGTTTACCTTGTTAAACCTTGTGATTGCAAGTATTTATCATTAATTGCATTCATTGCTCAAGGCGATCAGGTTTCGAAAATTGGAGAGTGTTCAGGAACGCGTTTCGAAGTTTATTGGTGAGTGTTTTTGGAGTACTTTGGATACAGTTGGAACTTCTTTTTTTGTGAGTTTTGCTCATTTCATTCATTATTTGCTACTGCCGAGAGTGGTGCTGCACCAAGCAAATTTGTGTTTGGTTTCCAGCTGGTAAATAAGTGTATGGCGTTCTGAATTTTCCGCCATTGCTCTTGATCTTCTGCCATGATTTCATTTTACCTTGTGAAATCTGCATACACCAATAGTTTGTTGAATATAATGTTTGTTGGCGTGGTGATAGCTTGCAAGTATTCTATCATTAATTGCATTCCTTGCTCAAAGCAGTCACGTTCCTAATCTAAATCAGTTGTTTTTTTTTCAATTATGTCGATTTCGTGTGTGTTGTTGCTACTGAAACCATATATCAAATGTGCTCTATGGTGTACATTTGCAGGACAAAAGAACTGATAAGCGCTGCCAACAAAAAAAAGGTTAGATAGGAGATCAACGGGAATGGTTTTGCTATAGAAATGGCAACAGTGGTGGTACGTTGGAGGGACTCCATTGATACACTCGAGTTGCATCTTAGACGTACAGAGAGGTGCGTAATAATAATATTCTAATTCGTGAAAAGAAAGAAAAAAAGTTGTCAACAAATCAATTAATTGTCTTAAAAGGTTAGTTAAAAAATAATTAAATAAATAAAAAGAATTTAAATGTCAGTGAAATAAAAAAAATATATTTTTAAAAAATAAAAGTTCTAAATAATAAAATTTTGAATTTTAGTGGAGAAACCCACGCGTTAGAATGGGAGGATTGAGAATTAATAGTGATTTAATTAAAAAATTTGTATATCTTATTCAACTTAATTTTTATCGGTCTAGTTGACCGACTCGGTAGCCTATTTTCCAAGGGTGTGTGTTCCGTTAAATAGTTTAAAAGAATTTTTTTTTTTCTTATATTAAATATAAAATTTATATAGATAATATAAAAATAATAAATATTTATTATATATTAATTGTTTTTTAAAAAATATAAATATAATTTTATATAAATATAATTTTTTCTTTTTGAAAAAAAAGTTCTTTATCATCATTGGATTGAAATTTTTTAACTTTAATACATTATTAAAATTAAACTTAAAAAATAATAATAAAATATATCAAAATGGAAAAAAAAATTCAGCTATATAATTGAAACTTTTTAGGGTTTATTTAATTATTTATGCATAATTTTTACAAATTCATTCAATAATATCCTAACTGTTATTAAAACAAAAAATAAAATCCAAAATAATTCAGCCACCAAATCCGCTACCTTACTTCAATTTTTGCCTTTTTACCTTCACAGCCAAACACGCCCTTCCTTTTCGTTTTGAGTTTTTGAGAAACCGCCTCTCTGCAGTTCAAATTTGTTCTGTCTTCAGTTTCCCTCCCTGCCATCTCCGATTGCTCGCAGCCGCTCACTCGCAATTGCAGATACAGTTAGTTTCTTGGGCGACTGTCGAATCGGGATATTTGATTAATCGGAACAATGGAAATTGAGGAGTGTCGGGAGATCCATCTTGATCCAGAAGCCCGCGATTGCACGGACGACAATAAATTTTCAGGTGAGTACCGTATTTTCTTATTTTAACTTTTTCGCTCTTTAAGTGCATGAATCTGTTGACGATGTTCCGGAAAATCGTCGATTGAGCGTTAGTATACCCTGTGTGTGCAATTAATCGCTGGTTTGGTATGTTGGAGCTATGAACGAAGTCCTTTTTACTAACTAGTTGGTTTGGATCTGTGACGATTTTTAAAATTCAAGTGAAAAATAGAGCGATTGGTTAAGGAGTATAGCATAATTGTTGGATACGAAAGCCAGTTTGCCGTGTGTCGATTTATTTGAAATAGAGAACTCTCGAAAGAAACATACCCAATGTTTTATGTATTATGTTTTCCTTTGTTTGTGTTTCCGGTGTGCTGATTAATAATTTTACAAAAATCAGGCATATCTCACTACTTGTTATTTGTTTATAGCTTTCAATGCTGGACAAGAAGTAGATCTTGGTATTGATGACCTTGATCTCTTGCATGATCTCCATCAATCAATGGAGGCTGAACGAACACAATCAAGGGGGAGGTATAATCTACGAAAAAGTCTTGCTTGGGACTCTGCCTTCTTCACTAGCGCTGGTAATATTTCTCATTGAATCTTTCTCTCCTAATTTAAAAGGAAAATGGACTATCTTTAGTTATAATAAATTTTTATCAATTTCTAGGGGTGCTAGATGCAGAAGAATTGTCAAGCATGATTACCGGAGCAGATAAGAGTAAAAAGAAACTCTTACCTGGCATTCAAGAAGATATTACAGCATCAACTGAGTCAATTTCAAGCCTTGAAAGTGATCATTTTGATCTGGAAACTCTTGAGGAGGAATTGTTTGTTGACATTAGAGCTTCTATACAGAGATCAAATAAAAAACTACCCAATTTGTCACGCTTAAGTGATAAGAAGGCCAATGTGGAGGTAGACAGTTCGTCCATTTCATGTAAGTAGTTTCATCAATTGTGCCTCTTTTTATTTGGGTAGACAAGAAGATTAATTTCAATTTTGCATGATTTTTTTCTATTTTTGCATCATGTATGTTAATATTTTCTTTACTTTTTCATTCTCTTTGATTTAAATGTATGTATTTAGAGTGTTTCAGTGGTTAGCAATCTTATGGTAAAAAAGTCCTGATTCTTATTTATATGGCCACACAAGTAGATTTTAAGGTTTACATGATTTTTTTTCTATTTTGGTGCAATGCATATGAATATTCTCTTCTGTTTTTCATGCTCGGATCTAGATATTTTGCATTTAGAGTTCTTCAGTAGCTATCAAGTTTAAGTCTAAGATTTGTTGGAATTGCTGTATCTTAATTATTGGCTTGAGGACACACCTTTCAGTAGGAAAATAGTTGTTGAGATCTAAGCTTTCTACTCCCGCTAGTTGTTTTCTTACCACTTTTACTTGTTTCTTTGATCAAGTAAGTTTTCTCAATTACATATTTTTTTTGTCAAATTGTTCTAACTGAGTTGGCATGCAATGCAGCTCTGAAAAATGAAGGTGTCACTCCTAGATCCCAAGACAAGGTAGTTTTCACGTAATCATTATTGACTCATTATTAATTTATCTGAATATTTGATATGATATACCCATTCTTCAGAATTCAAAACCTCGTTCAAAGGGGACCAGTGCCCCAGAAACTGCTACGATGCCAAAGTCTCTAGTAAAACAAAATGTTCAGCGGCAAGCATTGAGGACGGGAATCAAGCAAGATTCTGGTCACTCACAGGTTAGAGTTAAATGTTTATCATTAATCTTTTATCATTGGAAACAACTGACATCACCTTCTTGTTGTTAGATGCTATCTGTTGCTAAGACTGGTGATAAAAAAGTAACACTTGGTAAAACTCCAAGGAATATCATCAAGCCTGTTACCAATCCAGCCACTGTCCAACGGGACTCAATGGGAATCGGTCGTGGCAAATCTGAATGTGGAAGCTCAAAACTTGGAGCTCCAGGTGAACTATCTAGTTCGTGTTTGTGTGTGTTTAACAATGAAACCAGAAATCATTGCCAAGGAACTCATCTTGTGCGTGTTTGTGTGTTTAAATGAAATCAGAAATCATCTTGTGCCTAATGTTATTATTTATTGGCAGTAACTACTACAAGTAAAGGAACCCAACTCCCAAAAGTAGCTGTCAGCGCAGGAAGGATGTTGCCTAGGCCTGCAGTGTCATCGAAGACTTGTCTAAAAAATTCTTCTACTTCAGGCAGAGGGCAGTCCACTAGGTCCTCCACATCAAGCAACAGTTCTAATGGTTTGTCATCTGGAGCAGCATCTAAACTTCTCCCGGCAAGAAGAAATCCAGGAGGAAGCAGCAGCAAGACAGTTACTGGTCCTGGTTCCATCCCTAAGACATTGACAAGAACTGCAGTGCAGAACAAACCACCATCTTCGACTACTAAGGTCTCCTCAAGTGTCTCATCAGGTAGTTCAATTGGCGACTGGTCTTCTGTATCTTCATCATCGTCCTCTTTGGCCATCCGAAAGTTTAACAACACTAAGGCAAGCGTAGAAATCAGCTCTTCTAAATCTACAGATGGGAGGAGCACCCAGCCTTTGCATTCAAAGAATCCTTCTGCTGACCCAACAACTGGTGGACATGAGAACTCAAAAGTTCATATGGCAAATGGCATTTCCAACAAAACCACAACAAGTGTTGTTCAGTCTTTAGGGAAACCAACAGGATTACGAATGCCTTCTCCCAAAATCGGGTTCTTCGATGGGGTTAGTAATGCATACAAAAATCCCATTGCAAGTGATCTTAATTACATTTACTGAGTTTCGGATATCATACTCTATGAGCTGTATTACCGAAGTATTCTCTCTTTTCTTTTTCCTTTCAGGTGAAATCATCCCCTCGCACTCCCAATGACCACAAGCCTACTCAACCTGGTTTGCGCGCAATGTTACCCAGAAATGGAGTTGCTGCTAGCAGTCCAGGTCTAACCTCTAACAGCAAAGCGAAAAGTGTTAAGACTCCAACAAGTAGGATGTCAGCTTCTTCAGCAAGCTCAAAGCCTGATTCAGCAAAGGCAACATCTCTTAAACAGTCACATGATTGGGTAAATTCTTCTGTTCCTTCAGATGGAAAAGATTCTTGCAGCTTATCTGTTGGGATTAAAGGGAATGATTATGTGAAGGCTGAGAAAGTTCAAGTTGATGATTATGTGAAGCAAATGGTAGATGCTGATGCAGATGCAGATGTTGTTGTCGAAGGGAATTTAGGCGACTTTAATATAGATGAGTTCATGGTTCCCGAGGATATCCCTGGCTTGCATGATGTATTGCCAGTAACTGGCTGTCCAAGTGAAATTTCGAATGGCAAATTGAAGGATAGCAAGGCTCCTACGACTGGAATGTCAGCTCCTTTGGCACCTGATTCTCTAGAGGTCGTCACTTCACACTCATCTTTTCAAGAGAAGTCGGTAAGTTCTTCTCCTGTTGGAGTTGAAGGGAATGGAACTGTCAAGGAGTACCAACATGAAGAGAAAATCCAGGTTGACGATGGTGGGGTGAAACAAGTGGTAGGGAATTTAGGCAACATGAGTATAAATGAGTTGATGGTTTCCGAGGATATCCCTGATTTGTTGTGCACTATGTCCCCCCAGGATGGAGCTGCTGCTGCTGCAGTCAGTCCAAGGCAAATTTCGAACGGATTACTGAAAGGAGGCTCAGAGCATTCACTAGATTCTTGCGTTTTGCTGGACATCAAAGATTCTTCCAGCTTGTTTATTGAAAATGATAAAGGGAACCAACATGAAGAAGAATGCCGAAATAGCAAGACATTTCTTTTGGATAATGAAATGACGAAGCAAGATGGCATTGTGAAGGGGAGTGGTGAAGTTGCAGATTCTGAATCAATTGCTATTGGAAAGGATCAAAGTTTGATTCAATCTTGCTATGCTGCTGCTGCTACCGAAAAGGAAAACTCACACAACGAGAATCAAGGAGAGGGTGTAACAGAATCTAATAAAAAAGATTGTAGCCCCTTAAACCCGAAGAATAATGAAGACTCTTGTGAAGAGCTTCGGTCCCCTTTGGCTCTCAAGAACGAAGGGCCCGAAGAATTCAGATTGGATAGCAGCAGCAGCCTCGTTGGAGATGAAAGAACATCAGCAAGAGAGCCACTCATGTAGCAAATCTATCTATCAGGTACGTAAATGTATGTCACAATGCAGAGTTTTTTCTTTTTTTTTTTTACTCATTCAATCATTGAAATTGATTTTTGATATGGTGTCGTGCTAAACTTGAGTTTTGTTTGGTTGTAAGAAAAAGCAAGTATGGGATATTATATTATGTGTTTTCCTTTCCTTTCTCTGCAGCAGAGTGGGCATGATTGAGGAGGGGTGGGTATGCATCATCCCATACGTCTATTAATCAGCAGGGGAAATATGCTCTGGAATGCTCTCTGCCCGGTAATTGGTAAAGTAAGCAACTCTCGACTGTCTCATTTTATTCGTTAGTGCGTTTGTATGACTGTAAATTTAAAAAAAAAAAAAAATACATAGAGAATATCATCCTTCGCTCGCAGTTTAAGGCATCTTGGAAGTTTTAGGCTATTCACTCACGTGCTTATACTTGTAGTTTCTTCATTTTAATTCACCTTTTGTTACTAAGGAAATTAAGGCCCAAAAGGCATAAAAAGTTTATGGCCCAAAAGAGGAACACCCTTTTTAAGAGTATAGCATACATCCTGCCATTGAGTCTGATTGTGTAAAATGTCTATATGTTGTCGGCCCAAGCCCAATAGAGCTAAATTATTAAGGACAATTAGGACAGCCCAACAGTACAACATACGCTTGATGTGTTGCCTGGCCTTAACGGCCCAACGTCACTTTTATACTGGGCCTGGAGACAGAAATAATAAGCCCCCTTGCTGCCGGCCCATTTCAGACAGGCCTATAGACGCGTTGCCAACATTCTCACCTGTTTGCACTTTCCTTTCGGCCATCTCAGACAGGCCCATGTAAGGTCGAATGCCTTAGAGGCCTAATGTCATCTTCGCAATGGGCCTTCACAGGCCTTCCTACAGTCACATGTGGCACCAGCCTGCTGTCGGCCCATCACCGACAGGCCCACAATATGTGGGCTGGTATGATAGGCCCAATATCGTCTTTGAGCTGGGCCTTGAGGCCCAGATCTAGTGCCCAGAAGCTGCTGGCCCATCTCCGACAGGCCAATAACGGTTACTTGGGCGTTGTCCGCTTATTTTGCACATGTTACACGTGGCATTTCACTGGCTGTCGGCCCATCTCTGACAGACCTAATGATGTCGGTGGGCCTTACAGGCCCAATATAACGTAGGGTCTTAACGGTCCAATATAACCTTCAATGCTGGACCTTAAGGCCCAAATTAGATTACGTGCTGTCGGCCCATCTCGGACACATATAACGGTTACTCACATTTTGTCAGCTCACTTCCGACAGTGTCACTTGGCATCAGACTGCCTGTCGGCCCATCTCAGACATGCCCAATTAATGTAAACAGGCCTTCTTAGCCCAAATAAGGCCCAAATTGATATTGAATGATGTCGGCCCATATCCGACAAGGCTCTAACGGTTACTTACATTTTGTCGGCTCACTTCTGACAGTTGCACCTGGCATATGTCGGCCCATCTGGTACAGGCCCATGTATTAAAAACGGGCCTTACCGGCCCAAAATAACCTTCCATACTAGACCTTAAGGCCCAAATCTAGATCACGTGATGTCGGCCCATCTAGTACAGGCCTATAACGGCTACTCACATTGTCAGCTCATTTCCGACACTTCCACGTGGCATCAAACTGCCTGTCGGCCCATCTCCGACAGGGCCATGTAATGTAAACGGGACTTGCCGGCCCAATCTAACCTTCAACACTGGGCCTTAAGGCCCAAATTAGGATCATGTGATGTTGGCCCATTTCAGACAGGCCTATAACGGTTATTCACATTTCGGCTCACTTCCGTGTAATGTCAACGGGCCTCACCGGCCCAATATAACCTTCAACACTGGGCCTTAAGGCCTCACGGTTACTCGCATGTTGTCGGATCACTTCCGACAGTTCCACGTGGCATCAGATTGCCTGTCGGCCATTTCCATCAGACCCCAATATAACATTTGAACTGGGCCTTGAGGCCCAAAACAAAAACTCCCGTATTACCGGCCCACCTAACTCAGGACGACATAAGTCATAACGACTCATAACCCCAAATTTTAATGCAAAGCAATCTAATGAATATACCACACAATTATCTAAGAAATTAAAATCAACTATCAAAACCCTCCCTATTGCATTGCATGCCACATGATGATATGATACATACATAGAGACAGATTCAACATTTACGACCTTGGCTTTTCCTCCTCCTCCTCCTCCTCTTTGAAGAGTGCCGACAGAGAAAGACCAGACGCGTTTTCACCACCTTAAATTAAATGTAACACCAGGGCAGGGGCAGAGCAGGCAATCATTAGAACAGCCAACCAAATCCAGCAATCAACAATTCATCCTCTATATTTAAGTATATATATATATATATATAAGTTATAACTCGATAATTATAACAGCCATAACTCACATTTCCATTTCCTTCATTGAAATTAGGACAAACATCATTGAACAACAAAAGTAGCAATCTTAGAATAGCAGAGTTTAGCTTCAATGCCTCTGCAACGATTAATAATCAACCCAAATCAACACCTCACAAAATCAAAACCCAAACCAACCATAGATCAATGCACATACCCCATCGTCCCCGTATCGAATAGTATAATTGACAAGTACAAACTACTATTCTTGACTAGCCAGAGGCCATCTCAAATCATAATATATCATTACCAAAGCACACAACATACAATCAAGCTATTAGAATTTTAAATTGAATGAACATTTAATATTTGTGCGATCATTTTCATGAAGATTTAGATTATCTACATTCAACACCTTAGTTCCAGTTGTTTTTAGTAACAAGAACAGATCTCTAATTGCTCACATTGATGAACTTTTACATAAGGAATCACTAGAAAAAATGAAAAGTATATCCTTCAAACTCATTGGAAAATTTGACAAACATGCAACCCTTATGACAGTGCACCAACATTACTTTACATATTATCCAATATGGAAAGGGGAGGAAGAACAAAAAATAATTACCTTTGGTGCTAGTTCAATGATTTAATTCATAGGCAGCACTTGAAGCTGCAAGAATCAGGATATTCTGACAATCATCTTATTCTTCTTACCAGCAGATAAAAGGATAACTTTTCCATCGACTACATCTTCATGATCAATCACCTTGGCTTCATTATCAATCCTGGTGTTGTTCAAGTAGAGTCCTCCTTGCTTCAGCAGACGGCGGGCAGCTGATTTACTCTCAAGCAAGCCAGTTCGGGCAGAGAGATCCAAGAGAGAGATGTTCAAAACTTGATCCCTCGGCAAAGAACAGGAGGGAACATCGTTGGCAATAGTTTCAATAGCCTTCCAATCTAATCTGGTCTCTGCACCCGGCCTCAAGGCCTGTGTGGCATTGAGTGCCTCCTGCAATCCCTCCTCGCCATGGACAAATCGAGTGACTTCCTCTGCCAACCGGCGTTGGGCAGTATTGGGCACATAGCCAGTGTTATCCTGCATTTCCCTCTCAATTTGAGAAATCTCATCCATGTCGAGGAAAGTGAGCATCTTGAGAAACCTGATAACTTCAGCATCTGCAATAGTGAAGAAATATTGATAGAACTGATAAGACGACAGCAGGGAAGGAGACAGCCAGATGGCGCCATCCTCGGACTTTCCAAACTTGGTTCCGTCACTCTTCAGGAGAAGAGGGAATGTGATTCCATAAGCTCCTTCTGTCTGAAGGATTCTGCGAATCAGATCTGTGCCAGCAGTGATGTTACCCCATTGGTCGCTTCCTCCAATTTGAACGTTGACGCCTTCTGCGCGGAAGAGGTGGAGAAAATCGTAGCCCTGAAGGAGCTGGTAAGTGAACTCAGTGTAACTCATTCCCTGCTCCGATTCAAGCCTCTTCCGGACACTCTCCTTGGACATCATAGTACCGACCCTAGCAAATCTGCCCACATCCCTCATGAAATCCAGTAACTTCACATCCTTCCACCACTCATAGTTATTCAAAATCTTGAAAGATGATGGAGACAGCAAGGAGTCCCGTCCCAAAATGCTACGAATGGTGGCCGAAATAGCAGAGACATTCCTGTCCAGTGAGATGGGGTCGAGTTCTGGCCTCTCCAGACTCTTTCCAGAGGGATCACCAATACGTCCAGTGGCGCCACCAACTAGAGCCACCACCTGGTGGCCACAGCGGAGGAACCAGGAAAGTACGATTATGCCTAGAAGGTTGCCAAGGTGAAGGCTCTCAGCAGTGGGATCGAAGCCGCAGTAAACTCGGAAGGGAGTAAGGGGATCCGGACGGCGGAGGTTATTGCTGGTGAGGGAGTCCACAAGTCCTCTCTCTTGGAGAATTTCCACCACATTCTGCTGTGAACACTGACAATAGAACCGATATCGACGGATTCGAAAGAATGAGAAAACTGCCTTTTGCCTCGAACCAATGTAGCTGAACCTAAGTGTTCCAAGTAAATTTAGAACTGGAAAAGCCATCCACAATCGCCTGAAAAATGTCAAACTAGTAATTTAACTGGATGAATCAAAACTAAGAACCCCGAGTAATGAAAAACTAGTTATCAATTTTTTTCTCAGAAAAACATCAAATCAAACCCTATTTTTCTATCTTCTATATTATACTAAAACTCAACTTTTAATTCAAAACATACAACTTTTCTAATTCACTTTTTTTCCTATTCAAAACTCAAAATCCAATCCCCCTAACCAAACATTATCCAGATTAAAGCATAAAAATTCTACCGATTTAGGGTCGAAATGCATCTTTATACAGGCCATACAACAAAAAGTAAAGAACAGTTGTTAAGAAACCAAAATTACCGAAATGAACTTGACGAACCCAAATCAGTTATTTGATTTCAAAGACCCACGCTCACTCCGGCAGCCCTTTCTTTTTATCGTCGTCCCGTCGTATTCTGAAATTTTGCACAAATCTCCATCCAGATAACTTCTCTTCACTGCTAAAATTAGTCAAAACATGTATGTAAATTTCAAATAAATCAATCACACCGACTTTGAATTAAAGTGAGTCCTTGTTTACATATGGTATTAGATAAAAATAAAAAATCATACAAATGAAGCAGAAAGCAATCTACCATCTGGATTTGAACTCGAGTTCAAGCTAAGAAAGTCATGATATATAATGCAAAGGTAACTGGAAAAGATGCACACGTTTACCCAAACCAACCATGCTATACACACACTACAAACCAACCCGACAAAACAAACTTTCACAAAAGCAATTCATATACCAAAAAATAAAATAAAATGTATTATTGACTGCCAAACTAGCACCTTCGGACACTGTGCCATGGTGCGTTTAACCATGGAAAAAGACGCTCGACCGAAGAACCAACGGCACGCAGCGGAACAAGACCCTAATCCGAAGTGGAACAGATCCGCACCCCTGCCCTCCTCCAGACCTATCTATACATTGATATATATATACTAGTTCCGACCCGGCGGTTCGAATTACCGGTTCTCTATCAACCGAAACGGCATCGAACCGGGGCAAAACGAAAAAAAAAGTGTGTTATTTTAGCAAATAATTAAAACTAAAAAATTATAATTAAAAAAAATATTTTTTTTAAAAAAAATGACAAACTAATATATTAAAAAAAATATAAAACAACCCAAGCCCATATAAGCATAGCCCACAAACAGGCCCAACATAACATAGATAACAATAACAAGCAGGGCAGGTACAATAAATGGCATCATCGACTCTTAGTCCAAATACACAAACTGTAAACCAAAGTAAAACAACTGTCGCCACAAGAGAATGGTTCCAAACGAGACAAGACCAAAAACCATTAAATATAATAACACCAAATTGCAAGGACAATGATTCATAAATGGTAATCTACACAACGTTACCACCCAGAGTCAATTCTCTTGCACCAATTTTCCCGCCATATATCACTTCCCACCTGAAAAAGCAATCACTAATCAGCTAAATAAAATGACACAAACTAATCATAAAATGCAGAAAAAGGAAGAGAGACCTGAACAAACAAGCTGTGTTCATTTCTGGCTTTTCTTCAAAAGCACGCCGATCTTCTTCAGCATGCTGCCGTTCTTCTTCTTGGGCGAATCTTCGTCGTCGACGACGTCTTCCAAGTACGGCGACCCGAGCTTACCGCCAATTGTGTTGAAGCGATCCACCTGTCTCGATCTTTCAGACACCTTCCCGTTGTTCCCTGCGGTGGACAGCATCGTCGCAGCTGCCTCGGCAGCCTTTCTCCATTGATCCGATTGCACCTTTAGTTTCCGTAGTTCAGCTTCAATCTCGGCGTTCGCCGCCTGCGTCGCATCGAGCTGTTCGGCGAAACACGCAGCTTTTTTCGAGCTTTTCTCGGCTTCCTCCGTTAGATATGTAATCTTCTTCAAAGCATCCTGTTCTGCAGCTCTGGCAGCTTCAAGGGCCTCGTCGTTTCTCTCGACGGCGATTTCGGATTTCAGAATCTCGTTTTCGTCGGTGACGCTTTGCAGCCGCATCTCTTTGTCGAGTAAACTCGTTTTCAGATCTTGTAGAACGGATTCAGTGTTCTTTAGCTCAGAAATCTTGTTTTGTTCTGCCTCCCGAATCTGCGCATTCTCGCGTGAAATGATCTGTATTGCGTCTTCTTTTTGAATCAACGCCGTTTTCAGCTCCTCAACTTCATCCCGAGACTCTTTCAACTTCGCCGCCAAGTCAGCTTCTCTTTCACAGGACTCGATCTTGGCACGCTCCACCAGTTCATAAGCGTTTCTAATCTGCAAATCACCCTGAAGAGTTTCGTCGCGGCGCCTTTTTTCGGCATCCTCGAGTGCATCCTTCAATTGAGATACTTCAAGTCTCAATTTATCGAGCTCAATTTTCGACGGATCAGATTTCTCATTATCGGCAAGATCTGCCCGAAGGTCGCGGACAAGTTCTTCCAACGAATTCACTTTCGTCTTCGACTGCTCTAACTCCAAAACCACAGATTGATACGATTTGATTGCTCTAGCATGTTCCGACAGTAAAGCCTCCTCGGCAGTCTTCACAACGCCGACTTGAATTTGCACTCGACTGAGTTCTTCAAGGAGGCGACCCTCGGATTCCCGGCTGTCGTTCAACTGAATCTTCAGATTCCCTATCAACTCATTCATCTCGGTAATTTTGAGCCTCATGCTCTCAATCTCAGCTCGAGCCATTTCAACCTGCTGCGCCTGAGAAGCTTCCGATTCGGAAATTTTGTCCAGTTGAATCTTTAACCTCTGTATTTCACTCAGAGCCGAAGCTAAGGCAGCCGAATCCATCGAATGCTGATTTTGGACAGCCTCCAGCTCGGACTTCCATGCTCGGTCTCGATCCTGAGAGATTTTCCGGAGTTCCTGAACTCGAGCTTCCTCGGAATTTGAAAGTTCATTCAGCTGCTTCTGAGCTTCATCAAGTTTTGCTAACATGGATGCAAGCTCGTTTTTAGCAGCTTCTGCTTCCTGCTCAGCCTTAGCCTTCGATGATTCAGATGAGCTCAGCTGGTCCTTCGCCCTCTTCAGCTCCTCTTGGAGATTGGCCAGCTGAGATCCCAATTCAGAAACTCGGCCAAGTCGTTTCTTCTGAGTTTTTTTGGTAAAAGTACACATCAAGAAATGATAAAAACAGCGACACGCCAACCAACATTCAGAGAAAGACTACGCAGCTTATATGTAAATGATGTCACACCCAATGCTATAGTAATTATAATACAGAGATGAAATAGAATCAGATGGCCAAGCAAAAATTTCAACGACAAGAACGGCAGCATGTGGAGCTAAAGGAGAATCGGCACTACTGAAATATTAAGCATTTGTTTAATACTTGTAGTATTTTAACACATTATGTTCATACAAAATTTGGAATCCTAAAGTTTTATTGTGTTAATGAAAGGACATGTATGAATACCTCAGTTGCTGGACTCCGAGGTGATTGGCGATCAACTCTAGGACTTCTCTCTTTAGATGTTTTGCTTGCCATATTTGGAGATGAACCAGACTTACAATCCGATCCCGGAGTTCTGAGTTTCCGACCGGTATTAGGCGTGGAAGGTGATTGTTTCTGAGGCAATTCAAGCGAACCGGGTCTGCGCATGCAATAATCAAAATGTACAAATCTTCCTTAATATCAGACCACAATACGACATTTAAAAATAAAGAATGACACGCAATCTTTGAATTCAATAATAAACCAACTCTCAATTTCAGATAATTAGAATTGCATACTACATATGATGCATATATACGATTGCAACATGTCATTTAGTAGTAAGGGAAGCAATTAGTATAAAAACAATGAAAACTTACATAGAGAATATGACTTGGTTGAAAGAAGCTACAATAGTAGAATTACCTTGATTTAGGATTCTGCATATTTTATTATCTTCCCGATCAACAGAGATGAAATATGTAGGAAACTATATTTGCTCAGAGGCCCACCCGACCCCAACCTTCAACCAAATTCTGCTGTGGGAGAATCTATCTGTTCTTTCATATACATATACAAATAACAGTGAGTCAAACATTCAAATAGGAACTCTAACCTCTCATCGACATTCCTCTAACAAACCAAAGTAAGAAGAAAAAGACACCAAGCTGTCCCTTCAAAGGGAAGCTTAGCCAATGAAACAGCCTCCACTTCAACCAACCCGGGGCAACAGAAGAACATTGGTTTTATCATAAAAGAGAAAAGGGAAAAATAAAGTAACAATTTAGGGAAATACTAATATTATCATGCAAGCCAGTCAGTCAGTCATTCACTTTTTCCCTCTCTTTTCCTCTTTACTACTCCGTGATTTGCACACTTTATAAATATCACTATTGAGAAGGTAGAGTGAAAAATACCACAATATAACCCACAATTCAGTAGCAGGATAACTTGGAATATAAGTTCTGAGAATAGCACCACTCAGGCCAAATGCATGATCACGAACTCAATGTTCATCACCAACATCCAATTCTATTCCCAGAATTGAATTTTCAAAAAATGCAAGATGCCCAAACTCAAATTTTCAAAGTCACCTGATAATTTACTTGTTTATTTTGCATACATTTCTTTTAAGCATTATTATTTGTCCTTAATGATGTCAAAAGCGAAAATTACCAGTAAATTCCATATTCGAGTCTTTCTACCGCAAATGTAATATGTAGAAAAAGCAAAAATAACCAATAATAGCACAATACAGGAAAGAAGCAGAAAACTGTAAAATCCGGGTACTGAACGAATTGATAGCGGCATCTATCAGCCAGAAATTAGGGTTTCAAACAACACCATCTTTCTCAGGGAATAATACAGTACTCGCGCTGAAATACGAATACAAACTCATAATAAACAAACTGATATAACCATACTCACGCATTTCTTCTGAACTATTTAGATCTAAAGAAGAACATATTTTCCTGTCCGAACGCCAAATACACACACACACACACATATATATATAATAATGAAAGTGTTGCAGAATGGCAACAGAGAAATAAAGCTCACCTGGCATCCAAGGCTCTCCTCAAAAACAAGAAGAAATGTCACAGACTTTGACCTAAAACGAGCTCGTACTACACATACATTGCTCTCCGGAACAACATATTAAGCTTACTAAGCTGAGAAGAAACTGTGACCAAAAACAAAAGAAGAAGAAGAAGCAAATGTAAGCAAAACCTTCATCATATCAAACTAAATATCCAGAAGACATACCGAAAGAGAAATGCGATTAAGTAGTTTCGAGGAGGTTCTCTCTTCACAGCGATAAACTAAACTAATTAGCAGGTGACTCTGACTTCATAGCGTTGTTGCTTTTGAAGGAAACGGTGAAGGAGAGTAGAAAACCCTACCGAATAGGTGGAGATGAGATGCAATGGCGTGGAGAACTCGAGGGAGAAAGTTGGGCGTCGTACGATGCGTGCGCAGTTGCTGCTATGTCGCTGTTCCCAATCCCACGCCACTCCTTCCTTCGTTTTCTGCAGAGAGAGAAAAACAATATAAACAGAGAGGGGGAGGGAGATGGTTGCAATAATATTGCCTTCGTGTTTTTTTTTTTTTTTTTTTTTTAAATATGCTGCCTTCCTTCCAAATATAAGGATAATGCGATTTGTGTAATATATTATAAATTGAAAAGGTATTTGTACAATTACTATGTTATGTAACGACCAAAATAAAAAAATAGATAAATTATTAAGAAACGGAGGAAAGTATTTTTTTTTTTTTATTATTTAGTAAAGCGTATAAGAAGTTTTAATGGTATATTATAAATGTGACATAACATTAATAGAAATATTTTTACAATTTTTTTTTTAATTTATATTAAGTTTTTATATAATAATTAATATTCAAAAATAATACACAAAAAATAAATTAGATATTTAGAGTCGGACGAAAATAATAATATATTTATAATTTAAGTAAATATTAACGATATTTTAATATTATTATATAATTATTATTTTTTAAATAAAAAAATTGATAATTTTAGATGAAATAGCCGAAAATGGCCAGAAAGATAAAATGTGTTTTGAATTGGACGAAATGAGACTGAAGAGTATTATAAATATATACACTAAATTAAATTTTTAGAAAAATGTTAAAAGATAAAAAAATACCCCATACCACAATATTGGATTTTGAACCCTAAAAATTTATAATTAATTTGTTTAATTGAGAAAACATTTGTCCTACAATTTTTATTTGTCTTAATTTTAATTTGATTTTATGAGATATAATTTTAGTAAAATTTTATTATTTTATTTTAATTTAATCATTTTTATAAACGTTGAAAACAATTTTTATTTGTCTTAATTTTAATTTGATTTTATGCGATATAATAATAGTAAGATTTTATAATTTTATTTTAATTTAATTATTTTTTATAAACATTAAAAAGTTACTTGAATCCTTAAAGTTTTAAAATCTTTTATTGCGTAATGTGGTTATTATAAAATTATGTTTATTTTTATATAAAATTTTACATTTATTTTTTATTTCACCTAAAAAACATAAATAAATAAATAAATAAATAATAATAAATAAAAAATAAAAGTACTCTCTATATAAATTATAAAAATATATAAATCCTTTGAATTTAAAATAAAATCAATGTCATCAATATAAAAATAAAAAAATATAAGAAAAAGACAACATGCATTGTCTGCTTTCCAAAGCTTATTTGATGTAACTCTACCAACACTGACAATGAAATAAATTACTAGATTTTTGAATTTTTTTGAAATTTTTTATTTTTATTTTTTTCTAAAAAAATATCAAAAATTACTTATTATTATGTTTTTATAATATATCAAAAAATTATTTTATATATAAAATATCTTATCAATATCTATTTATATTATATTTTAATTTTAAAAGTTTAATATTCAAATTTCAAATAAAAAATCCAACCAAAACATAAGCAGATTTCATATATATAGCGTGGACAACCGCACACAACCCCTGCAACTCCCAAAATAAATAAAAAGTTAATAAATATTAATTTTTTTGTTTATTTTTTATAAATATTTATATTTTATTTTACATAATTATTTTTATACTAAAATACAAAAATAAAATTATATTTGCACCATTTTTACTTTATAATTAAAATAATATTTCTATTTTTTTACTATAATTAATATAATACTTATATTAAAAAGAATTATATATAAAAAATAAATAATATTCTTTTTTATGGGACAAATAAAATATATTTTTATTAAAAATCATATTAAATAAATATTGATAATTTTAAATTCAAAACACAGCAAAAACAAATCATATTAATACAAATAATAACAATAATAATAATAATAATAATAATAAAATAAATAAGTAAAAACAATAAAAATAATGCATTATAAAAGTGTCTCGTGTTTCCTATGTCCTTGTGTGATTTTATATTTTAAATATAAAAATAATTTTTAACATAATATAAAAAATAAAAATAAATATTTGATTTGAAATTTTAAAAAAAAAATTGATGAATAATAAATTTTTGAAAAAACTCATAGACGAACACACTCTAATAAGATATTCTCCTCTCGTATTGTCTATCCGTTTATTTTTTTGTACGAAATTTTAAAAATATTAGTATTATATGTATTTAAAGTAAACTAGAATTTATTTGATTGTAATTTAAAATTGATTTGAAATAAAATATATTTAATTTTAATTTTTGTTTAAATAATATTTTAATATGACAATTTTTTAAAATAATTAGTGTTATTTTAGTTTAAAATTACAATAGAACAAACTCTAAATATTTATAAAACTATATTAATAGCTATAAAGCTAAAGGAAACAAAACCGAAATATAAAATTGAATTTCGAATATTGCAAACAATATGATCATTTACAATCCACATTACAAAATTATAAGTTTACAACATTGAAAATTATACAAATTTTGTTACCATATTATTAATTTTTGCTAAAATATCCTAAAATTTAATGTAATGAATCAATTCTCTTCTTTCTATATATAATATTTTTGTAAAATCTAAGAAATATTGAGATCCCATAGCAGAACTTTAGAGCAACCCTCTGCAGGAATTCCCTTCAGCTTCGATTCTTCTTCAAGAACTCCTTCTCTTAAAAACTTCAGCGAACTCTGCACCAATTATATCGAAATTATTTTATCCATTCTAATCACACCTTAACGCAATCAAGCTCGAAATTTCAATGTTAGGAACAGACAGTCATGTAAAGAAGGCCGAGGAAGTCGAGAGAGAGTCAGAAACCTGGGAAGTGTCTTGAGCAGACGATGTCCGGCCCCATCTCTCGGGATCCCAAAGAATGGAGCTATTGAACGCAAAGCTCGATATATGGATGCGACGAGGCGTTGTGGCATCCGCGCCTGTCGAATTTTTCCTTCTCTTCAAATGCCATCCCAATACTTCGGAAGAATCGCACACCGGTCCTTCTATTACAACCCTCTTCCTGTTTGCCGATAATCTCGCCATTGGCCATGTCCCAAACGCCCTGCAAGAAAACACAAGTCAGACACGATAATATTGAAGTAAAAATTGTAGGAAATTGCAAGAAGCTTTCTCGTACTTTACAAAATATTGCATAAAATTTCAAAAAAATAATTTTATACAATAGTTTTTAAAATACGAGAATGAAACATAATATGTATACATGGACTGATGAGGAAAGGATTGGAATCAAAAGAAGGAAACTCACTCGACGGCTCTGATCTCGTCGAAGAAACTGAGATCGTAAACATTGGATAGCCCTGCAAAGTGAACTATCCCGCTGAGGCGGTGGTGCTCGATGTGATTCAGCGCAATGTTCCTCTGATGATCCATTTCCGAACTCGCGTCGGTGAAATTCTCGCCGAATACGACGTGTCTGTACATGATCCCGGTTCTCCGCAGGATCTCCGAGACTCGGGAGCCATCGGATTTCTGCTCGATCACGATCCACAGCAGCGGCGGAGCCACTAACTTCAACGTGTTCGCCAGCCTCCTCAACAGCACTGTTCGAAGCTTGTCCTTGGTACTTGTCGGCGTAACAACGATCACTAGTCGTCTCGCAGACAAATCCTCACTCCCTTTTTGCTGTTGTTTATCCTCGTCTTCTTCGTCGTGGTCGTCGTCTTTCCGAATCACTGCTCCTTTTACACCATGGCTTTTCCCGGAAACAGGCTCCGAATCATCCAACAAACTTCGGTTGAAGTTTTCAGTCCTTGGCTGATGAAAGACTTCCACCGGCTGGCTGGCCGAGAGGGACATTGTCACATGGCTCGAGAATATCGACGACTTGCCCGTCGGCGCAAAACCTGTGAAGAAACCCATAACAAAGCACAACAAAAAATGAACTATGGCTTTCTTCCACAAGTGTACCTTCTTCTTCGATCTCTCCTGCGATCCCATAATCCTAAAAACGACAAAAAGAAAATAGAGATCGTTCGCTCGTTCGATCCCTAGCCTGCAGGATGTTATATGTTTTTGAAAAAAGAAGCAAAAAACGGCGGGATTCGAGAAATAATCAAGAATCCCTTGTAGGTAAATTCAATCATATAGCAAACACTCAGCTTTGCTTCACAAAGCAATGACTTGAAACATAAGATATGAAAATATAATATTGCTTTCTGCACCAAATAGTAGTTGAGATGTGCATTCATACACCTAAATTTATTTTGAAAAGAATAACACCAAATAGTTTGGATTGTAAAATACTAATCTTGACAGTGAATTAATTCCTTCTTAAGAAGTTTACACACTGTCTGCTTCATCATCACTAAACAATTAAAGTCCACACAGCCCAAAAACTTCAAATTCAAAACATAAGAGGGAGAATTTATAACATAAATTGTTGGGATTTTGGTACAAAAGTGTTACTAAAAAATTGTTCAATAATGTTGTTATCAAGTCACCTCGAAGATTATAATAACTATCAATAAAAAGAGATCAAATTGAAAAGATCACAGGTTCCTACAATCAGAAGAGCTCATTAGAACACAAGTCTATGCATCAAAACTAACGGAAAAGGGAGATCATAACTACTTACAAAACCTAGAGCACACCATACTCCCGATTAAAGATAGACCTCAAGGTGTACGTCCATTCTTCTTCTTGCCATTCGAAGCATTTTTGCCATCTTCTAATGTCGGCAACTTTGACAATATCTGATCAGGGGCAGTTTGCAACCACAGAGCTTCACCAGTCTCTTTATGCTTAAAGTCCGGCCATTTCGAGGATTTCTTTGTCAATCTATTATCCCACCATTTCTTCGGATTCTCCACCAAATGCTTCCATGAATCTTCCCTTTTATTCTCACTCTTCTTCCCACCTCCCTTGACCGGATTCGCTTTCATAAACTTATTCTCACTTTTTTTCCCACCTCCCTCGACAGGATTCGCTTTCTTAGAGCTATACTCACTTTTATTCCCACCTCCCTCAACCGGATTCGCTTCCATAGACTTAACATCAAACTTCAACATTTTAATCTGCAGCAATGCCCACTCCGGCGCTGTATTGATCCAAAGTCCCTTGCCGGTGTTCTTGTGCCTAAAATCCGGGAATTTTCTTTTCACCAATCCATTAGCTTTGTGAGATCGAAAATCCCACCACTCATGGGATCTTATCAGCAGATTGTTCCAAGATTCATCCCTATCTGTCCTCTGCTTGTTCTCATCTCCTTCTTCAGCTGGTTTAACTTCAACAGCTTCAGCATTGTCCTTTTCGATCAGTATACTCTTCAGATGATCAAACAAGTGTTGAACAATCAAATTAAGATCATGTTTATCCATCGATTTTCTGACTTCCTCACTTTTTCCAGAGCTCTGCTTCCCAATTTGCACATCCAAATCGTTACCAGAATCAATGCCTTCAACATATTTAAGATTTTCCGTCACAACATGCAACCCCCCAACGCTATCGCTAAAAGTAAACCCTAACGGTTCTGCACGCAATTGCCCCGACACGAAGACGCGATCATTCTCCTTCACATGATAAGCGACGGCGTGAGCCAAATCCCCTTCGCACACAACAGGAATGAGCGAGGAACTTTTCTCACCATCGCTATTTTCCGGAGAAATCAAAACGGCGGCGAAGTGCTTCCCATCAGCAGCTGCGTCGAATCGTACTGGAGCTTTGACGTAGCCTATCAAATTCAAGGAGTTAGCCATTTTTGCTTGGTATGGAATGCTCGTTGGCCTCGGCCAAACTGTTCGCGCCTCATTCTGCTTCTTGACTCCCTGAGAAAACTTCGACGATCCAGAAGCTTTCTGTGTTCTAGCTCTGGTTAACTTCACGGTTTTGGGGATCGAATCGGCAGTTTTCGTGGAATACAAATCCAGTTGTCTGACGACAAAAGACCTAATCCTGGTCAATGATTTCGATCTGGCGAGTAAATTCATGCCGCGTAGAAGAAATGTTACTAAAGAAATAATCAGTGCAGAAGAAACTTTAGGGTTTAGTGAGATTTGTTATTTGTAGAAGACGTAGCGAGGACCGAAGACGAAGATAGCGGATAGCATTAATGCCGACTCAGCCAGAATGCTATGGCTCTGTTAGTCTGTTTGCCTTCCACATTTTTTTTGAATTGTTAATACACTCATAGAAGTTTTCCCGTCAAATGGATTATTATTTCTTAAGAAGATAATAAAATTACAAGTGATGAAATTGTTTATTAAAATAAATTATTACATAAATTTAAATAACAATAAAATATAATTCATTTTTAAAAATACTCTCAATTTACTTTTTTAATTACTATATTTACCTCGTTATTACGTTTAAAAGATATAATATCTAATTATTATTATTTATTTAATATTTCTTTACAATAAATACTACCATGTTATATCTACGTTATATTTAGTTACTAACTAAACTTTAATATTCATTTTTCTATTTTTTTTTTTTATAAAATGAGCTAAAATATTATTTTAACTAAAACAAAATATTCTCAAATATCAGTTGAACTAATTCTAACCCAAAACACACAATTCACAAGGCAACAATCTCTAACCAAAGCATCACCTCATCAAACATTAACAAAAATTTTCAGGAATTAAATTAGAACATGTCAAACAAGAATAAATAAACAATCTATGTTAAGCACAACAAAAAAAGGCCCTATTGAATAGGGATTCACAACAAAATTGAAGGCTCTCAATATCTTTCTTTCTTTCTTCATTTTTTTTATTTTTTTTCATGTAAATATCAATCCTAATCTTGAGATTTGGTAGAAGAAATTGATTCCCTCTGCGGCCTATGCTTCCTCCATTTTTTCTTGGGCAGAGACATGATCCATTCGGGAACTTCGCACCCGGAGGCTTTCATAACATTGGCCACATTCCGCAGGAACGGCACATCAGCTTCAGTGTAAAAGGTTATGGCTTCCCCACTCCTCCCGGCCCTTCCAGATCGACCTTTACACAAAGGGAAACATCTTTATTAAAGCTCGACCAATAAATACTTCAATCCAAATACAGATAAGGAACTACAGGTAAAATGTCTGAAGAGCATTCTTAGTCCTATTTTTTCGGGTTGAGTAAACTTCCCACCAATGACTCCATTTACTCGTATTTGAAGCAATGAAACACAGATATTAATAGAAGGTAGAGATCTCGCAGGAAGCTAGATTAAATTGGATATTGGTAGGTAGAAAGCAGTAGCAAGTAAACAAAGCAACCCCTAAAGCCGTGCAGGGCCAAGCAGACGATAATAAAAGCTCGGGCCGCAAGAAACATAGAGATCAACATACCAATCCTATGAATGTAAGCTGCAGGTGAATCAGGGAAATCGTAGTTAATGACACAATTGACGCCTTTGAAGTCCATGCCACGGGCAATAACATCAGTGGCAATCAAGACCCAAGTCTTCCCCGACCGGAAGTTACTGACAGCATCTTCTCTCTGCATTTAAATTTTTATAATGATGCATCAAGCAAAACATCAGTTCTGTGCAAAGCTAAAAACCCACCATCTTGAAATACAGTAACAATTAATATTTTGCTCCGTTCCGGAAGAACCGTGGATTTCCTGTCCCCACTCTGTACACTTAATATTCGATTCAGACATGAGAAAGAATACTACCTGTATTTGGGAAAGATCGGCATGGATGACATCAGCTCTAAAGTCTTCGTACTTCAGTTCATTGTAGAGTTCTTTGGCTCGCTCCTTGTTTTGGACAAAAAGTAGAACTGGTGGGTTCAAGCTCTGAAATAACCATTTAAATCAGTACGTTGTGACAAAATGACAATCTTCATTCTACTAGCAAAAGTAGCGCCTTCGAGGCATCGACAATAAAATTACAAATATGAACAATAACGAGTGTAATAGGTAGGAGAAAGATCCCTCTATAACATATTTGATGAGATCAAAAAATACATATATACATCTTTAATCAGGCCAAACATTAAATAAAGACGAAGAAAAATAACTTTGCTTGTAAGATGCATACCTCAGCAAAATTAAGACGAAGAGCAAGGAGTTTCCCCTCCTCACTTCCTACAAATACGAGCTTTTGCTTTATTGATTCGGAAGCAGAGTTCCTGTTCAAAATAAAAAAACAACCCGTCACGAACCTGGTGGGAAAACATATCCAACAGATACCATCTTGATATTGGCTATCAGTAAATACATACTTCTACATATTAATTGACAATAGTTATTGTTTGTACATATCCCATCAAAAAATGATAAACATAATATACAATATATAATGCAAAAAAGTTAGTTACTTTCTCCCAATGATAACACGGACAGCATCATGCATAATGGTACGCGCAAGCTCTTCAACAGTATCAGGCAAAGTAGCACTGAACAACGAGCGCAAGATTGAAGGGTTGGAGCATGCTTTGACGACCGCATCAACCTGCTCAACCAATCCTAACTCAAAAAGCTTGTCGGATTCATCCAGGACAAGAAATTCGACCCTAAACGTAATAGAGAGGGTAAAATGTGTTACATGTTTAAGCAGAACCATGGTTTTAAACTTTCATTTATCTATTTCATGGATCAAGGGAGTAATTAATATCTAAAAATAGTATATCAAGATGCATTGCATAATTGAAGCTGCAAAACCAGTAGAGAATATATCTTACTTGCTTAAATCAAGTTTTCTTTTTCGGAGAGCAAACTGCACCCGGAAAGGAGTAGATATGAGAATATCACAATGCAGTTTTGAAAAATCAGCTCCTTTAGCCAGCTGCTTAGTCATTAACTTAATGTAAAACTTCTTCCCTTTTGCCAACTTGTTGCATTCTCTTGCTGTCTGGGCTGCTAGCTCCCGTGTAGGGCACAGAATCACAGCCCGTATACCATCTTTCGAAGCATGCTTATAATTGGAAAGAGATAATTTAGCAATAACTTTGACAAATATAATAAATATACCTGTCAAGAATTTTATTGTATCTTAGATACCTTGAGTTTCATAAGGATCGGGCAGACAAATGCAAAGGTTTTGCCTGAACCAGTAGGGGCACATGCAAAGCACTCCATTCCCTGGAGAAGATACAATGTTACCATATAAAAGTTTTGTGCACACACATGTTCATATAACACAAAATATATTGGGCCTGGATACACTCAAATAGCAACAGGATTTAGAGGAGCGTTATATTTCACAAAAGTTCCCAGACAATTCCATAGAGAAGAAAAAAAAGTGAGGAACATATAACAAACAGCTCAAATATTTGACATACGGATAATAAGACGGGAATAGCCTGCCTTTGGATTGGTGTTGGCTCCTTAAAACCCAGTTCCATCAAGTTCCGTAAAAGGTAAGGTTTGCACTTATACCTGCACAGGATGATTATTAAATTAATTTTGGTGATAATAATATAGGGAAAGGACAAATATTATGTACTTGATGAGTGATGATATTAATTAGAATAAAGCATTTGGGTCCAGATACAGCAACAAACTGGCAAAGGTACATATTAGAATTGAAAGGAATGTTCAACCATGTATAAGTGCAGGACCTACAAAACAGTGAAGTTTAACCAACTTCATTGAGTAAATTAGTAATTTCATTCACTTTTATTTTTTAAATACATATTTTCCAGAAATCCCATTCATGTCTATATTTTAAAATGCTGTCCTGAATAGTCACATTACAGATACACTAGTATACTTCAAATATCCCTATATCTTTTACTATATTTAGCGAAAAAATGTATATTATGTATACGTCTTGCATTCTTAGGATACAACAGCGAAAGCCAATGCTTAAGTAGCGGAAACTAAGCAAGCAAAAACTGAAGCAAATTTGAACCCATACCAAATATCAAAAGGATCAGTTATTACCTAGATCTCAAATCCTCAAAGTCTTGAAGCGGAGATGGTATATTGCTCCTTGACACATGAATATTATGCCTCTTCCGTAAAAGAGCATCCCTCTATAAACCAAGAACAATGACAGACAAAGATTGAGATATATTACCTTGATAAAACTTTAATACAAAATCAATGCAGACTCAAACATTTTCTTTTATTGACTACAATTCAAATTGGATTATATCATTCAAATATTTAGAATAAAATAGCAGCAAATGAATAAGATTGAACCTCCAACTGCCTATGATATTCCTTCTTCTGTTGTAAAAGCTCATCTTCATCATGCTTTCCTTCACCAGCTACACCCTCTGATTTCGACTTTTTAAACAGACTGAATCCTTCAACTGGGTCTGAAAACCAAAGGAATGGGATATGAAAAAGTTTAGCTCGTTAATTCTTAGCTAACAAGAAAATTCGATAGTATACACTACACACAATATGTGTTATCTAGAGCTGTAAAGCAAACAAGGTGTTCACGAACTCAGCTCAGTTTGCTTATTAAAAACTCGTTCGCTAAACTAAACAAATCGAACGCGAATATAAATTTTAGTTCGATATATTAGTGAACCGGTTCGAACTAATGTTAGATAGTATTTGTTAACAAGTTAAATTGATATTTTTATATTTAATAAATATATATATCTCTTTAGAATATTATACATCATTCTAATTTTTTTAATATAAATCTATTCTAATAATTAACAATTACAATTATTAATTGAATTTAAATTTAAATTTAAATAAAATGAAATAAATAAGATAAAAAAATCTGCTTATCTAGCTGAACTGAACACCAACAAAAAAACATTGTTTAACAAGATATCCTTCCTTTTCTACAGTGTCAAACCCCTCAATTAAAGTTTACCTGAGGCACCAGCCTTTCTCTTTCTCTTTCTATCTGAAATGCCCTCCTCCATGGCCATACTCTCATACCCAACTAAGTTCGCATTTTCCACCACATCATCACTTTCTTTCTTCTCCTAATTTCGAGTTCAATAACAATTGATAAGCAAAAAAATAGTACAAATAAATCGATTTAAGTCACAACGGTAACAACGAAGAACCTCATGTATCGAAAATTTAACGAAGATTAGGTACTATACAATAAATTCACCTTGAACCTGGAAAAATCATTGGCAAATTTCTTCCGATTGAATGTGATCCCAGCGAAGAGAAACGAGGAGTCCATTACCAGTCGTACCGAACAAATCAGCAATACTTAACCAAACCTTCGGGACTACAAATTGATTTTTGGGTCTCACCGCCGCTGCAACCCACAAGCAGCAAGTCTCAATCAAACAGCAGGTGCAGCCCGGCAACACAATTTCAGCACTGATCCCGTCCTGCCGGAGCAGTTCCACCGCCACCCCACCAGAAAACAGTTCCAAATTCCAATGCCTTCCTGTGACTAGAGAGAGGAGTGGAAAAAATCCTAGAGAGAGAGAACCCTGGAGGAATCCGGCGACACCACGACAGAGAGGGCTTACAAGACCCACTTTCTTCTTGGACTTGAGTTTAGGCCCATTCCTAATCAAAAAGATTAATTATTATATAATATATACTCATCCAAGGTTACAATTACATAGATTAATTTACACTACAAACATCAACAATTCCGTTGTCGTCCAGCGGTTAGGATATCTGGCTTTCACCCAGGAGACCCGGGTTCGATTCCCGGCAACGGAATTTTTTCACCTGCCATCAAATTTTTATTTTTACCAACCAAATCTTTACACATAAGAAGAAATCAATGCACATCTCTCTGAACAATAAAAACACAAAATTACCACACTAGTAAACGTTAGAAGTAGCCGAGAGTAGTCTGTTTTAAATAATTACCACTAACAACAAATACACGCTCCACCAAGAAAAAGCTTTGACTTTTAACACAACCAAGATTTCAATGTTCGAATGCCAACAACATAATTCAATTCACATCAACTAGTTTCTATGAATCCAACTTATAATCCTCACCGAAGTACTTGTCAATTAGCTCATTCGCCATGTTTCTTAGCTCTTCGTTTTCATGAAACTGGAATCTTTCCATCGCCTCGATTCCATCCTCTTCCTCAACAAGCTTCGGCCCTTCGCCATTTGGGATTCCCCTTAGAACCTGTGGGATAAGGGGCATATTTTTTTGACATCAATGCTAGGTTCAAACCATGATATGAGAGTTTTTTTTTTTTTGGTCATGTTGTAAAAAGACTGATTTCATATCAGCTCATTTTTTCAATTTTAATGACAACCAGTATATGGAAAATTGTCGTCAAGGCTTCATGATCGATGGTGATAGTCAGAGTTTGCTTACCAGTTCTGTGAACTGAAGACCGAGTCGGGCAGCCTCTATATCTGCAGATCTAATCAAGTCGAGGAAACCACTGAGAGACCCACTTCTGACAAGAGAAACTAGGTGATCAAGAATCAACTTTGGTCTTCCAGTGTCTTCAGCAGGTGCAACACAGAGGTTACCAAGAACATATGCCACTTCCTTTCTTATATCGAATGGCGCATTAGACAGCAGATGTATTAATGTGGGCACAGCATCACTAGAATGTATATATTTTTTATGATCAATAGAACCAGCAGCTAAATTAGACAGCACCCAAGCGGATTCCTGAAAGTTACACAGACAGACACATCAGATATTCACACTACAAAAAATAGCAGTAGCTGTATTAATCTGAATCTGATCAAGATGATTCCAGGCAAGAATATTTTCACACCACCTTTTTTAAGACACGATGTTCGCTTTTCAAACATTTGATAATTGCTTTGTTTAAATTTGCTGCAGGGTTAGAAAATGAAAAGTGTCAGCATAGGGGGCATCTCTTAACATACAACAAGATACTGAATTGGATTCACCTGTGATCTCATGCCCGACAATAAGAATATTATCAGTTACATAAGCGTCGCCAGCAACCATGTTACCTAAACCCCGCAACACCTGTATATCATAAAAAGCAGCACGCCCAACATCATGACATAGTAAGAACCTAAATGAACTCTAAAAGCACAGTAACATTCAGGTTGTGGAGAATGGCGATATTCAGTGATTCTTTATCAATTCAAATATATTAGTGCAAGAGTAAGCAGCATTCTTGCAGCTCACAGATTTTCTCACTGAAATCTACAAACTCTGAAAGATGCCATTTGAAATAAATATTGCTAACAAGAAAATATTGTACGGATATTGGATATTTCCATGGTCATATTTAATCAGCCAGTTAATGTTTCTGATAGTGTGTGTATATTGAGAATCAGATAAAACAAGTACTAGCCCCTATTTTATGTGTGCTCATTATGGATTAAAAGTATATCAAATTAAAAATAGATCTAGAAGAGAGGCTTACAACATGTTTTAGCACTCAAATATACCGTTAGTATATTAGATTTACTCAATACATTTTAAGCAGCATTTGAACAAAATATTCTATTAGAATATAAGCTAGTTATAGCCCATTACCGGAATAAGAAGTTGGAAGCTATTTGAAGATTCCAATCTCTCTACAAGTATTTGCAGAAGATCGCTTTTTGCTAGCATACTGGTAGCAACTTTGGACAGAGCAGTGAGATACACAACCACCCATGCTACCTCGGTTGCCAATTCCTCTTCCCTGATTAATTCAGAAAATAAATTATGAAAGAACTCCATACAAGTGTGAAAAACAAATTTAAGTATTCAAATATTGATTAACAAACACAAAGTTTAGTACTCACCCCCTCTTCAGGTGTCGAAGAATCGCACTAAGAACACCATCAATCCTTATTAAATCTGTTGCAGCTTTTCCGCTTGGTCCCTGCACAAATATAGCAAGCCATGCATATATCTCAAATGAAGAAAGTAGACTTTCAAAACTAAGCTGCACCGTTTCAGGACCAAGGTACCAACAGAGTAGTTATATATAGTAAAAATACAATGCAAGATGGCGGCATAAGCTGATGCAGACTTTGAAAATAACAAGAAAACGACCATTCTAAAGTTGATATTATATATCGTTGTCATATTAATAAGGCAAAATTTTAAAATTGATGCAAACACGTGCAGCTCAGAACATGCTTCACCTTAATTAAGTTTGATAATGCCCAAGCAGCTGTTCTCACAGTTGACCCCTTGTTTGGCAGCATCATCCTTGCGAGAGGCTGTAAAGCTCCTTGCGATAGCAAAATGTTCCTTAGCTCCTCGCCTTCACCAGCAACATTTCCCAGTGCCCACGCACATTGCTCTGCAACAGGGAGCGGACTTTTTTCTGCAACGCAGTTAGTTTCTTGACATTTAAAGAGAATGTAGAAGATCACTACAGAAATTATCATGAATGAATAATGACTGCGTTGGTGAACCTCTTATGTTATATAGGATTAATCTGGATAATATAACCACACACATAAGGAGAGCTGGGGAGAGAGAGAGATCAATGATCCATCTTCGTTTACACGAACGACAGAAGATAACAAATGGGCAGAATAGATGGTTCATAAACCCAAGAACAACGGCGACACAACCATCATAACCATCTACTTATCATCCACAGTAATATAGGTAGGAAGTTCCAACGAGCAGGTTGGAACCAACAGTCTCTCCCTTCCAAATTATTTTATATGCTAGAATAAATCTCCAATCTCAGTGACAACAAACCACCCTAAATATTTTTGGGGAGATACAAAATAAAGTAGTTTCTGGAACAATTGGAATACAGTTTTCTAAGCCAAGATGAATCTTTTCCAATCATTATCTTAGTCACACCAAAGGTTATCTGAAGTGGCTTGGATTAAGACATTTAAGGATAGCAGTGTAGCAATTGCCTGGAATTTAATAATATCAAAAGAATCAACCCAGCTTCAATACGATTTATATAGTGCTTGATTAGATCACAAGACACAAAGACAACCTCCAAGATGATGAATCCCACACTTACAAAAGGTCATGCAAGAGAAGAAAATGCTTGTCTACCCAATTAAGCTTGGCTAATTCGTGAACCAAGTGTAAGCAATGAACCCACCAATTTTATGCATCATTACCATCCAATAAAACCAAAGCTCAAATGCCCTAGATATGAGGAATCAAGAAATACAAAAATTAAAACAAAATAAAACACCCGTAAAATACCAACCTCCCATATGAGCAATAAGTAATGGTAATGCAGGCAACAACGCTTTGGTTTCTTCTGGTTTTCCAGCTGCTATATTTGTCAGACACCAAGCTGCCTCGAGTAACTATTTGTACCATTTCACAAAATTTACCATCAAAAGGCCACTCAATTGACAATAAACTTTTATAACCCTTCACATAGAAATTAGCACAAATTCTCAAACCTGCTCATCAGGTGAACCAAAGGAAAGGCACTGAATTAGGGTAGACATTGCTCCAACATTGAGAGCAGCTTCAACTGGTGGGCATTCCGATTTTGATAACAGTCGTCTTAACTGCCGAAGAGCACTAACTCTTTTATGTATTGCTCCTTTTCCCCTAGGTGACAGAAAATGTTTATACAACCCACATTTCCCCATCAAACGATCTCAAACGATTCTAACTAATAAATAGAATATATTTCAAAAAACATATAAAACTACTTTCCTGCAGTCCCTAAATTTAACCAAATGTGCAGTAGCATGATTAATATATATGAATAAGAATTCAAGATAATGTTCAATTTGGATGATATATATACATATATATATATGAACACAAGATACTACCAACCATCAGAATGTGGATAAACTCGAGAAAATGAAAAGGTAATTCAGCATACTGATATCCAATGGCGTGTTTCAAGTCTTCTACTGCTTTCAACGTCTGATCCACCAAAACTGATTGCTCTTCATCGGTCTCCATTGTTTCATCAATAGCAGAGTCTGCATCCTCATTGCTAACGCCCTGTCTGCACAGACGCTTTGATCGCATTAAAGCTTCTCTCCTTTCCTTCCCTACCGATACTGCAATTTCCCGTCTCCTCTGCACCGCAACACTTCCAACTGAAAAACAGAAGCCAATACATCCTCATTCGAAAAATCAAAGAACAAAAAACATACAATAACTGCTACTCACTCAAATCAATTGAAGAATCTAACCAAACAATCGTATCGTTCCAAAATAACAGTAAAGATACAGCAAAACCCTCGCAGAGGTACTAAAAAATAATATGCTCGCCCGAAATGACTATAGCATCTTCAAACAAACTAGTAACTGCTTTCAGTCGCGCCATAGAAATGCATAAGGAACAGAGAATGAAGTTTGCCTGATGACTTCATGGGTGCTCTTTTGTGCGGCGTTGAAGTATCTTCTGCCATCACTTCGATCCTTTCGGCTTCCTGACGGCAAAAACAAGCAATTGAAAACCCGCGCCGGAGGGAAATGTTTGAATTTCAGCCCACCGGAGGGTTGGGGAGATCGCCGGCCAAAGAAGGTGGTGGGTTTGTCCGAATTGGGGGACCAAATCAAAGGGAGATATTTAAGGCTGCGTTTAGGTTGACCCTTTTTTGTTCATTTCAAACATTTCCCTAAAAACATGTGAGCCTTGAAAAAATACTTTTGACAGCCTTGCTTGTTTTGTTTGTAAGATTAGTTCAATTTTTCTTAGTATAAAAATTAAATTAAACATTAAATAAATTTATAAGATGTACAAGGAAAACACACCGTATATACTTCATCCATTTGGGGTGTGTTTGTTTTGGGGTTTTGGATTTTGAGTTGGGATTTGAACTCAAAAATTTTGAATTTAAATAGTTGTATAATGTGATATAAATAGGTGTTGATGTGATGTTTAAATGTAAAATTAACTTTTAGTATAATATAAAAAATAAAAATAAGTGTTTGATTTGATATTTTTGGAAAAAAAAGGGATATATAGTAAAAATTAAATCCATTCCCCAAACAAACACACCACAAAAGTTTTGGATTGAGAATTTTTTGAAAATTTTGTGGAATTTCAATTTACATCCTAATAGTCTTTTCACTAATATAATATCTTATAAATTTTGGGAGAAATAATAAAATTGTCTATTCAGATTATACAAAAACAGATTCGATACATTCGTAATCTAATCTATGGATAAGATCAAATATAAATATAAATTTACTAAATATCTAAAATATCTCAATATAATATATAATTAAATTTTAATATAACATAAAAAATAAAAATTTAATTTAAAGTGTTTTTTAATTTATAGTATTTTTTAGACATATGTTAATTTTTAGAAATTTAAAATATACTCTCTACGTCCCACTTATCATGTCAAAAAAAAGTTATACATTTTAATTTAATTTAATTTAATTATAAGTAAGTATTAATATGATATTTTGATCGTAAAATTAATTTTTCATATAATATAAATAATAAAAAAATAAATGTAATTTAATTTTTTTAAGAGAAAAAAATATTAAATAATAAAAATTTGATATAAGAAAGTATCATAAAGTTAAGGAACCCTATATTCTAAAGCCATTTTATTTGTTAATGTTGGAAAGCCATGTAAAAGCCTGCGGTGGGCTTGGATTAGAAGAAAAGGAAAATAAAAGAACACACATATGACATAACCATAAGTGCGTGTACGTACCTAAGGTGACATTTGGTCTCCACCAGCAAGCCAGCTTGGTATGGTACGGCCTTTTATTTAGATCCAAAATTTGATCAAGTTCAAAACGTGGCCTACCACAACCATAATCAATCCACTCGCAAAAAAACAACTAGGACTAGTTTACACTTCAAATCAAACTGTCCTCTTCCTCACATTTCCCACAAAACCCCAATTTCCACCCACATAAATAATTATATTTATTAAATAAATTTATTAAAAATAAAAAATTATTAGTCATTCCGTCCTAGATAATACGGGCGTATTAATGTAGATACGAGAATTCATGTAAAATATAATTAATAAATAATTAAAAAGTATATTAGTAAAAAAATTATATTTTAAAATTAAAATAATAGTTTAATAGATTAAAAAATTATAAATTTAAAATTTAAAATACTATAAACATTTATAAAAATAACAAATTATGTAGAATTTGACGAAAAAGAGTATCTTTTAATGAAACATACAAAAGAAAAAAAAAAGAAAAAATTATTATTTAAATAAAAATTTTAAGTTAACATTTTATTTTGAATTAAATTTATATTACAACCCATCAGCATCATTGAGCACAACAATTTCAATATACAATCATATTAAATATTTATTTATATTATATTAAATAATTAACTCTGTTTATATAAGTAATTTTTTTTTTTTACTCATTTGATATTATTCATTTTTCAAAAAAATATCACATCAAATACTAATATATTATTTATTTATTTTCATACTTCCAAGTCTTCAAAAATTTCGAAAAACTCTATCTAAACAAACTTGATATCATTTAAAATAAATACCATCCCTCCATTTCAAGAACAGCCCTTTTTTCAATGATAGTCAAATTTTGGTTCAACTTCCCTGCAACAAAAACAGTACAGAAAGAAATAAAGCTGAATAGGAACTGAAACACAAATATTCAATTCCATGTAGAGAGAGAGAGAGATCTAGAGAGAGAGTAATAAATGGGTGTAAATGCAAGAAAAGCCTAACCCATCTATTCATCCCAAAAAACAACAAAAGAGAAAAGGAAACAAAAAAATTCTGCAAATTCTCACACAAGAACAACGCAAGGGAATTTCTTGAAAAACAGCCATTGTCGTCTCTCTCCCACAGCCACATACACACAGATATAGTGAGAGAAAGACAAATTTCAGATAATCAAGAACCAGAGAATTTCTCTCTCTGCAATTTTTTAAGGTGCTTCGATAGTCTAGTCAAGAAGAATCAATCTCCTGCGTATTAGGAACTAACCAAAAGATGAAAGGTATACCAATGCCGATTTCGAGTCCAAACAGAGCAGAGAATTTCCCGCCGCCATTACTGAGATTCTCGAGGACCAACACAGCCAGTAGAAGCAGAGGAAGATCACGTTCCAGCCCTATGTTCTACATCCGCACCAAAAGAAGCGCTGCCGAAACGGCTCAGGAACCGTCTTCCCCGAAGGTCACTTGCTTCGGCCAGGTCAGAACCGCCAAATCCAACGCCAAAACCACCTCCGGCAACCGCCGCCGCAGCTGGCTGTTTAGGAGGACCACCGGAAATCTCTCCCTAGGGTTCCGGCGCCAGAAAGGGATTTTCCGGCGAATATTCTGCAACTGCGGATTATTTTCGAAATCGAGCTACTGCACGGAAATCGACACAACGAAGAATTCAATTTCGACCTATTCCGATCAGAAGAACAATTCATTACCGCAAAATCCGCGCCTTCCGCAGTCAGAAACCAAAACCGATTCGATTTCCGTACCGACAAATGCCCTAATTTTGACGAGGTGCAGATCCGCTCCGTACAGATCTTCATCCCTGGCCGGCAGAATTTGGGGCTCTCCATTCCGCGACGCCGAAACTGCAACTAATGCGAAACCAGAGGGCTCGAAAATGCCTGTTGAATCAAAAACTAGGGTTAGCCATGAAAATACAAACGAAATGCGGAATTCAACGAGTAATTGCGTCGACGAATCGAAGGGAATCACCGTTGATGCAATCCACCCATTGCTGCTGACAAGATGTAAATCGGAGCCGGCAAAAACAGGGGAAAGGCTGAATCCAGAGACCAGTTTTTGGCGGCAGAGAAGATTCGGCAGCACAGTGGAGCAGAGCCTTCTTTGTTCTTTGCATAGTTCCAAGTAATTTCTTCATTTAACATTCAAAGAGTTTGAATTTATATATACTGTTTAGGCTAATTGTGACTTTGCTGCTGCTTACCATTCAAATGAAAAAAAAAAACAAAAAAAAAATTAGAAAATATATATGTTTTATTTTGGAACGTCCAATTACAAAGTAAAAGTTTCATTAAATACCTTACTTTTTTTTCACAAATACCCCCCTACTTTACATCACATCATTACTTTTACACTAAAAAATAAGAACAAAAATGTCATTACATTATTTTTAACTGCCCATATTAAAAATAATTGTATATATATTTTTTTTTTGGACAGAGAGAATATCAAATATAAGTATAGTAATAATATTATAGTAATAATATAATATATATATATATGTATAGGTGTGTATATAATTTAGATAGAGATATAGGGATTGATGGAGAGAGAACCGAGAGAAGAAAGATAAAGTGAGACTAAATTCTATCATTTTATTTTTATTAATTACAGTGCTTATTTATAAGTTATTTTCAATTCAATTAGTCATTAAAATTAGATGTGTGTCATCATAATATAATGACACTTATAATAATGCAATGAGTTGTTGAACAGATGACTTGGCAAAAGCAACAAATGACAACTATAAAAAATGCAATGAGTCATAACATTTTTTACATTTTTTTTAAAATTTTATTACTAATATACTTAAATGGTTGAAGTATTTCTTCATCCACTTGTTAATATGTATGATCCCATTACTCAACAAATATATGTATATATTTTTATTTACATAGATACATCACATTTTACACATCATAGAGTGCAAGTAATTTTTACATATCAAAATTTTCGTCAAACTTTGTCCCATCCAAATAAATGTCTACTATTTTAAGTGGATGAAACTAGTACATGTTTCGATAAAAATATATACTTCGTTTGTTACATTGTAAAACGGTCATTTATTTTTTTTAATTGATTAAAAAGTATTAGTATTTCTTGGGACAGTGAAAGTTTGTAAAAAAATTTAATATATTTTTGTAAATTATGTAAAAAAAATATTTTTTGATATTTGTATATAAAGTATTTTTACTGTATTAAAAAATTGATATTTTTTAATTTAACATGTAAAAATAATAAAAATAATATTTTGAACTGTGATCTCCTCGAATATTACTCCTATTTATACAAAAATTTAAATTAATTTTTTATTTCAAATCAATTTTAAATTGTAATTATATCACACACATATATTATATATATAAATTAATCTGTTATATAGATGTTTTTTTAAGTTTAAAATTTTTTTATTCTTAAAAAGCCTATTGTAATGAAATGATTATTTAATGTTACGTTTATGAAAGTATGGTACATAAATAATAATACTCCTTTTTTGTCCGGTCGACTTTTTTTTTTTTTTTTCTTTTTTTTTCATTTCATAAAAAAATATTTATTTTTATTTTCGACAAATTTATTAATTTTTTATATAGTTAAAAAATATAAATTAATTTAATTAAATTAGTATTATTATTAATTAGTTCAATAACGAAACAACAAATTTGGGATTCTTATAGGCACAGCCACGAGTTACTTCTATTTATTGACCGTTTTTATTGTTGCAGATATTAACTTACGCATGCACATGGGACTGACTGTTGACAGCATAAATAATACTCCTCCCCCCGTCCCTAAACAATAGTATGGTTATATTCGGTACGAGATTTAAGGAATATTGATATTATATTAACAGTGAGTAAAAAATATAGATAAAAAATATTTTTGTCTTTGTGAGTGTATTAGTGTAAAATATAGTGGCAATTGTGTAATAATAATGAAAGGGTGTGTTTGTTTGAAGGATTTTGGTAGATTTTCACTATTCATCCAATTTTTTCCCCCCAAAAACATCAAATCAAACACCTATTTTTCATTTTTTATATTATACTAAAAATCAATTTTACATTCAAAACATCACATCAAACCCTATTTATATCACATCATACAAACCCCCAAACAAACACACCCAAAGAGTAAGGGTAGTTATACAGTGATAGATTATTTATAAAAATAAGGCTATTGTTTTGGGACGGACAAAAATAATAAACAAAATTATTATATTGGGATGTATTGGGACAGAGAGAGTACTCTTTGCATGTTAACTAATTTGTCAATTTTAGCTGAATTACGAATTTCTAGATATTATTAAATTAGCAATTTTAGTTGAGTTACGAATTCCTAAATATTATTAAATTAGCAATTTTAGTTGAGTTACGAATTCCTAGATATTACTAAATTAGCAATTTTAGTTGAGTTACGAATTCCTAGATATTACTAAATTAGCAAGTAATTAAAAAATATATTAGATTGACTAAATAATTTAATTAAAATAAAAATATTATAAATTATAAATTTTAAAATAAAATTAATGTGTATAATTATATTTTCAAAAATAAATTATGTGAAACAGATAAAAAAAAAATTGATAAATTATATGGAACAAACAAAATAATAATACTAAAATTTTAGCTATTATTATAGCTATGAATGCTATGAATGTGTTAGGTTAGGGATTTTGTTTGAGTTTTGAATATTAAAAATTTTGAATTTGAATAATTATTTAATTTGATATAAATGATTGTTGATACTCCCTCTGTCCAAAAAATACAGTCTTACTGTGTTGGACATAAGATTTAAAGAATATTGATATTACAGTGATAGTTGGTAAAATGTAAAGATAAATTACTTTATTGCCCTTGTGAGTATATTAGTGTAAAAAGTAGTGACAATTGTGTAATAATAATGAAAAATTATGGATAATTTTATGGTGATATGATTATTTATGAAAATGAGACTATTGCTTTTTTATGGATAAAAATGAACAAGAATATTATATTGGAACAGATGGAGTATTATATTTCAAATATAAAATTGATTGTAAATGCTATAAAAATAAAGATAAATATTTTATTTTATTTTATTTTTATATTAGATAAAAAGAAAACCACAAATTAATATATTCACATGAATTAGAAACGGTAACATAAATAATCAAACATTTACAAAATAAAATTGTAACTATCTTTTTTTGGATACGAAACTGAAAGTGTTTAATCGACAGTAATATTGATGAAGGAGACGTTCAACCAATTGCTCTTTTGTGGAGCTTTCTACAATTAATACTGTTCGCCATCGCCAGCGTTGGATTCCTTTTCGACGGCCACGATGGTCTCATAGCTACACCACCCTCCGTTTAATTTAATTTTTCAAAATGCCGATTCAATGCACTAGCAAAAATTAACCGGACCTGAACTTGACCTGAAATAGTTGGATTTGGATTGAGATTTTCGATCCAATTAATAATTGGGTCAAACTCATTTAACCCATTTAATTAAATGGGTCAGGTTAAGGTTTATATTTTCGACCTGAAAATAATCCGTCTAACCTGTTTAATTAATATTATTTTAAATTTAAATATATTTTTTAAATTTTATCAATACAATTTAATATTTATGGTCAATTTTATAAAAATAAACAATAAAAAATAAAGGATTGTGTTGTGTACTATTATGTAATGTTTGTTAATTCAATTCTTGAATATCGGTTTCATGATATGAATAAATAATTTTTTGCTTTAACATGTATATATATTATGCATTTAAAAAATTTGTTAGTATAAATTGTATTTTTAAATTAAAATTTTAAAAGTTTAGATTTAAACGGGTTATATGAGTTACAGTCAGGTTAAGGTTGCAAATATCAACCCATTTAATTAAATGAATCAGATTCAGGTCAAAGGTTTCGTAACCCGTTTAAGCTGACCCGACGTGATCCGTTTGCCAGCCCTACCCATTACTCATAGTGGCTTTTGGAGATTTTGGAAATTTTAGAAATTTAAAAATAATAAAAAATTTAAATTTGATATGATATTTTTTAAAAAGTAAATAATATCAATTTTTTAAAAAAATTATTATGTAAACAAAGCAAATATCTTCAATATTAATACTCATTTAATTATCCCATTTATCATTTAAAATGTTTTAGGGTGTGTTCTTTCACAAATTTCTAAACATATCTCTAAATATATATATATATATATTACACATATTTATTATTTTTATATTATTTACATAATTTTTATATTTTATATAAAAAATATTTTTTTCAAATAATTTCACTAAACAAACACACTCTTAAATTCTTAGTCAATTATCAATTTATTCATGTTAGTACATGATTGTTCATCCAATAAAAAAATTTGACAAATTTTTTGATTAATATTATAAAAATAATACTCACTCCGTTCCATTGAAAGATTGTCATTTTCCATTTTCGTCCGTCCCAAAACAAGGTTACCATTTCATAATTTAGTCATTGTACTACCTACCTAAAGTATTAAATACCCTTCTAACTTACACTATATTATACAAATGTCATTACTTTTATATTACACAATACTAATAGAGGCATTTTCGTCTTTTTCACTATAACTCATTATAATACTAATATTAAAAAATTTACGTGCAAAAAATAAAAGACAACCTAGGACGAGGGATAATAACATAAATCTACACAAAATATTTAATATATATTCTATCATCGAATACAAGTCCAATAATTTAATGTCATATATATATATATATATATATTTACATTACCAAATACTCCCTAAAGTTCAAAACACAAAACAAAAAACTCCGTATTTGTCAGGTATTTTGTTAAATATAAAAATTTAGGCAATAGTATAATTAATAAATAAGTTGTTTATTTGTAACTTTTTTATTATAAATTAAATTAATAAAACTAGTTAATCTAAATAAAATTAAAAAGATTATAAATTATAAAATTAAAATACAAACGAATATAGAAAATATAAATAAATTATACGGAAAGATAGATGATTTATTTGTTTAGTATAATAATTTGAAAGAGAATTTTTATTTGAAAGAGAATTTTTTTTCTTTTTATATGTAATATTGATAATTACATAATTAATATAAAAATAAATAATATAATATAAAAATAATGAATATATATAATAAATTCTATCCATTCGAAAAGGGATAACTTATTTGTCAGAGAGAGATAGCATGTAACAGAGGTATTTGAAACAAAAAATTGGATCCATAGTTACTAAAAAAAAATGTATATGTTAACCGGGACGGATAAAAATGAAAGGATGTATATATTAAAGTGGGATAAATAGAATATTTATTTGTAAATTTAATTGAGATATATATATTTTTATATTCGCTATTAGAAGTGTGTTGAATATAAAAAATAATTTTTTGTTAAATTGTTAAATTTTGATAAGATTGTAGAATATATAGTGTGTTGATGTGTATATATACTTGATATATTTTTTAATAATATCAATCATAAAGCATATCAAATATCTTTTAGGGTAAACTATTTTTTTAGTCACGTAATTGGACCCATTTATTATTTTAATCCCGTAAGTGGAGCATGTCGCAAACTAGTTCCATAAGTGAAAAAATTTCGTTGTTTTAGTCCTCCGGCGCCGGAGACGCATGCATGGCTCTCCAGAGGCTACGTGTCCGCCAGGTCAGCGACATCTGACGCACACATGGATTTTATTTTATTTTATTTTTTCATTTTTTTAAAATTGATTTTAATTTTTTTTAAAATTTTATTCGTCTTTTAATTTTTTTTTTCAATTGAAAGAAAATTAAAAAAATAATAAAATCCACGTGCCCGCCATGTGTCACTGACTTGGCGGACACATGGCTTCCGACGAGCCACGCGGGAGTCTTCGACGCCAGAGGACTAAAACAACAAAAAAATTTTCACTTATAGGACTAGTTTGCGACAGACTTCACTTACGAGACTAAAATAATAAGGAGATCCAATTACGAGACAAAAAAAATAGTTTACCCTATTTTTTATTAGGGTGTTTGATTGAATATTTATTATGGCCGTGCACTTTGCAGGTCAACTGCCACGTCACCTCCGTCATGTCCACGTCAGCAATTTCCGTTAGTTTTTTAATGGTGGGACAAAAATTGATAAAAATTGTTTATAATAGGACCAAAATTGATTGAAATTGTTTATATTGGGACCAAAATTGATGAGTTTTTTATATTGAGACCAAAATTGATAAATTTTGATTATATTGGGACCAAAATTGATTAATTTTAATTATATTGGGATCAAAATTGATTTTTTCCCATATTTTTTTAATAACTTAGCTATAAAATAAATTTTTTTTTTTTAAAAAATAAAAAGATGTGCGATTTTAGTATCTTAGTTATAAATAAATTTTTTAAAATAAAGTGCTTTGATATATTTTCTTTTTAAAAAAAAATTAAAATAAATGGTTGAGACGATGCTAAATGTTACGTTTGTGCCCTAATTGTTCCCATAGCTCTGTTGATTTAGATCACACCGTAATCGTACTCCAACATCTCCACAAATTTGTAGTTAGCGTTTGATAGAAAATTCGAGAGAGAGTTTGGAATCAGAGGGGCTGGAAAATGAGATACCGGTCTCTGATGCTTAGCTGCACTTAGGGATGTCAAATGAGACGGGTTAGTCCCGGACCCGCCCCGAATCTGTTTTTAGTGAGGCGGATTCGGGTCTAAATAATATATTTTGGGGCGGATTGTGGATTTAAAATTTTAAACCCGGGGTTCGGGGCGAGTTACGGGTTTTATTAAAAACCCGCCCCAACCAGGATATTTTTTTAAATTATTATAACTAATGTATATGTACATTTATATAATAAAAATATATTATTTAAAAAAACGGGTTTGCTGGGTTGGCTCCGAACTCGGCGGGGTGGGTCTTGAGGCCGGGTGGAAGCGGTGCGGGGCGGGTGTCAGAGCCTAATATTTTCTAGCGGCGGATCTCGAGCCTGCAGAACCCGTCCTGAACCCGCACCGTTGACATCCCTAGCTGCAGTGTCGCCACCGGATTTTGATCGGATGTGTAATAAGGACGCCACTCCACTACAAGTGTAGCCCGCCGATGCGGTGGCCATAGTTTGCTTGGGTATCGGAAATCCATTGGGTGACAATCGTTGGTTCGTGTGGATGGATTTGTCCTAGAAATAGACAGAGGAGGTGTTGTGGGAGTCGTAGGGTTGTGTGAGCTTATACTTCCTTATTTAGTTGTATTTTACCTCAGGAATGTTCATTCAGGTTAATATTTATGCATCCAATGTTTGATTCTAATAATTTCTTATGCAATTGACTTTTTTCAGTGATTTCCAAGAATGCACTTTTTTTTTTTTAATATTTTATCTATAGCCCTTTTGTAGGACTAATCATGTAGTTAGTACAAATTATTATTATTATGTCACATGTCCTTGGATCCCATAAAATATTTTTTTACCCATTGATTATGTGTAGAATACAACTTTTTTAATATACTTTTGTAATGATCATGTATTGATATACTTTTTTATTATGTTTTCTTGTTATTTATTTACTCGTGAGATGGGGTTAAATAATCGCATCAATTAGTGTCGGTAAACATTATACGATAGCATTAATTTAGTTACAACAACACAATTTAAAATCATTTATTTTTTATTTTTTATATTTAACGCAATATTGTCGTTGTTAATTAAATTGGTCAGATGTCGGTACGATTTGATTTTATTTATTTATTTACTTTTGTCTAATTTATCTGAACTCATCTCCTTTTAGTCTATTTTTGTTAATTTTACATTCTTTATTGACAATTTTGAATATTGAAAGGCTCTTTCTGTAAAGAATATGAAGTATGATATTTTGTTATTATAATAGGATATTTGCAAAATATTAATAAATTTGTGGGGGTGTTGTTATTTATTTCTTGATATCCTAATGTGTGTTGTACTTTCTTTTTAGTTTTATCATCTATTTATTGGTTTCAATTACGAGGGAGTATTATTATTAGTGTATTAACTAATAAATTTAAAAAAAATATATAATTATGTTTTGATGCGTTGTAAATTAAAAATGATATTTTATGGCGTAGAGTGTGACAATATATTTAAGGGTATTTTTCTTTATTTTAATTTTCTCAAATTTTACTATTTGACTATGCGTTTTTAGAAAAATATACATTTTTTCTCTTATAAAACATTCCATCAAACATTATTTTCAAACCAAATTTTCTTAAACTCAACCAAAAAAATACAACTTAAATTTAATTTTGGGCACCATAATATTAGTTACAGTATTATTATTATTTTTTTAATTTTTGGTGCCAAAACATTATTTTATTGAGTAAAAATTAATTTTGATCCCAATTAAACATGTTTTTTTATTTTTGATCTTATTTAAAATTAATTATCAAAATTAATCCCGTACAAAGAATAAATTATATTTTTGTCCAACAGTTAAAATTTCAACGGAACAGACTGACGTGACAATAACGGAAATTGATGTGGCAAATGATTTGAAACAAACACGACCGTGTTAATTACAACACGAATATATTGTTTCAATTAAACAATATATCACTGTATTTATACCAACACGAACGTGTTCAAAACTGAACACGCCCTGTTCAAATTAAAGCAGTACTTAAAATTTTAAAAATGCTGCTGTGTAAGTTTTATAATAATTAGTGGCCCCAAACTTAATATAAATATATTTAATAATTTGCCCATAATATTTATTTTTTGAATTTAATATATTTATTTATATATACATTATCGTACGTATTTAGTAACATTTAAATTTGTTTTTTTTATGCACCAAAAAAATCACTTTTTATTTTTATTTTGTGTCTTCAGATGTTTTTTTTTTTTTGTTACATAAAAAGATGATCTATTTTTATTTTAGTTAAATTATTCATTTTAACTACATTTAATAAATATTTATTAATTTAATTAAATTTATGATATCTTATACATAGGATCATTCAATTTTTTTTTTATTTTTATATCTCAATTAATAAATATTTTTATCTACTTTTAAATTTATATATATATAAAATTAATTTATGATAACTATAAATAAAAAATATATTTATTATTTATTTGTACTATATCAAATTTTTTTCTTTACAAGCTGATATACTGCATATTTTTTATTAAAATATAATGTTAAAAATATTTAAAATACTAATAATATTCATATTAAAAATATAAAATAAATGTATTTAAAATTAATAAATTTACAAAAGAATAAAAATAAATTATCTTTTGTAAAATACAAAAAAAAATCATCTGGGAAATTATATTTTCAGACAAAAAAATAAAAACAAAAATGATATTTTTGTGTACATAAAAAAATTAATTTTAAATATTTCTAAATACTTAAAATAATTTATATGTTATTAACTATATTAAATTTTAAAAATAAATATTATAACTAAATTGTTAAATATATTTATATTAACCGTGGGCCCACTCTCTATTTTATTTATTTGAATTTTAAATGGCAATACATTATTGTAATTTAAATTTTAACCCTAGCACCTATTCCGTTCGTCCTCCAGAAGCTTCGCTGCCTCCATCTACTCCGCGCAGTCGCAGTCGCCGTCTCCAACTCCAGCTCCTCTCCTCTACCCATTGCTCCCGTCTTTGAAGGTAGTTCCTTTTCCTCTCTTGTCTGGTTGCTATTATGTTTTCATCTACTTATTTTAGGTGATTCGATTTGAAAACTCTGGTTGTGGTTCATTTTAAGGTAGGGGGCGGGGCCTGGGGGACATACCGGAGGATCTGTGTTCCGCTACCTAACGCTGCCGGAGATATGCAATTGGCGCAGCGCATTCCACGGCACCCCTTCGTCGGATGCGGTTTGGGAATCCAAGCTTCCATGTGATTACCACCAGCTGCTCGATTTCCTCTGTTTCTGTATGAAGAATATCTACTTACTCCTTCTGTTCGACGACAGAAACAAGGCACGTTAATTAATTTCCGATGCATCTCGGTTAGTTTTCGTCCTTACATATCCATCATATACATAATTTTAGATTTCTCTTTTTGTCACATTTGTGGATCGATGCTTTGATTATCTTCCTTCATGATTCAATCAGTTGATCCTGGTTTATTTGCCCTGTTGAAATTTGTCTGCTTTGTTTTTGGTTTTTCTTTACTCAACACTGTTTAAATTAGGTTTTACTCACTTTATCTATAATAGACAAATAGGCAAAATGTTTTATCTGTTCTCTTTGGTTCATAAAATTATTTTATGCTATTTTTTCTCATTTGGTTTATTGGTTTTTACTATTTAGAATTTAGAATTTGCAAGTTAAACATCTTCTGTATGTAATCAATGGCAAATAACACTAAATGATTTGCGGTTGAACTGGTTCTATGCTTTGGTGCTTATGTTCGACAATATTTGTTGTCTCAAAATTGCAATGATATTGAATTTTTAGTTGTTCTAAAATAAAGAATGGAAAAAGTTACATATCTTCCATTATGTATTGAGCCAAAAACACTTGCTTGGTTCCTTTATCCTGTAAACATGATCTCATTATAAATTTTGATTATATATGCACAATCATTAAGCAATTTTGGACTTTTCATTATGAAGCTAACTGAATGTATGTATCTCCAACTGTATTGATTTACTTCCAGTTGTTCGTATTTGTTTTTCTATTAATCCACTAATGGCTTCATTATGGGACAAAGGGCGTGCTTTTATAAACATATTATACTGTGCAGAAATAAAATTCTTGTGTGGAGATTGCATTTACAATGGCGAAGAGGCATAAGAAGCGTGGGATTATACAATTCTTGATGAAGTAGGCTTAATGTTCTGTACGTCATGCCCTTGGTTTTGTATGCAACAAGTACTAATTCCATATGAGTTCAAGTACTAATTTTGTACTCTTCCATTTTGAATGCATAATTCTATTAGGGGCAGCTCACATTAATCAGGTGAGCATATCAATGAGGTATTTGGGTAAGTGTATTTTCCAAACTAATGTTTAATATTCTATGCATTGAGATTTGGTTGTATATTTTTACATTAATTTTTCTTTTAATCTTTTTTATTTTATTTTTATTTTACCTTATACATTGTTGCAGATCGAGTTTTAGGTGTGTTGCTACATCACAAGCAAGTCATCATTCGTTCTCTTCATTTTTCAAGATGGAATTTTAGGTTATTTGGTCTTAATTCTTTCATTTCTTTGTAGCTTTTTTTCATTGTCATGCATGTAGTTTGTCTGGGATGTTTGGAGGATGTTGGAACTAAAAAGAATCTGGTGCGATCCTTTCTTAGCTTAGCTATTTGTATGTCCATCTTAGTCCATGATGGAATCAATATAACCAACCATTTATATATAATATATATGTTTAGCTTTTGTTGATTTTATAGTCTTTATTTCCTTGTAATACAGTCTATGAGATTTGGAAATTAAGTATTTATTTTACGGATCCATTTTTGGGTTGATGCGATGAGCGACCATAAATATATGTGATAGGTTTAGATTTATTTTCGTCGCTCCTATGGTGTCTATACTTGCTAATATGAAGTTTTGTATTTGATAAAAATAATATATTTGAAGTCACTTAACTCACTTTGTAGTCGATGCTGAAAATTTTGCTTATGCTATTTTGTAATTTCTTTACCATGTGAATCTTTGCATCAGTTCTCTATATTAGGATATCTATTAGGTGTCTATTGAAATTTTGATGGCCCAACTCTTACAAGCATAAGTGGAACCCGGGCAGTTTCTATTCCTTTACATTGCTCGACATTTTTATTTAATACATGTGTTTATAGAATATTTAGTCTTGGTTTGGATTGTGCTTGCATATGTGCATAGATATTCAGTTGCATTTCAACTGTTATTTAAGAGATCAGCATAACACCAAAAGTTGTAGATATGCAGCATATTTTTTATAACAAGATCTGAATATTGGTATCAAGCACCAAAAATACTTTCTCCAACACATAGTTGTACCTATATTGAGAAAAATATGTTTACCTGCAAATTAATTGCCCAGTAATTTTTGGTAAAAACTTATATATATTAGTTGTAATTTTATTTAAAATTGGTCATGTTTGAGCGTTGTCTTTATTACGTGGGGTTGATAAATCCGATTTTTGTCTTTAAATCCTTGAATGGTACATGGGTGAAGACTGCATAATGTATATATAGAAAAACCCTAGGGATGTCACAAAATAGGTGCAAAGATACTGAAGAGCAATGGATAATATCTCCAGGAATTGTGAGCTTAGATTTGTACATGATCTCACTCTTAAGATTATGTGTATTCTTTAGTTAAGTTGTCTATGCTATTTGTATTTCAACTTTTTTTTTTTGGACCCTACTCTATTATCATTTCGGGAAATTGAAATTTTATTGTTTGTATTAGTGAAGGGTGTCCAAGCCAGCAACATACTTCTTGATGATAAATATGAAGTTAATATGGGAAGTCTCAGTGAGGTTTGTCCTCAAGAAAGTGAAACTCATCAAATGAGGATCTCAAAGTTGCTCCGTTTGCCCAGTAAGTAATTTCTTGCAACTAAAACTAAGGTCAATAAAACTTTCATTCTAGTTGAATATGGATACTACCTATATAGGCTTGCAATATAATTACAGTTCTAAAATTCTAGTATTCATGTGTATGTATGTGTGAATATTAATTTAAAGTCCACTAATTGTTGAACATATTTCCGTAAGGCAAAATGGTCAAATTTTATTTAAAACGTTGAAAATAGTTGCCATGTTGTGCTAATAATTTTCTCACGGGCATTTGTTTCTTCCCCTTATATTATGTTGGCACATTAAAGATGATATGAACAGATTGTTTGCAAGCTGGTATTAAGTAGTCTTAGTTTAGAAAATTTGATAAATTGTATTTCGTAATAATAATGTTTTGTGCAATTTCATAATAACAGTTATATGAAGGACCATGATTTGTGTTTTTTTTACTTAATCTCTTAATTCCAGGAGGTATATGTGAAAGCATTGGGAAAGGGTTCTCTGTTGCACCATTGCACCATATCAGCGGATTTTAAGGAAAAGACTTCAGCATATCGGTGGATTCAAATTTTAAGGTATCTTGTTTCCATTATTTAAGAAGTTAACATCATATTTGACAAAAAAAAATGTGACAATTTCAGGCTGGTATTACTCCCTAAGCCACGCAAAAAATTAGTGCATTTTTTGCGAGGGAGAGAGTAATATTTTTTGGGTCGGCTTAGACCGTTTTAAAATTCAAGCTCGATAGGCCCGCCTAGATTTTGGATTGGGCTTGAAAACCAAAACCCACGCATGGCCCGGTTTCAAAATATACCGGGCCAGGCTAGGCCAACCCAGATTTTAGTTACAATGGGCCAGACCAGCCTAGATTTTGTAATCGAGATCGAAGGATCTTTGCGGATCCCTTCGTCTTCACATAAGCTTTTCCTATAAATTAAAAACACTTAAAAATAAGTTAGTATAAAATATAGAAACAAAATTAATGCATGCATGTCCCGGGACGTAAAAATAAATCTATTTCTATATGCATAATGCTAAAATAAATTAAATGCATAAATGTAAAAGGAAAGAGACGAATTACTCCCTATGAGGTATTCGGTCGTCCGATCATCCGGCCACTTCCTCTTTTATGCATCTAAAAAGATTTAAAGTAGATGTTAGTATATATGTATAGGAAACAACAAAATAATATTAAAATCACTTACTTTGGATTTGTAATTGAGATCGAAGGATCTTTGCGGATCCCCTCGTCTCCACATGAGCTTTACCTACAAATTAATAACACTTAACAATAAGTTAGTATAAAGTATAGAAACAAAATTAATGCATTCATGTCCCAGGACGGATGTAAAAGTAAATCTATTTCTATATGCATAATGCTAAAATAAATTAAATGCATAAATGTAAAAGGAAAGGGACGAATCACTCCCTTTTATGTATTCGGTCGTCCGATCATCCAGCGGCTTCTTCTTGTATGCATCTAAAAAAATTAAAAACATAGATATTAGTATATACGTATAGGATAATATTAAAATCATTTACCTTGAATTTGAAATCGAGGTCGAAGGCCTTTGCGGATCCCCTCGTCTCCACATGAGCTTTACCTACAAATTAAAAAAACTTAAAAATAAATTAGTATACAATATAGAAACAAATTTAATGCATGCATGTCCCGAGACTGACGTAAAAATAAATCTATTTCTATATGCATAATGCTAAATTAAATTAAATGCATAAATGTAAAAGGATAGGGACGAATTACTCCCTATGTTGTGTTCGGTCGTCCGGCCGCTCCCTCTCGTATGCATCTAAAAAGATTTAAAATAGATATTAGTATATATATAGGAAACGAAAAAATAATATTAAAATCACTTACCTTGGATTTGAAATCGAGATCGAAGGATCTTTGCGGATCCCCTCGTCTCCACCTAAGCTTTACCTACAAATTAAAAACACTTGAAAATAAGTTAGTATAAAATATAGAAACAAAATTAATGCATGCATGTCCCGGGACTGACGTAAAAATAAATCTATTTCTATATGCATAATGCTAAATTAAATTAAATGCATAAATGTAAAAGGATAGGGACGAATTACTCCCTATGTTGTGTTCGGTCGTCCGGCCGCTCCCTCTCGTATGCATCTAAAAAGATTTAAAATAGATATTAGTATATATATAGGAAACGAAAAAATAATATTAAAATCACTTACCTTGGATTTGAAATCGAGATCGAAGGATCTTTGCGGATCCCCTCGTCTCCACCTAAGCTTTACCTACAAATTAAAAACACTTGAAAATAAGTTAGTATAAAATATAGAAACAAAATTAATGCATGCATGTCCCGGGACTGACGTAAAAATAAATCTATTTCTATATGCATAATGCTAAATTAAATTAAATGCATAAATGTAAAAGGATAGGGACGAATTACTCCCTATGTTGTGTTCGGTCGTCCGGCCGCTCCCTCTCGTATGCATCTAAAAAGATTTAAAATAGATATTAGTATATATATAGGAAACGAAAAAATAATATTAAAATCAGTTACCTTGGATTTGAAATCGAGATCGAAGGATCTTTGCGGATCCCCTCGTCTCCACCTAAGCTTTACCTACAAATTAAAAACACTTGAAAATAAGTTAGTATAAAATATAGAAACAAAATTAATGCATGCATGTCCCGGGACTGACGTAAAAATAAATCTATTTCTATATGCATAATGCTAAATTAAATTAAATGCATAAATGTAAAAGGATAGGGACGAATTACTCCCTATGTTGTGTTCGGTCGTCCGGCCGCTCCCTCTCGTATGCATCTAAAAAGATTTAAAATAGATATTAGTATATATATAGGAAACGAAAAAATAATATTAAAATCACTTACCTTGGATTTGAAATCGAGATCGAAGGATCTTTGCGGATCCCCTCGTCTCCACCTAAGCTTTACCTACAAATTAAAAACACTTGAAAATAAGTTAGTATAAAATATAGAAACAAAATTAATGCATGCATGTCCCGGGACTGACGTAAAAATAAATCTATTTCTATATGCATAATGCTAAAAATTAAATTAAATGCATAAATGTAAAAGGATAGGGACGAATTACTCCCTATGTTGTGTTCGGTCGTCCGGCCGCTCCCTCTCGTATGCATCTAAAAAGATTTAAAATAGATATTAGTATATATATAGGAAACGAAAAAATAATATTAAAATCACTTACCTTGGATTTGAAATCGAGATCGAAGGATCTTTGCGGATCCCCTCGTCTCCACCTAAGCTTTACCTACAAATTAAAAACACTTGAAAATAAGTTAGTATAAAATATAGAAACAAAATTAATGCATGCATGTCCCGGGACTGACGTAAAAATAAATCTATTTCTATATGCATAATGCTAAATTAAATTAAATGCATAAATGTAAAAGGATAGGGACGAATTACTCCCTATGTTGTGTTCGGTCGTCCGGCCGCTCCCTCTCGTATGCATCTAAAAAGATTTAAAATAGATATTAGTATATATATAGGAAACGAAAAAATAATATTAAAATCATTTACCTTGGATTTGAAATCGAGGTCGAAGGCCTTTGCGGATCCCCTCGTCTCCACATGAGCTTTACCTACAAATTAAAAACACTTCAAAATAAATTAGTATACAATATAGAAACAAATTTAATGCATGCATGTGCCGGGACGGACGTAAAAGTAAATCTATTTCTATATGCATAATGCTAAAATAAATTAAATGCATAAATGTAAAAGGATAGGGACGAATTACTCCCTATGTTGTGTTCGGTCGTCCGGCCGCTCCCTCTCGTATGCATCTAAAAAGATTTAAAATAGATATTAGTATATATATAGGAAACGAAAAAATAATATTAAAATCACTTACCTTGGATTTGAAATCGAGGTCGAAGGCCTTTGCGGATCCCCTCGTCTCCACATGAGCTTTACCTACAAATTAAAAAAACTTAAAAATAAATTAGTATACAATATAGAAACAAATTTAATGCATGCATGTCCCGGGACGGACGTAAAAGTAAATCTATTTCTATATGCATAATGCTAAAATAAATTAAATGCATAAATGTAAACGGAAAGGGACGAATTACTCCCTCTTATGTATTCGGTCGTCCGGTCATCCGGCCGCTCCCTCCCGCATGCATCTAAAAAAATGAAAAATAGATATTAGTATATACGTATGGGATAATATTAAAATCACTTACCTTGGATTTGAAATTGAGGTCGAAGGCCTTTACGGATCCCCTCGTCTCCACATGAGCTTTACCTACAAATTAAAAACACTTAAAAATAAGTTAGTATAAAATATAGAAACAAAATTAATGCATGCATGTCCCGGGACGGACGTAAAAGTAAATCTATTTCTATATGCATAATGCTAAAATAAATTAAATGCATAAATTTAAAAGGAAAGGGACGAATAACTCCCTCTTATGTATTCGGTCGTCCGATCATCCGGCCGCTCCCTCCCGTATGCATCTAAAAAAATGAAAAATAGATATTAGTATATACGTATAGGATAATATTAAAATCACTTACCTTGGATTTGAAATCGAGGTCGAAGGCCTTTGCGGATCCCCTCGTCTCCACATGAGCTTTACCTACAAATTAAAAACACTTAAAAATAAGTTAGTATAAAATATAGAAACAAAATTAATGCATGCATGTCCCGGGACCGACGTAAAAGTAAATCTATTTCTATATGCATAATGCTAAAATAAATTAAATGCATAAATGTAAACGGAAAGGGACGAATTACTCCCTCTTATGTATTCGGTCGTCCGATCATCCGGCCGCTCCCTCCCGCATGCATCTAAAAAAATGAAAAATAGATATTAGTATATATGTATAGGATAATATTAAAATCACTTACCTTGGATTTGAAATCGAAGTCGAAGGCCTTTGCGGATCCCCTCGTCTCCAAATGAGCTTTACCTACAAATTAAAAACACTTAAAAATAAATTAGTATAAAATATAGAAACAAAATTAATGCATGCATGTCCCGGGACGGACGTAAAAGTAAATCTAGTTCTATATGCATAATACTAAAATAAATTAAATGCATAAATGTAAAAGGAAATGGACGAATTACTCCCTCTTATGTATTCGGTCGTCCGATCATCCGGCCGCTTCCTCCTGTATGCATCTAAAAAAATGAAAAATAGATATTAGTATATTATAGGATAATATTAAAATCACTTACCTTGGATTTGAAATCGAGGTCGAATGCCTTTGCGGATCCCCTCGTCTCCACATGAGCTTTACCTACAAATTAAAAACACTTAAAAATAAGTTAGTATTAAATATAGAAACAAAATTAATGCATGCATGTCATCCCCTCCCCTCCAAGTACATGTCATCCCCTCCCCTCCAAGAATTCAAAACTAAAAACCTTCAAGAATTAAAAGTGAAAATAATCAGAAATTAAAAAAAAAGTATATGTCATCCCCTTTCCTCCAAGAACTCAAAACTAAAAACCCTCAAGAATTAAAAGTGAAAAAGAATCAAGAAAAAAACCCTCCAAGTACATGTCATCCCCTCCCCTCCAAGAACTCAAAACTAAAAACCCTCAAGAATTAAAATTGAAAAAGAATCAAAAATGAAAAAAAAAAACCCTCCAAGTACATGTCATCCCCTCCCCTCCAAAAACTCAAAACTAAAAACCCTCAAGAGTTAAAAGTGAGAAAGAATCAAGAATGAAAAAAAACCCTCCAAGTACATGTCATCCCCTCCCCTCCAAGAACTCGAAACTAAAAACCCTCAAGAATTAAAAGTGAAAAAGAATCAAAAATGAGAAAAAACCCTCCAAGTACATGTTATCCCCTCCCCTCCAAGAACTCAAAACTAAAAACCCTCAAGAATTAAAAGTGAAAAAGAATCAAAAATGAAAAAAAAACCTCCAAGTACATGTCATCATCCCCTTCCCCAAAGCACTGCACTTGACCTCTGGATCGCCGTCCCTCCCAAGCACTGCCCTTGACCTCTGGATCGCCCTCCCTCCTGTAAGCACACCATGCCCCTGCCCATGCCCATGCCCCACCAAGAACCCCCCTTGCCCCTGGCCTGCTCGTACCCCTTGCATTTGCATTTGCATTGCGACCCCTAAAATTTATAATAATGTATCCAAAATCAAAATAAAGAATATTTATAATGTAAGTTTTAACGGCTACTTACCTAATATAAAAACTTCCATATATAACTTCACATGTGTATATTAAAATTAAAATAATTTTTTTTTTAATATTATGTGTATATTAAAATTAAAATCAAAATCAAAATTAAAATCATTATGCTTAACGGCTACTTACCTAATTTAAAAACTTACCAAAAATATATTACCCTCCTATCTAATCTAATAAAAATTAAAATAATTTCGTGTTTTAATATTATATGTATATATATTTTTATATTTAAATTATATTTTATTGCTTCTATAAAAATATAATATTTTATTTGAATATATTGCTACAATTACATATATTTATTTATAATAATTAATTTTATTATATTACTAATGATATTTAAAATAGATTAATAATTAAAAATTTATTTTACTGGTGTATTAATTTTGTATTTTTACTTTAAAGTAGTGTAAAAAAAACAATACCCAACTAATTTGTCCATTTTTGCTGGGGGCACGAAGTTTTAGTTATGATGTAATTAGTAAGTAATTAAGAAATATATTAATAAAACAATTATGGTATAATAAAAATAATTATAGATTAAAATGACTGAATAGTTAATTAAAATATTAAAAAAATTATAAATTATGAATTTTAAAATATGATTAAAGTGTATAATTATATTTTCAAAAAAGACAAGAGATAATTTATATGGGACGGACGGATATAGAAAAAGTGGACAAATTAAGTGGGACGGAGGGAGTAATATTTTATGTTATACTATTATATTTTTTAGTGCATAAATTATATATTATATATTTTGTACAAAACTATATATATTATATTTTTTTAATATAAATCAAAAACCATATTAAAAATTAAGTGGCGATGGGTTGGAGATCAACCTGGGTCACCTGCATGCCAACGGAACCAAGAGAATAAAGTTTTGCAAATATGAAAGAGAAATGTTTTCCTAACTACCATTACCATTGTATTTATTTATTAGATTTATTCTTATCTCTGTAGACCCAGATAGAGTGTCTTCCTTCTCGCCGAACTCTAATTTACTCGGTGTCACGGTCACTTCCACGCCGTCCGGTGCGTGCACTGTCACCTCGTACACGGCATTCGCCTCTTTCCCGACATTTTTTACACTTCGTTTATACTTCACTACGCTTTTAAAGCCGTAGAAGGCAACCGAGAATGACGGGTAGTTCAAATCCCCCGGAGTTTTCAGCCCGACTGCGTTGCAATCCACGATCGACGAATCTTTTGTGAATGCCGTAATTTGCCGCGCATTGTACCCGATGCTGCACAAAAACACGACGTAGTTTTGGGTATCGAAGCCATAGATCAGGCCGGGATCCGTTGCTCAGTTTGGATCGACGTGGCCCGAGGATGGATTGGACACGTCCCCGGTGGCGAGGTCCGTTAAATTATTCCCGTTGTTGTCAACGTTGTACGCCGTGGTCATCAATGCTGATTTGATTGCCGCCGGCGACCACTCAGGGTGGGCCTGTTTCAGCAGCGCCGCCAAGCCGCTGACGTGAGGGCACGGCATCGACCTGCCAGAGATGATGTTGAATTCGACCTCACGATTATTGCTGTTGAGAGACGTTGGCCAGACGTAGCCGGTCCAGCCGGCGAGAATGTTGACTCCGGGCGCGTTCACGTCCGGCTTGAGAATCTCGGAGGTTAGGAGGTTCGATAGCTCGGACCGCGGCTGGAGAACGAGGCCATGTGCGGCGACGACGGAGATTTGCTTACAACGGTTCCCCGCGACCTGATAGTCGCGGTGGGATTCGGAGTTGCGCGGACATAAGCTCGGATTTTGTGGCCGCTGATTTCTCCGACCATTGTCGAGGGAATGAAGTGCGCATCGGCGAGGAGTTCCTCGCCGGAATCAGCTAAATTTTATTAATAATATTTACAAAAACGTCATGTTGCAAACAAATTGAAAAATATTTTCGATCTTGTAAACTTATAATTTTGTAACGATGGATTGTAAATGATCATATTGCTTGCGATATTCGAAATTCAATTTTATATTTCGGCTTTGTTTCCTTTGGCTTTATAGCTATTAATATAGTTTTATAAATATTTACAGTTTGTTCTATTGTAATTTTAAACTAAAATAACACTAATTATTTTATATAATTTTTAATAAAAATTTACTATTTATTTTTAAAAATATATCATATCAAAATACTATTTAAACAAGAATTAAATTCAAATACATTTTATTTCAAATCAATTTTAAACTACAATCAAATAAATTCTTGTTTAATTCAAATACATATAATACTAATATTTTTAAAACTCCTGCAAAAATCAAACGGATAGATAGATATGAGAAGGGAGTATCTAATTAGAGTGTGTTCGTCTATGAGTTTTTTCAAAAATTTACTATTCATCAATTTTTATTTTTTTTTAAAAATATCAAATCAAATACATATTTTTTATTTTTTATATTATGATAAAAATTATTTTTATATGCAAAATATCACATCGACACTTATTTATACAATGTCATTCAACAATTATTATTCAAAACATCTATTATTAAAATCTCAACTCAAAATTCAAATTTCCAAACAAACACACCTTCAAACAAAAAAAAAAAAAAATACTACACAAAACAAACATACCTTGAGTATTATAAAAAGTTTTATTAAAAATTGATAAAATATGATAAAATAAATAAGTAAAAATAGCAAGAAATTAATTAAAGTTTATTAAAATATGAATAATAAAATTTTAAATAAATAAAACTATTTATTATGAAGAGATTAGATATAAATTTAAATATGGTAACGTAAACACATCCTTAATTTTGAACTTACTGGTGGCACTTTATGACAATGACTTACGAACACAGAAAATATGAGACACTTTTATGATGCGTTATTTTTATTGTTTTTATTTATTTATTTATTTATTTATTTTTTATTGTTATTATTATTATTATTATTATTATTATTTGTATTAATAAGATTTGTTTTGCTTGTTTTGAATTTAAAATTATCAATATCTATTTTTTATATACTTTTGAATAAAAATGTATATTATCCCATAAAAAAGAGTATTCTTTATTTTGTATACATAATTTTTAAATATTAGTATTATATTAATTATAGTAAAAAAATAAAAATATTATTTTAATTATAAAAATAATTAAGAGTAGCGGAAATATAATTTTATTTTTTTATATTAATAAAAACTAATTATGTAATAATAAAATTGAGATATTGTAAAAAAATATTTTTGAAATAGTTATTTTATACCAAAATAAAAATATTTATATTTTTTGAGTAGTCAGAAAAAAAATTATTTTGGGAGTTGCAACGGTTGTGTGCGTTTGGTCCGAATTGTACGCATGAAACCTGCTTATGTCTGGTTGGATTTTTTATTTAAAATTTAAATAGTAAAAATTTTGAAATAGTAAAATATAATATAAATAAATATTGATATGTAAAATATTTTTTTAATATATTATAAAAACAAATGATAAGTGTGTTTTTTAATATTTTTAAGAGAAAAAAAAAGGAGTAATAAAAAATTTCAAAAAATTTCCTTAAAAAAAAAACACTTTGTAATTGATTATACTAGACTAAAACCAAACATGCCCCAAAAACTATTTATCTATTTAAAGGAAGAAATTATTTCCTCGTCAACATTGGTAGAGTTACATCAAATAAGCTTTGGAAAACAGTGTCAAGAATCTACTATAAAAAAACCAAATTAATACAAACAAGGCATGTTGTCCTTTTTTTATATTCTTTTAGTGTCTAATAATAAAAATTATATAAAAATAATTTAAAATATTTTACGTTATTTATTTATATAAAAATTGCGTAATTTAAATCTTTATTTGAAACCAAACATCATACAAGTAGACACATGCTATTTTATTTAAGATAATGTTATATAATTTCCCTTTTTCAATATAAACTTTTAATAAATTAATTTATCATAACTTCTTTTCTTCTTTCACGAGACCTTTTCTCCCACAGAACTCTAGGATATGTGTGGTACAAAGAAATGAGAAATGAGGCCAGAGAAATGGAAATAGTATCATTTTTCTTGTTTGTTTGAACCAAGAGAAATGGAACTTGAGAAATAAATCATTTCCATTTCTCTGTTTTCATTTCTCTCCCATATGCAGAGAAACAGAGGGAAATGATGTTGCAGTATATATATTTTTTAATTTTTAAAATTTGTTGTACTATTTAATTTTTATAATTTTTTAAAAATTATATTATTTTAATTTTACAAAAAACAAACTTAATTTATTTTTAAAGTATTTAATTTTTACGACATTTTAAGAAATTGTACTAAAATATAATCTTAAAAAACATCGTATATAATTTATAATTTTTTTTAAAAAAAAATTTACCAAAAATATTTTTCATGAATTCTCATTCGTTAAAACTCTCTTTTTATCGTGTTAATCATTTATTTTTGTTTGCTATTCATATATCTGCATTTTTTTTTTATTTCTCAAATCAATGTTCTATCAAACAATAGAATTAATTCTCATTCTCTACTCAATTCCATTTCTGTTAAATTCTATTCTCTACTATCATTTCTCTGCAATTCCATTCTCTTTACCAAACGCCCCCAGAGACTGCAGAGAGATCTCACCAAGAAACAAGTCCTTAAGATGGTCTCTACAAATTCCCATCTTCCTCCGGTGAAACCCGCCGTGGATCGAGCTCAAAAACCCCGTCGTCCACGCCAGAAACTTCTACCGCTCCATCACATTCACCGCGTACGCGACCGACGCCGCTGCCATGCACCTGATCACACCGCAAATCCCCGACTCCCGCCCGATTCTCGCCACCGAAATCGAGCATGCCCCGCTGTCGCTCACCCCGTACATCGACGTGCCGTCGAGCTCGTTTTTGCTCGAAACCATGTCCGAATAAACACCCTCGAGCTCGATCTCGTCCGTCGACAACGGGGGGATCCTGCTCAGCTCCTCGTCGAACTTCTTGGCGATCTCCGTTTCGTGGATTTGGTACTTTGACGCCAACGTTCGTATGCACGACATCCGCACCTGGGTCGATATCGCCCGCTTCACTTCGGCGAAATTTTCGCAGTCGACGAACCACCTCACCCACCGACGAACCAGTCGACGATTTGATCGTCGTCGAGTAGGATTAGTATGTAGCACGTTTGCGCGTAACCTTCCGCGTTCGTTAATCTGTATCGGTGGAGACGCTTCGATATGTTGTTCACGGGCGCGAGAATTTCCGTGACGTAACCACGATCGGGGATTTTTTCGGGTAGAAGAGCGAGCATCGATGCAGTCTCCGACGCGACGTACTCGTCGACCCGTTTTTCGAATTCACGATACAAATCGGTGAGCTTGTCAGGAAGCGCCGTTCGACGATTTTTTTCGCTAGAACGAACTCTTCGTTCGAGGCTCGTTTCGGGTTGACGTCCTGCATCCATATCTTGAGTAGGAGTTTGTACCAGTGATCCGTTTTAATCCTGGGTTTCCGGTGACTGGAAATTCGATAAAGAGTCGAGTCTGGTTCTGCTAACTGTTCGATCTCCGATTCTTTAACCTTCTTCAAGCCATGAGCCAGCCATTTCCGCCCGATTTGAAACTCCCCTTCGATCCACGACTCGCGTTTTTGTTCGGCGAAGATCTTGACTTTGTCCCGCAATTTATGTACGGCTCGAACGCCGCCGCCGTCATTCTCTCTCGGGCGCCTTCTGATACACAATCGAGAAATCGAACGCCGTGAGGGTCATTCGACGCCAAAACATCGTTTCGATCACCCTCGTCGATATCCAAATCGAGAGAGTTCTTCAAGTGTTTTGAGACCCTCCCGAGGATTTGTTTGTGTCTTGGTCTTTTAATCAGGTGTTTAAAAAACGTGAGGTATCAGCTGCCATGGTGAAAAGAATGGATTTAAGGCTATAGTTGTTACTATTGACGCCGGCCGAACATAGGGAACAAGTAATACTCATCAATCTCCTTGTGTTCATATCACAACTGTTGTGGATTCAACTCCTTGGTCGTAATTCATCTTTTGCATATATATATGCCTCCTCATCTTAAGAATTTGAAGGGCTCAGATGTAATTTCATTATCACACACTAAGCTTGAAACACATTGAATCGAATATCAAGTTTTGACATCCTAACAGGAAAAGGGCTGGGCTCGAAGGTTGATTCAACTAAGTTGATTGAAATTTGAAGGCTGAATCATGACTGCTCTAAATTATTTAATAAAAAAATAATAATTTAGATGAAAATGTTTTATTTCTAAATCAGTTCCTACTTAATTTAATTTTTGTTTTTGATACTTACTCCATCCCTCAAAATTGGTCCACATTTTATTTTTTAGTTGTCCCGTCAAATTAGTCTTATTTTCTAATAAATTAATAATTTAATAGAATATAACTTTATATTTTATTTGGTCATATATTTCAGAGTTTAATTTGAATTTTGGAATAATACAATTTTATATTTTAATGTGATAAGAATAAGTATTGTTGATGTGATATTTTTATATATTAAATTATGTTTAATATAATATAAAAAATAAAAAATTTTCGCATTGTAATATATGTTTACTTTTGGTACGAAATTTAAAAGAATATGATATTCTCTTTCCTTCGTCCAATTATATTATCAGTTTCATTTTTTTATTGTCATCCAAATTTAATTTCATTTCTTTTTAGTACAAAATAATACCAATTTTACTACTTTTTCTTACCCAAAAAAAAAAAAAAAAAAAATTTTATCTATTTTTTTTAAAATTCGTATCCGGCCAAACGAGTACAGTAATATTTTAATTGCAGTGAATAGTTGAAAATATTATAAAGATAATTATCTTGACTTAAAAGTAAATTATTAATAATAAATTATTATATTATTTTATTATTTTTTATATAAATGGTATGATTAGTACTTTAAAATAGATTATATCTCACAATATGAATATTTTTTCTTTGTAGATAATAAAATTTTATATAATACAAATAAAATAAATATTTATAATTAATTTAAAACTAATTTTATAAAAAAATAAAAAATTTTAAATATGGATAAAATATTTATTTATCAACGAGAAATAAAAATAAAAAAAATTTCAAACTCTTCTTATAATTTAAAAATTTATTTAAATTAATTTATATTTGTTAAATTTATTTAAAGATAAATAAAAGAGAAATACGTGGCGGAACGGGTAGAGAGTATTATTTTTTAAAAATATATATATTTAATAAAAATTGTGTTTTTAGAGAAAAATACTCTCAGAGTAATTATTACACTTTCGAAATTCCGTATCTACACGCCGTGAGGAGAGGGAGTAGTACGGACCTTATGTAACAGATAATTTGACGCCTAATTCTGCGGTGGGCCGATCCATTCATTCATTCAATCACGGCGAACTAATCCGCAGTATATCGAAACGGCGATGCCTCCCGCCGATCGAGAGAGAGGTACACCTGTTCTCTCGATTTCCTCTCCAAATTCCTCATTCCTTTCTTCCTTCGATCGATCACATTCACATGTATTCGCTTTTGGAGGCTCTGCGTGCGTAGGTCCATTTCCAAAATGGCGAATTACCAGAAGCTCGAAACAGAGGCTAATGATCGCGATCTGAAATCCTGCGCTCCTCCTCCGCCTGCGGAGACGGTACCGTTGGGATGGCCGGCGGTCGGAGAGCCTACCACGATGCAGAAGACGCCGTGGCAGACCGGAATCCTATCCTGTTTAGGAAACGGCCACGAGTTCTACAGCAGCGATCTCGAAGTTTGTAAGTATCATCTTCATCTCCATGTGTGTCTCAGTTTTATCTAAATCTGAAAGCACAAGTTGATATGCATCAAAATTCAAATATCTATTGTTAGTTTCGTTTTCTCACCCAAATCGAAGAACACAGAGTTAATTTGCATCAAAATTCAAATACATATATAGTTGCAGAGGTAGTTAAGATTGAAGATCACGGATAATTTATGTCGAAATCACCAAAAAGCACAAATTAATATGCATAAAAAGTTCAAATACCTAAAACATCGATATATCAAAAATTAATTTCGATACTTTTGGTGCGATATATCCGATATCTGGATAATTCGGTATATATTTGTTTTCCATCTCTAATAATTTTAGGACTTCATATTTGATCTTACAAATCACATTACCAAATACTGAAAAACATTTGCGTTGAGCAGGTGTGGTTGGCGTTGCTGCACCCTGCGTCCTTCATGGAAGCAACGCGGAGAGAATCGGCGTCGGTTCCAGCTCCGGTTCATTTGCTAGCCACTGCTTGCCTTACACAGGCCTTTGCATACTCGGCAATTGCCTCTTCGGCTGGAACTGCCTCGCGCCATGGTTCTCCTACCACAACCGCACCGCCATTCGCCACAAGTTTAATCTCCAGGTTCTCTTATATTTCGCATTTCCAAGCTCCAAATCAATACACAATACATACCTCAAAATCGAGCAGCTCGCTAGTGAAACTCAACTTAGCTCATTAATCGTTCGACCGACTCATTTATAAAAATAAACGAGCTAATGATGAAATATTTGTACTATTTTATATATTATTTTATATAAAAAATGTTTTTAGATAAATGACCTGAACGGAGTTTGTACAGACAATATATGTGAGTCGAACTTGAACATCTTACCTACGGTCCGTTTCGGCTTGTTTAACAGCTCAATCGATACTAAATTGAACTTTTCCAAACCACAGGGGAATTGTGAGGTAGTCGGGCAGACGTGCGGCTGCTGCGGAGGCTCGGCAATGGACGAGGTTCGGCAGGAACAGTGCGAGACAGCTTGCGATTTCGCAACCCATGTTTTCTGCCATGCTTGCGCAATCTGCCAGGAAGCTCGCGAGGTTCGTTATCGACTGCCTTATCCTCATTCTCAGAACAACATTCAAGGAACACCGGTAGTGCTCATGATCCCACCGGCCGGACAGACCATGGGCAACACAAGGACACCTTGAATCGTTAAATGCCGGGCTATTGTCGCCTCTACTTCCCGATCGCATATTCTAAGTCCAACTGTATATAAAGTACAAAACTACCCGACTTTTTGAAGTGTATAAGGATAACTGTAGCATCAAATTTACCTAATGCCGAGCATCATTCTATGGTATCGATAATTTAGCAACCCATAATTAAAGCATGCAAGAAACTTAGTCATAATGCAAAAACAGCACGGAAAGCTCTCGAGATAATTAAAGCATGCAAGAAACTTAGTCATAATGCAAAAACAGCACGGAAAGTTCTCGAGATAATTAAAGCATGCAAGAAACTTAGTCATAATGCAAAAACAGCACGGAAAGTTCTCGAGTTTAAGTTCCAGAAGTCACAAACCGGAATGGGTTTCTAAAGCGATTTCACAACACAGGATGCAAATAGCGGCACAGCAATAATTTACTCTCCCGGCGCTGACACGCCCTGCTTCAGCCTTTCCCTTTTCATCTTCTTCTTTGAGACGGGCTTCTTTTTCTTTGGAGGAAGGGCTTTTTGAGCGTATACGTACAGGACGTAGTTTCCGATAAGGAATGCCAACAGAAGCCCCCCAACGAGAAGTAAGACGATCAATCCTGGGTTGAATCCTTGCGTTCCACCACCTTGTGCTGCGTTTTTCTGTTAATCATGATGATGAAATGGAGCAATGGGTGAACAAATGCTCGGTAAATTAACGTGCCATGAAATATTACAGCATGCTCATGTTGCTTGAAGTGAGTTAAAGATGATCAACACAAATATACGTTAGTTCAGTAAAACCATATAAGTGACATGAATGGCTAGACTAGACAACTTCGGTAAATTTATAAGTTGAACTATTAACATAAAGTTTGATACAAAGTGCTAATAAACTTCAAGATGACAATAGTGAGTATATGGAAATTGTGAACATAAACACACACACATACTGTCGAAACATAATATATTTCAATGTAGGAATCAATAGTGAGAAAAAAAAAGAAAAAAAAAAAACAGTTACATATGGGTGTGTTTACTTTGGGTGTTCAAGTTGGATGATTAAAATCCGGGATTGATTAAATTTTGAAATAATATCAAGGATAATTAATCTCACCCAAGATGGGTGGAATTAAAGATGACAAATAATATTTTTACTAAAGGTTCATATATGTAATCAAACAAATAAACATGGTATTAATTAGTCTCGTAATTATATAATCTATTGGAATAATACTAAGGATTATAATCCCATCGCATAAACACACCCTATGAGTACTATCATCAACGAGTAATCCTCCTCCTACACAAGCCAAAGACATAAGAACAAATATCACTCAAGAGCTCATCTTACAAAACTCAATCATAGAGCTAAATTCATACACAACTCTGCACAACAAAACATTGATCCTCAGTGTTAACCAATTAAGCACATAAGAGGCGACAACAAGAGATTTACGATACAACACTAACATGTGAGAGGGCATACTGGATCAAGATTCTTCATATGGATATTTTCAATACAAAATCCGGAACAGTTTTCTCTAAGCAACCAACATTGCAAAATATTCATTTTTGAGATACAAAAAAGTCCTGGCCCTAATCAAAGGCCTAACATGTGGTAAGTAAAGGTTGATCAATGCAGAAGAAATTATTCTTTGACCAAAAATCTATAAACACATTTGGTGCCTTTAATATCTAGCTGATACTAAATTTTTCTACGAAAACGGGACAAAATTAACCACTGAACTGTTTACAAATTAGATCATTCAATCAAAGAAGAAGGTGCTCAGTGGATGATTTAGAAACGGACACAAGTGGTTGTTGCGCAATGAAAAGATCCTTCCTTATCTGTGATAAATTCAATAGAAGTGGAAAAGATTGATGTGCTATACGTTGAAGAACACCGCCATTTTCTTCTACAATCCACATACTTCCCACGATGCTATCCATATGCATTTATTCACTTTTCCTTCACCACTTTGTTCATAATAATCAAATCTCAAAAGCCACACACCAATAATTTATTAAAACAGGTTCCACAAAATTCCGTAAGTACAAACCAAACCGTCAACCGATCTAATTCCAAATGATTAAAAACATATTGCCCGCAGCAAATCAGTGCATGCAGTGAATATACCAACAAAAATCGATCGATTGAACTCCAGCACAGTGAATAAAAACAACAAACTACCAAAATCAAGCTAATTCAAAATTCAGATCCACGAAGGGGAAAATTACCACACGATCAAAAGACGGTGGCATGCGGTCGAAATCAGCATCTGCTTCGTAATCCATTGCCTGGAACCCTCCTTTACAGAAAACAGAGAAAAAAAATTAATCAGTGTGAGAAAACGGATCGGAACTCCGCCGGAGAACGGAGCCGTTTCTTCTGTGCCTCCGGACCGCTTTCTACCAAATTCCTCCCCTTAACGGAGGCCTTCGTTAATTACATTCCCACCCCTATAATGAAGTCTAGAAAATTCTATTGAAAATTTATTAAACTATAAATAATTTAATAACAATTAAAGCTAAAGAGCAAAGAGGGCATTTGGTCTAGTGGTATGATTCTCGCTTAGGGTGCGAGAGGTCCCGAGTTCAATTCTCGGAATGCCCCTATTATTTTATTTTTTGCTTAAACGTCGTCGTTTTGAATGTGTCTCCCGTTTTAATGGATTTGAACTTTTCGGCCCAATTTAGAAACGGCGTCGTTTAAAATTGTTTGCTTTGCTTACGTGGGCCTTGAACTTTTGGACAGAAGCGGTATGGTGTGGAAATAGAATTGCTTAAACGTCGTCGTTTTTGAAAGTCTCTTGAAAATCGGCTTCCAGCCTGTGCGCATCGAAGCAAAAACCTCTGTGCAAATCTTTGCAGATCGCTTGGGTTTGCTCGATTCAAACTCAACTGTAAGTTTCTTGTAGATTTGGAGGTGAATTTTTGGAATTGTGAGGACTAGAAAATGAGTGTGATCGATATTCTGACTCGTGTGGATTCCATCTGCAAGAAGTACGACAAATACGATGTGACGCAGAAAGACTCTAATGTCTCCGGCGACGACGCATTCGCTCGGCTCTACGGTGCTGTCGACTCCGATATCGAGGCTGCACTTCAGGTTCAGTTCTTTCTTTTTTGTGTTTTTAACTGTAAATTGCGAAATCTAATTGTTTTCTGTTCCAATTTATCGATGTTAATTTGAATTTTGGCTTTGTGTGTGTTTATCTTTCTAATGAACTGGTAGAAAGCGGAGACAGCTTCAAATGAGAAGAATAGAGCGACGGCTGTAGCGATCAACGCCGAGATCCGAAGAACCAAGGCCCGATTGCTCGAAGAGGTCCCCAAACTGCAGCGATTAGCTGTTAAGAAGGTTTTGCTCCTCCTACCTGAATTTATCGTTTTTTAAAAGAAAATAAAAAATAAAAATATTTTTTTGGACGATTGTTGAATTCCGTGAGTGCGATCTTTTCCAATTTCCCTATTGTTTACCTCCTTTTTGGTCTGATCCAGGTTCCCCTTACTGATTACAGTTGTTTATACTCCTTTTAGATTAAATCCCTTTGGTGATTATCCTGTTATATGATGAAAAAATTTAAGATATTGAATTATATGTATATGCAGCAACTTGAGTAGAGGAGGATTGATGAGTGAAATTTTAGACTCAGTTTAGACAGAGAGATGGAGTTTGAAAATTTTGGAAATTGTAAGAAGTTAGTTTTTGATTCCATGATTTGCGAAAGAAAAAGTGTTTTTGAAAAAATTAATAGGGCCGAAAGTTCCAGAACTGTCTATGTAAACGGGTTTATCTTTGTGAATGCATTGGATTGGAACTATATGGCTTGTGCTAATAAATTAAGCATCTTGTTAGGTCGACTGGAAGGGTCGATTAATTTATAAAATGGATAATGGGCATTACAGTATGTTTTCGAAAGAAATTATAAATTAATTGGAAACCTCCCTTTCTCTATAAGAATTGGCAACTTTCCGACGCATATACATTACACATCCTCTTTCCGTATGCCTTAAATTCGATCATCTCTATAGCTTTGGTTAGTTAGTAGGGTGCTTATCGCAATTTGGACTTTCTTGTTCATCGTAGTATGTTTGTTGTTAGAGTTTTTGTCTTTTCCCTAAGAAGTGGATGCTATATGTTCTCCACCTTTTGTCTTCTGACTTCGGTTGTATTGGAAATGTGATTAAATTCCAGATCAAAGGGCTTTCTCCCGAAGAAATTGCTACCCGTAATGATCTGGTCCTTGCCCTGCCCGATAGGATTCAAGCCATTCCAGATGGCTCTTCGGCTGCAGCTAAATCATCTGGGGGATGGGGAACTTCAGCTCCTGCACCTCGAACAGAAATCAAATTTGATTCAGGTTTGTGCCACAGTATCTCTGTTCATATCTTCGATTTTCATTCACTCAGCTCCATGTTTGTGCTTATCAACCCAACTGCATGAAACTTGTGCTTATTTGTCGCTAACTACTTATGAATTAATGTTGACTTCTTAGATGGGCGATTTGATGATGATTACTTTCAGCAAACCGAAGAATCCAGTCAATTCAGGCAAGAATATGAAATGCGAAAAATGAAGCAGGTATGTGCTTTCTGAAGATTTCAATTAGTAGATGATATCTTGGAATCTTATAATTTACGATCTACTGTCACTTAATGCAGGATCAAGGATTGGAAGTCATATCAGAAGGATTGGATACATTGAAGAACATGGCACATGACATGAATGAGGTTTTCATTCATCTATAACATTTTTGTTCTTTTTCGTTCCCGTTTCTTCCCATTAGTTTTTGGACAATAACTATGAACGTTGCCAATTTACAGGAATTGGATAGGCAAGTTCCTCTTATGGATGAGATTGATACTAAGGTCAGATATTTTAATTTGAACTTTTCAATTACTGTTGCTTTGATATAAGTTATGTATTTTACATGTTTTCGTTTACTTCTTCCTGTAACTTTCTCATTGTATTCCAATATATTTTGCAAGGTGTCAACATACTAAATTTGATATGTGTGTGTATATATATATATATATATATCTCTACATAGAAACTTTAATCGCGATTATGCCCATGACAGAGTAGTTTATTGACTGTTTCTATTAAATACTCACTGCACGAAAAATTAAAAAAAATAAAGTTTTGTCAGCTCAGCAATGAATAGATTATATCTTATAGTTGTAATAAATGTCTTTTGTGGACTCTCTCTCGTAAGCGTGGGTACAATTTTGCAACTCTTTGTATCGGTTAAAGAATTCAAGCACAGTGTTGTGTTGCGCATATCTATATTAATCAGTCGAATGGTAGTGAAAGAGAATTCTAATCTTTTATCCCTACAACTGTGAGTAGTTCGAATTTTGATCTTGTGAGTGACCTCTAAACTTGTGTGAACATTTTTAGGTGGACAAAGCGACATCTGACTTAAAAAATACCAATGTCAGACTCAAGGACACTGTTACTCAGGTAATCAATTTTTCCAATTTCTATTACATTATATATATATATATATATTTCTAGATGTTCTCGGGCACAAGACAAATTAGCGTAGGGAGTTTATTAAAACCATTGAATTCAGAATGTAGTTTAAAATCCCATTCGGTAGATATGGTAATGGGACTCCCGAAAAATTAGGAGACATCGAACTAAAATAGCTTTCCGTTTTACTTAATGGAGAGTTTGGTTTTTCTACAGCTGAGATCTAGCCGGAACTTCTGCATTGACATCATTTTATTGTGTGTTATTCTTGGTATTGCTGCTTATCTATACAAGTAAGCTTCTTTCCTCTTCTGCATAACACATTTCAAGCAACATCTCAACTTGCTCGTCGACGAACACAATGACATGAACACATCCATAATGATGAACGATGTTCAATTGCAGTGTCCTGAAGAAATGAAGTTATGGCAAGTTTGATGGATCAACTGCAGTCGAATTTTCTTGCTCTGTCGAAGATCTCACGATCAGCGCAGCTATTTGTGAGGTAGGATTCTATTTGTGTGTTTGTTTTGTTGAAGATATTCCAAATGCTGTTATTGACAGGGGAGTTTGTGTAAATGTCTACTTTCTGCACTGTTGCTTCATCTCTTTGACATTCTCTTGTGTTTGTTTGATTATGTATGTTACCTCTGATGAAAATTATTGGATTTCGATGTCGAGAAAGTCGTATATTCGTCGGTAAAGTTGACACTTGTTTGGAACTATACAATTCTACCAACATTGGCATCCAAGAAAATTGTGTCATCTTGGCTTTTGTTTGATTAGTTGTGCCCCTAGTTCACTTTGTTGAAGTTATGAAATGAATTTCTATCGAATTTTCTCAAAATGGGGGGTTGAATTTGCAAATAATTCTAGTTCTGTTTGGTTACCGTTTCAACCTTGTTGGTATTAGACTTCTAGTTTTTATTTTGTAATTTTTCCAAAATAATACGTGAGGATCTACTTTAAATTTATTTAAATTTTGTATTTGTATCTCTCTTCTTAATAAATAAATATATTTATATATATTAAAAAATATTTATTTATAAAATTAATTTATATTAATTATAAATAAATATTATATAAAAGTGTTTTATCAATCAAATGATATTTATATTATATTTTATTAAAATCTATTTTTTAGTAGTATTATAATATAAAAGTTCTTCTAAACAATTATGGAATTTTAAGGTGTTTCTTCCATTTATCTTATGGTTTTAATGTACTATAGTACCTAAAAAGGAAAACATCAAAGTGAAAATGATGTTCAAATTTATTAGTAAATAATTTCTTTATCTGTATGCAATTACATTTAAAATATTATATAAATAAAAATTCAAAATAAAAAACAATCCTTTCAGGACATGTGAAAATCACAAATCCAAAAAAACCCACATTTCAACGAATCTAAATTCATGCCAATAATCAGCAGCATTGTCACACTTCACAATTCTCACACACCTAACAACATTACAACAACAACAAAAGTCACTCCTCTAATCACCTGTCCGTACAACAGGCAATCGGCCCCGGAAGAGTCAGCCGAAGCAGCATCAGACGGCGGCGCATCGCCGGACTCCGGCGACCGCGCCGCCTTAAGCGGCGGCGGCGGAGGAGGCGGCGGCACAAAGAAGCTCAAAGGAAGCAGAACCCGGTCGACCTGATACACCGCCAGCTGGCCATCGGTATATACCGTATTAGCCACTGTTGCATTGGTCTCGCCCGTCGTAATATTCACCTGACTCCCCGTCGCCGTCACGTTCATCGAGAACTGCCCCTCGCCGCCCCCGGCTTGCGTCCTGACAGGGTTGCTGGCTGTCTGAAACTGCGCCGGCGAGAAGAATTCCGGCAGCACGTGGAATTGGATCAGCTCGACTTTTTGCTCGTCGGTGAACGAGTTTAGCATTCCCGATTTGAGGCCGGAAAACGAGCCGTCGGTCGGGGCGAACACTGTTAGGCCTTGATTCGAGTCGTTTAGCTGTGTCTCGATTTGGTCCCCGACTTTCGTGCTCTGTAGTAGCCGGATAAATATCCCGAACTGGCCGGCCTTCTCGAGGGCGGCCGTCAGGTTTGTCGGACCCGATGGCGCCGGCGCCGGCGCTGCCGGAGACTGTGACAAACTTAGAGGGCAGTGAATTAGGAGGAGTAAGGAGAAAAGGGATAGAGGAAATATTTGTTCCATGTTTTTTTTTTGGTGAATGAATTGGATGCTCTGTTTATATAGTGAAGTTTGATTGCACATTTTGATCAAATTGGCCATATTATAAGAAATACTCCTACGTGGTACAATTTTACTGTAAATATTATTTTTAAAATACAATATATATAATATATATTTTATTATCTATAAAAATAAAAAAAAAAAAAAAAATTAATATTTTAATATAAAATTTTATTTTTTATATTATCAATATAAATTTACAATTCATCTAAAAATAAAGTAAACAAATTCAATAAGCTTAATTTACATATATATATTTTAAAACATTTTTTATATTGAATGTTTTTATTTTATATTTTTAATTTATGTAAATATCTTAGTATAAAGAAGTTTGTAATCAATTTGCTGCTATTTTTTTAAATACATAATATGCGATATTATCTTAAAAATATTTCATCGACTAAATAAAGAAACTTTGATTAAAAAGAAAAAATTTCAAACACATAACTTGCCAGAAATACTACTGTGTTTGATATACACAACCTCGAACAGGAGTATGTCCACACCCCTAGTTTTGTTGTGTTTTCTTTAACACGGTCGTGTATAATAGTAACACGGTCATGTTTTGTATATATGGTCTGATCATGAGTGTTTTCATCATCTCCACACTATTAAGTTTTAACAACATAGCGGTGTTTATACAAATACGGTTGTGTTTCACGTATACGGGATGGTACATGGTTGTGTCTAACCTGGTGTTGATGTGAGGTCGAACACATGTGTGACCTGTTTAACACACTCGTTTTTATTAATTTTTTTAAAAAATATAAAAAAATATTAGATGTCGTTGATGTGACATCGACACAATGATGACGTATCAACTGTGTCAGCGCTATGTCATCAACGTCGGGTCAGCATGGCGAATCCGGCATCGGATACTTGTGGGACTATTTTCAAATATAATCCATTTAAAATTTTAAAAAAATAATTTACATAAGTGTTAATACGATATTTTAAATATAAAAATTTAATTATTTAAATAAAAAATAGATATGTAACTTAATTATTTTTATTTTTTAAATAGTAAAACTCAATCCAAAACCACACAACATGTGTATTTCCTTAGTAATTTTTTCATAATTTCTATTGTTTAATCTTTACAATTCTATTTCTTATTACACCATATCATATGCAAACTAGTATTCAAATAAAGACCCGAAGCTAAAAAAAATTCACTAGAAAAACACAATGATTTTTTTTTTTTTAATATTTAGATATTTTTTGAAATTTTGTTATTAGTTATAAAAGTCATAAAAATATTATTACTTCTTTGTTTTTTAAAAATATATAAGTACTATATTTTTATTAATGAATTCTTGACCGTGAAATTATAGTATCAAATCTTCCGATGTCTCCAAAATTAATGTACGATAAATAATTCAAGTTATTTATCTTGATAAATTTAGTTTACAAATTATTAAATTTCAGAAAATTTTACCCAAATATATACTTGAAAAGTAGGGAGAATTTTCTTTATAAAATAATAATAATAAAAAATTATATAGAACTCACATTTAAAATAATCTGAAATATGATTAGGCGTCACAGAGCATAACTGGTGACAATGCTGAATCAGATGTTTGCTTGGAATTCAAGATATTATTTATATATATATATATATATATATATATGAGTGTTGACAGCCTTTGGAAGATATCTTAATCTTCAAGTATGAAGTTCGCTGTTAATCGTTCAACACCATCATCTCTCCGTATATATATTTATATTTATATATATATATATATATCTATATATTTTATTTTATTTTATTATTATTATTTTTTTTTCGTGTGAACCGCAGCCTCTACCGAAAGTGCGAACTGAGTAACTCGATCGAATCTAATACCCTGCAAATTAAGTTCGACAAACAAATTATACTAGGTTAACAGTGTGTGACGGATGACCTGAGACGTTGGAGTTTGAACCTATATTTTTTATTTTACTTTATTTTATTGAAGTATCGTTTTTATTATTTTATTTGTTCTAATAAAAAAAATTATTTTATGTTATAGTATCCGTTGTCACATATTTTGATTTGTCTATAATTATTTTCGCAAAATTAGTACATAATTTTAAAAAAAAATTAAGAATTTGTGTGCACAATTTTTTTATTTTATTCTCAATATATATATTTTATATCTCATAAAAATCAATATTTATAAAATATTATTTTTTATATTATTGAAACTAATTTATATTCCTCACATATTAAAAAAATAATAAAAAATCAAATGAAAAATACTGTACAAACAGATACTAATTCAACTAAAAAACACATTCAGATTATATTATACTAGTAAATTTAAACTTAAGATTTTGGAGTCCAAGACTTTGGGCTGAGAGGCGATCCAATTTGGGCCAAAATTTAATTACAATTGAACCCATTTAATTACAATTGGGCCCAATAAATCATTCTAATTAATTTTCGATCCAGACACGAATGAACAGTAGCAGTAGGTTTTCACAATATTCGCCATGGAAGTCTCTCTGCGTTGCGACATCGTATATGCAAGAACGGATTTGCATATTTGATTTGATTATCTATTGTATCTATGCTCCGCGATCATTCTCTAGACCTCGTCGACTATACTCGTAATTACCAAGCGGTATCTTGTCTACGATCCATACCAGAATTCGTTTATCGGGAGAATTCGTTCAAAATTCGCGTGATTCGAAGTGAACAGGTAAACCTCTAATCCACAAACACACTCCACAAACTCCCCCGTCTCACTCCTCTTCCTCTTTCTCTGACGGAGCGCAGGTCAGAAGTCCATTCGAAATGCATGATCTCTTCAAGTTTTTTATTTACATGGTGATTATCGATTTTTGAAATCTGGAGAGAAGAGACAATGAATACGGCAGCGGCGGGTAGCAATACAGTGCCTTCTCAATCGGGGCCTGGTCTGAAGACGCATTTCAAATCTCCCGAAGGCAAATACAAGCTTCTCTACGAGAAGACATTTCCCATCGATATCGTCCCCAACGATTCCCATAGCAAAAGTGTTAATGATGCTCGCCTCAAAACTGTTACCCAGGTTTCATCATTTTCTAAAAATGTTCTCATCGGATTTCTTTGTCAAATGCAAAATTGAGCACATTTAGACATATTTTTGCTTTTCTTCAATGAATAATCTTGGTGAATTTATTAAAGCCGTTTGTTTTGATCGTGATTTCTGATGTTAATCATATGATTTGTGCATTTCTTATGATCATATGTTTCATTTCTTATTGTATAGTGTGTTTATGGTTTTCACATTTTTAGGTGAAATTAGGCATGATCGAAAATAGGTGATGGATGAGATATAGTGTTTGTAGTGAAAATGAAAACGAAATATTGATTAATACTGTGAAAATAGTATCGGAGAGTACAAGTAATGTGATTCAAGAATTTGGATTATCTCTCAACCATTTGAGTAGATGTGTTAAAAAATTCAAAATTTCTGTTTTCATTGGAAGAGCAGTTTAAAAATGAAGTTAGGAAACTCTTAACTAGAACTACATTTGAGTTGTTGCTCATTTTTGGGTCAGGGAACACTTGCTTGTCTTAAGGATAAGCCAACGGCAGCACCATTGCAATCGTCATCGAGTTTTGGGATGACGAGTGGGGTGAGGTCTGCGGCTGCGAGGTTTTTGGGTAGCGGGAGTGGTAATAAGGTGCTTAGCTTTGGAGCAAATGGTGGAAGTAAATTTATGAATGGAAATCAAATGCGACCACAGGGGTCTTTAACTAATGGCAGCAACGATGGAAGAGGAAATTACTTGGTTTTCAATGTTGGTGATTTGATTTACATCAGTGACTTGAGTTCTTCGGATAAGGTAGTTTGTAGTTTTTGTACAATTTACTTTCTGATTCAAAAGTTCATTGGAATTGATTTCTGAGTGTGTTGCCTGTCTAGGACCCTATAAAGTCTATACACTTTGGTAATATGTATCCCATCTGCCATGCATATGACCATGATGCTAAAGATGGGCTCGATTTGATAATTGGTCTGAATTCTGGAGATGGTATAATTTTTAACTCAGTCTTGAATCCTGTTTTATGTGCCATTTCAAATGTATGATTTCTTTGTTTTGTAGTTTACTTGATGTCTCTTCGACAACAATTACAAGATGTTGCGAAAAGGCCTGTGGGAGCTCTGCATTATAACAAAGAGGGCTATATTAGTAATAGGCAAGATTTTCATTCTTGTTTTGCTGTTTATTTGAATTTCAATGTTCTTTATGCACTTTCGTTGGAACTTTGACAATTTAAATTCTATGTTGTGTAGGTTTGTTAGTTTTGTATGGTTTATTCTGCTAGATATTTTCTTTACTTTAAAATCTTGTTGAATACAAGAATCCGAATTTGTCATCATTATCTAAAGTGTTCGTGATGACTAAGATTCTTCTTGAGTGCTTGACATATGAGGAAATTTAAGTAGAAAGGATTTATCGAAAGGTGTTGTAACTTGCACACACACACATATATATAGATGAATAGTTGGGGGGTGGGGGGGGGGGGGTTATACTCTTCAACTTTATCTTTTAAATATTTTTGTGGGGAGTAAAATTATCAACAATTTGATGATGGAGCTTTTCTATAGTTGCTGTACTTGTATCAAGTGGATACCGAATGCCGATGGCTCATTTGTAGTTGCTCATGCAGATGGAAATATGTATGTTTATGACAAGGCAAGTTTCAAGCTTTATTTTGATTTGATCATTATCTTCCTCTTAAGTCTTTTGTTCTCTGTTGAATGCACTCTCTTACTATTTTTTCAGAACAAAGATGTTTCCTTGGATCCATCATTCCCTATGATCAAGGATCCGACTGAATTCTCTGTTACACCTGCTCGGCACAATAAGGTAGCGACTCTTGTTTCCTAACTGATCACAACAATTCTGTAATTTAAGAAACCATTTTCATATGTTATTGATGCAAATTTCAGAATCCAGTCGCCAGATGGCACATAGGCCAAGGTTCAATTAATGACATTGCATTTACGGTAGACGGATCTTACATGGCTACAGTTGGAAGGGATGGTATATCTTAATATCTACCCTGCTATGGTTTTATCGACACCCTCCGTAACCAAACACATGGATTTGAATTTCTGTGTCCATTTAGATGTCAAGAAAATTTATCTTTGTAGGTTACCTTCGAGTGTTTAACTACAAAACCGAACAGCTTATATGCGGTGGGAAAAGCTATTACGGTGCTCTACTGTGCTGTGCTTGGAGGTAAGTCAGTGATTGAAGTAATTTATCCAATTCAAATGTTTGAAATTTGTTTCGTTAGTAGATTGAATAACTGATTATATTTGAGTCAACAGCATGGATGGAAAATATATTGTGGCCGGAGGAGAGGATGATTTGGTTCAAGTTTGGAGTATGGAAGATCGGAAATTTGTGGCTTGTGGTGAGGGACACAACTCGTGGGTGAGTTTTCTTGAATACTGCTCGTAATTCAACTATCGTCTGAATGATAATATTCATTCCGTATTTGCATCACTCGATTCTCAATTGTGGCAGGTTAGCGAGGTGGCATTCGATCCATATTGGACTGCCACAAATGCAAATTCAGATGGTATGGAGGAAAACACCGTATACCGATTCGGTTCTGTTGGACAGGTACTGGGAATGAAATTATTTTTCGATCCATTACATATTGGCATCGTGCATACCCATAATTACAATTATTTTCTCTACTATGTTTTCATTCCCTAAATTAAGAGAAAAAAAAAAGTGTATGAGCTAAAATAACTGTACGACTATTTGTGAAATGATAATTCATTTGTTTGGTTCTAGTTGTGTTGTGATTGATTTCGTGTATTAGGATGTTTTGGATATGAAATTATTTTGACAAAAAATAAGCAATGAATGTAATGTTTTAAATGAATGCTTCTTCGGTTACCGTGCTGATTTGCAAAAATTGGAAATATATATCATGTGTTCTATAAGAGTAAAAATATGACATGATTATGGGCATTGTACGCGATAAATTAAGAGCGTGTTTGTTTAGTTTAGTTTAGTATTGTCAGGAAATATTGGGAATTGTGAAAGTATTATACTACATTAGTCTGACTCTGAAAGTCACATTTATTTTTTGCTTGTTGATATTGAATATTAATTATTATATCAAAATGTAAAATGACAAATATATTTTAATTAGTGTCTTATGATACTAATAGAAAGACATTTGTACGAAAAGTTATATAAATATAAGGATATTTTTAATATTAAGTATAATGACACAAAAGGTAAATGTAACGAGGGACTATAAAAATTATGTTTTGTGTGGTTTTGTTACTTTTGTGTGTATGTTTTGAACATTTATTGTAACATGCATATATTATTATATTTTTGGATAATATTTTTAGAGAATTGTATATCTCTAAAAACCCCCAATCGATTTATAATACAGGATGCAAGATTGCTTTTATGGGATCTGGAAATTGGCGAGCTGGTGGTGCCAGTTCGTCGGGCTGCGTGTGGATCTCCGAGCTTCAGCAAATCAGCCCTGCGCAGTGACGGCATACTGCAACGGGCTCCGAGCATACGTGACCTGCCTAGACTGGCCCCCCTGGTTGCGCATCGAGTGGACACCGAGCCCCTCTCGGGTCTGATATTTATGCAGGAATCGGTCATCACCGTGGGGCGGGATCGACACGCCAAAGTCTGGGCAAGGCCAGGTTTTGGTGAGAACCAGCCCAGCACCAATTCCATTTAGATCATCAACAACAACTGTTATCTTCTTCAGGTTCTTCTTTAATTTTAATTTAATTTATGGGATGGGAATGATGGTAGTTTAGTTTTGCTTTGAAATAATTGTAGTTATTTGATAATGATAGGCAATTGCATTGCATTGCATTTTGGTCTCAAATGTTTATGTTTTTGTGATCATCATGTACATAGGAAATGCTCCTTTTAATTTCAGTTCTGGATCTAAATAATACACTATATATATATATAGGAATTTAATTTAATTCTTCAACCTTTTCCTCTATTGCATTGTTATGGACCGCGTATTATTAGTGAATTTTAAGTGTAAGTAAATGGGTTAATAATATTATATATGTCTGCACTTTTAAAAGGAATTCATTGAAGTGATGAATTAGTATTTTACTGGTAACTAGAATATATAATGCTATAGGAATATTTTAATAATTTTTTTTTTTTTTTTTTAATATTTTGTGCATAAAACAATGGTAATATGTAATAATATGATTATAATTAATGTAAAAATAATTGTATTATAATAAACATATATACTTCTTCCATCTCATATTAAGTATTTATTTAGAATAGGGATAATTAATAAATTATTTAAAAAATATATTAATAAAAATAATGATTAATATATATAATTATAAATTAAGATATTAAATAATTTTATTAAGATAATGAAAATTATTGATTATAAAATTTCAAATATATTTATATTTAAATAATAAATTATGTACAACGTATTCGAAATAAAAAAAAAAAAAATTGAACATTTTTAAAATAATATTCATAATAGGGTGAACAAACCCTCTATATATTTTGAAATGATTTGGGGTTTTGGGATTAGTTTTATTAACTTTAATTCTTGGAAATGGCAGTCAAATAAACACTGCATTATTATTATTATTATTATTAATCACCACACCACACGTGTGCGCATAATCGGGCCCACATATTTTCAAACACACCGTAGGGCCCGCCTGAGTCCCGTCACACGTGCGGCTTGGCTTGGTGTCTGTGTCCATGTCGATCCCTCTCCAGCCAATAAATAAAATTAAAAAAGAAAAAATTCACATCCCAGAAAGAGTATTTGTATCTATATATAATATATATATAGATATGTTTGTAGGTATTTGGTTTCCAGCTGGCGTAACTCTTTGACCCGCCCGCATTGTTTTCTTTCCAATAATAATTTAACCAAACTAATAACTCTGTCTCTTAAATTGGTAATCCCAATGCTAATTAAAATAATAACAATAAAGTTCGTATTTGACTCTTTTTTAGTTTTAATTTTTTTAAAAAAAAAAGTAAAAAAAATAAATATTTAATGTAATACTTACGAAAAATAGATATTTTATATAATTCTTTTATAAAATTAAATATTATCAAAACTTTTAAAAATATGCATTTAAGTTATCAAAAATAATATATTGAGCGGCAAGATATATTCTCCCTTTAGATTAATTATGTCATAATATCTGAATAGGAAAATTAAAAAATAATAAAATAACATAATAATTTACTATCATTAATTATAAAAAAATTATTAACTTAAATATGATATCAGTAACCGAAATACGTCAACGGTTACAAAACATAAAGAGTACAAATTAAATATAATAATAATAATAATAAATTGGGAAGAGTTTCGTGAGTTGCGGCATTGGAAGAGGAAAACAACGTTAGGTTAGGTTAGGTTAGGTTAGGAAGACAAAGAGGGTTTGCATGTGACTTGTGTTCCCTGACATAAATACTCTTGTTTGTTTGTCTCCCTTACTCATGCACATTGCGTGCCGCTTTTTTTGCTGCCTCCAAACACGCCCCCACCTCCCACCGCTCTTTTTTTACTGCATATATACTCCACTCTTTACTTCAATTTCGTGTTCTTTTGGCCATTCTTTTTATATTATTTAATTTTAAAAGATATCGTATTTTGCTTTTGTTTGAATTATTTTTTTTATAAATTAATATTATTATAATATTAAATTCAAATCAATTTTTTCAAATTCAACCAAAAGAAATACACTTATATATTTTATAATATTTATTTTATTTGTCCCAAATATTTATCATATTTATAAAATAAAAAACAATTATCTAACTTAATCTCCAATAAATATACACAACCCTTTATTTAATCATATTATCCGAACAAAAAAAAAATATATACATTTTTTTGCATCATTACATCACATAATAATAACACTTAAATTACTGTGTATATGGAATAAAATACATTGTGCACATAGTCAACTTCTTTCTCTTTAATATAATGTCACATGTTTTAAATATTATACTTTGAGATTTGGATCACATTTAAATATGAATACGAATGAATGAATACGACTGTAATTCATTACAGGTTGAAATACACACACTATTAATTGTTAGAATACTTATATACATACGATGATGCTTAAGTATTCAATTTTTGACTTTATCGATACTTCAATATTTGGATCTTGTGCTATTATAGAATTATATGTTGTTTTGAAAGAATCCACGCAATGAATTTTAGGTTCATGTAAGCATTTGTTGACTTCATTATGTATTTTACTAATACACATATACTAACCCCAAACATACACAAACTATTATATCCATAAATTTAATTTACAACATAAAACCCATACAAACTAAAGTTACTCAAATTTAGACAATAAACAAAATATAAAAATATTTTTAAGAAATTATTTTTTATATTAAAGTAAAAATCAAATTTACAATTAGAAATTATATCAAAACAATTATTTAAATTCAAATATATATAACAACCTACAATTTGTTAGGAATAATCATTTTTAAAATGAAAATAATAGTAATACTCTTCTTGCATCCAATATTTTTACCAAAACATAAAATAAATAAATAAATAACGAGACAAAAGTAAAGACCTCAAAATTTACAGTTACATATCCAAACTTGTTCACTAGATATAAATCAAAACCACCAAATTTACAATAATTAATTAATTAATTATTCAGACAAACTGACTTGATCGCCAATCAACTGTGAAATTAGTTCTCAAGTCTTCTTCTTCTTCTTCTTCTTCTTCAGACATTCGTTCGAATATCTTCAATCAATCTCACCATTAACAAACACTTCCCCGAAACCTTAAAATTCATTTTCTAATTCAGACAAACTCAAAACCAAAAGAATTCTCACGTCAAGAAGAAGAAGAAGACAACCATAACGTTTGATCATACCATGATTTAGAACACTTACAATACCTCTGTTCCTTCCCGATGTCAGAATTCGATCTTTCGATTATTCGTCAGGTCAGGTCAGGTCAGGTCGGGTCGCCGGCTACACACCTACATTGTCGCTGCCAGAATCCGCCACAACCGTCAATCGTTTCGTTGTCTTGACAAAATTACTGCATTCAAATCGTATACACAATACAAGATTTAGTCGGGACCCAAAATATATCGATCGCAATAAAAATATGTCGATAAAATCGATCGATATCACCTAAACGGTTCGTCTCCGAGTTGTCTGACCGATCCCGCGGCGTCTCGATAGAGGACGTGGTTCACGATTTCGGGATTCTCTACCCCGAACATGTCGGCCAATTTACGGTTGAGTTCTTCGTAGGAGCCGAGAAGAGTAAGGTCAAGCGTTCGCCCGACGTCCTCGGATTCCATGAAAACTTTGCACTGGCCACTTTGCAAGCTGAGCTGGGATTGGAATCCTTCGCAAGACGATCGCTCGGGGGCGTCGTTTCGATTGACACCCGAACCCGACCCGTCGGAGCTATTCCCGATTTTATCCACATTGCAATCGGAAGAGCTGTTTACGGTGCGGGGAGTCGAGACGGTGTCGCTGGAGCAGCTCATCGATATCTGTTTCTCCGTAAGTATTGGCTGCCCGAAGAGCAAGAATGGGGCTGCAGCCTTCCTGTTCTCCGATTTCTGACCCGAATTCGCGATCGTTAGAAGGCACGAATCAGTCTCGGTACTGCCAGGCGGCGGAATGAGGAGATTTGATTCTCCGGCAGGCACGGAAGCTCGATCGAAAGGCTGAAAACCGACTGCGGCGGCGAAACCCGAATGGAGTTTGTTGAGATGGACGTCCGGTAAAGATAAACCATATTGAGCGTGCCTGGCTCCCTGCATGCCAGCAGGTACATTGTTGTCCGAAAGATAGGTGAACGCGTTGTTCGGATTAGGACCGAGGAAATGGTTGCCTGAAAATGCCGCCGCCGGCAAGGGAAGCTGTTGTCCGAGAGGGAATTCCGGGTGGTGCGGCAGTTTCAGCTTCTTATGCGGCGGCGAGAACGGGGAGAGATGCATCGCCGGGATATTCGAAACTAATTCGACAAGCCACGGGCTTACGCGTTTCACGTTTTGTAGCAGATCGGGCTCGTCCCATCTTACCTGCAACCGGAAGATAAAATCAATCATCGATTAATTGTGATTAACAAGAACTCGAAACACAGCTAAAATTAATTTACCTGGAGAAGTCTCCAAGGCGAATCGGGCCATCGAACGGGATCGGCGACTTGAACGGAAGAAATCGTTCCCATGAACCAGCTTATGCGCGACGAATCCTCCGTCTCGAACGCCATCTTGAACCGCATCCCCGAACACCAATGGATTTGCAGAGCAGCCTTTACGAGCCCGGCCTTAACGCAGAACTCGGGAGTGCTGGCGCGAGGATAGTAAACCGCCTCGAACAGCTGTCCGGTGGTCGCGCGCGTCGCTGCGTCGATAACGTCTTCGACCTTAACCCGTCCGGAGCTCATCAAACTTCTGTTATCGTTCCCGCCGCCGTTTCTACTCATCTTGCTCTCGTCTTCCCTCAAAAACGCCGAAAATCCTCTATACTGCGGAACATGATTCCCACCACCCATCGGATTCCAATCCGGCGGGACTTCGGGACCGCCGCCGATCCCTTTCTTGGCACGTCTGATTCCGACGCAGAGATCTCCGTTCTCTGCCCTCAAGAAGACAATCGAATCGCCGGCAACAAGCTTCTTGTGGTTCACAAAAGTGCTCCATCCAGTCGTCAACAGATGCCGCCGCGGCGTCCCTCGGTAAATATGTCTGAACTTCCAAACCTCACCGTGAACATCCTTGGCGAGGACCGTCTGAACCGGAGGATCCGCGGAGTAGTCAAGACGAGGGAATATCGTCTCGGCGCAGTACCTAGGCACCGAGAAACCGCCGCCGTTGTTCGCGTCCGACTGCGTCAATGTCTTGGCGAACGACACCGGCTTGTCCTGATTCTCATTCCCGTCGAAACCAACGGCACCCTCGCCGTCGAAATTAGCCTCGTTCCTGGCCATTGGAGACAGCCTGATCTTAGCAAAAACCTCGTCTGTATCAGGATCTGCCATGAATTTAACCTCAGAAACTTTACACGGCACGTAGGCTGGAAACCTCGGACAGTTCCTAAGATCGGCATTTCCAGCAGAAGCATGTTCTAAATGTCCTTGAGGAAAGTAAATCACCTTAGAACCTACTGGCGGCATTTGGACCATACTGCCGGCGCAGGCATGCCATAGCTGAGAATCTAAGCATTTCTCACCTTCTTTGGCTTTCTCCTTAGGTTCCATAAAATTAAACATTGCAGAGCTCAAGAAATATTCTACCAATCCTAAAAAGTTCGCCGTCTGTTCAACAATTTTGTGATTCAGGAATCATCATACGAAAATCCTCTGTCACAGAATAGATCAACAAAATTCCTCAGTCGCAAGCACCAAATAGTCATAAAAAATGGAAGAAAGCTTTAACAACAGAGCAAGTATTTAAAAATTGCAGGCGAAATTTAAAGAAGAGGAAATTCAGTCTCTTACCGTGCTCGAGACGCATCAGAATCGTGAAATCGAGAGGCTAATTCGACATAAATTAGTCGAATCGAGGCGAATCTGATTTGGTTTGGAATTCAGCTCTGATATGGCGGTTGGGGAAGCAACACAAGAAGCTCATGACTGGGCGGACTCTGAGAGATGAGATGAGTATCTTTTCAACCAAAATCTTTTGACTCTCGCTCCGGTGCACAGAATCAACACTGGATTGTGAATGAATTTGTTTCAGACTTTTTCGCCTCCACGAGATCGGAAACCCTCCCCCGAAATTCTATGGCCTCAATCCTCTCACGGAAAAAGCAAGCAGTCGGTTTATACAAACTTTTTTCCGCAAATCAAAGCTTCAGAAAAGCAGGAGGAGGTTGATTCTTCAGATTTGATTCGACCAAACCCTCAAAAATCAACAGAAGCAAAAATACCCAAAAACTCCGATGTAAGGGGAAAAAATCTCGCAGAAATACAAAACTGATGAAATGAAAACCCGTTGTTGATTTTCCTCTCCTTCAACTGCCGCTCTCTCTCTCTCTCTCTTCTCTCTCCCACGCTTACACTCAACTCCACTCATACATATAAACCTCTCACCTTTTTCTCTCTCTTTCTATTTTTCTCTCTCTACATATACATACATACATGTATGTATAGTTGTATACCCACGTATATACATACGTACGAAAGTATATTCAAAAAGTCCTCACAGCTATATATATATATAAAATTATAAATACAAAACCAAAAAATCTCCTAATCACACGGTTGCATAAAAACTTTTCAGCTCCGATCCGAGCATCGACCTTCGACCTTCGCGATCATCATCAACATCAACATATCATTCAATTAGTCATAATAATTACTTCAGAAACAGTAATTAACCTAATTGTGATGGAATCTGAAAAAACGTGAAGAATGAATTAACAATAACAATAAACAATAATATTAATAATGATAATTAATGGATCGGAGTGTGCTTTATCTTCGGATCTGAGGAAGCTTCTGATGGCAGCAATTAGCAAGCAGTAGGAGGAGCAAACAAAGATCTGGAAGCAAGGGAATCCACCAGGAATTCCCGTGGTTTGTTTAATCATAATATAATTGTGCGTGTTGTGTTGTGTTGTGTTCGGAGTTGGGTAATAATAAATGAGACCATGTGGCTTTCCTACTTTCCTTTAGCTTAACTTAGCCTAGCTTAAATTTTGTTTACACAATATTTTTATAATTTTCACATTATTTATTTATTTATTTTTAAATATCATGGAGTATTATAAATATATATTTTTTTCATAAATTTTTTTTATGTTCAAATTCAAAATATTTTTTTTATTATTTTTGTTCGTCTCATTTAAAAATATATATTTTTTATTTTAATAAAAATAATTATATATAAATACTCAAGTACTTTTAATTTTTATTTAAATTATAAATATACGTATTAAAATATTAAAATTTATTTGATATTTATAGTAAGTAACAAAATATTATTATTTTTTAATATTATCTAAAACCCAAAAGATCTTTCTCTTTTAAAGGAGTTGTTGAAGTTATATTAAACATCAATTTATTATTAAATTTTCAAAAGTCTTAAAAAAAATCATGTATAAATATAGTTTAAATTTTACAAAACTTCAAAAGTTCATATATTTGTTTTGTTAGATAATTTAAATGAATACTTTTTTATTTAATATATGAAATTTTATTTATAAAATATAAAAATAATGAATATATGTGATATATTAATATTATTTGAAAAATATGCATATAAAAGAACACTTAAAACTTTCAAATGTCTAAATTGAAAATAAATTTTTTTAGAATTTTTGGAGTCGTAAATTTTTTGTAAAAAAAAAATAATAAATTAATATTTGATTCATATTTTATAAAATAAAAAAATATATTTGAGAAAATATTTGAACAAAATTTGAATAATATCAATAGTTTAAAATATTGTATGAAAAGAGCTCTTGCCTCTTAGCTTATTGGATTTGTTTATTTAATTTAAAAATGTATTAATTAATTGATATTATTATTATATGAGTTTGTTCATTCCGTTGCTTACGGTGCCAGGCAGGCCAGCTGCTTGTGTTGCCCATACCAATTATTAATATTATTTTAATTACTCGGAAATCATGGTATTGTAGTCTGTGTAGTAATTTTATAATATTAGCATTAAATAGGTTAATTAGAATCTCGATTATTAATACCTAATTATTTTAAATCTTTTACTTTAATCAAGGCTAGTCAACACTGTACTCTCTCACCTATGCTATGCTAATGCTAATGCTGCTGTGGGATGGATGCTTTCTTCATCGATTTAATCGTGTTTATTTATTTATTTATTACTAAGTTAAACCTTTTAATTTATATATATATATATATATATTTTTTTATAAAATAATTATTAAATATGATATATTGAATACAAAATTAGTAATAATACTTTTTTTTGGAAAAAAAAAAATATTATTCTGTATATAATAAATATGCTCCTTATTTTATTATTCCATCCCTTTCCATATCTATATATCCATTTGTCTTTTAACGGACTTTTAGAAATATTAGTATTATAATGAGATAAAGTATAAATAAAGATAAAAAGACTAAATTAACCCTATTAGTATTGTATGATATAAAGACAATGATATCTGTGTAATATATTGTATAATAGAAGGATATTTGTAATGTTAGGTAGATGGTACAATTACTTAAAAAAAATGGATACTTTGTTATGAGACAGACCAAAATAAAAAATAAATATATTGTTAAGGGATAGTGAGAATATTTAGAATTGTCCGTAGTCAATTTATTCTTTTATTTAATATATATAATTTCCACACAATAATACTTTTTCTTGAAATATATATATATATATATATAACTAAAGTTACAAAATATACATTGTACTCTTATGCTTACTACACAATTATTTGTATATATTTTAAATATAAAATTTTACTATATATTATAATTAATATTGGAAGGAACATGAAAATATAATAGAACACATTCTTTATATAGCGTTAGATATAGTACCTTTTTTAGTTTGGTTTTATTTTTTTATTTTTAATTTGAACAATTATTTTAATATAATATTTTACTAAAAAATAATAAAAAATATATTTAGAGGATCATTATAATTTGTAGTAAATATATATATATATATATATACAAAAATACAAAAGATGATAAACATGCTCGACATTGGATGCATAACATTTTTTTTTTATTCCATAAATAATTTGTTAAAATATAAATAAATAAATAAAAACACGTGTGTTGGTTAAATATATTTGTTATAAATTTTCAAGTAAATATAGAATAATATGCACTGTTTTAACTGTTAATGACAATAAATTACATAATAACTCTGCATATCATTGCATTATGTTAAATTAAAATTTATATATTTATGTGTATTAGAAGTAAATTTCACTATAAAATAAAGAATATCATGACCTAATTTTACCAGTTGAAGTAAGACGAGTGTATACACAATTTAAGTAATTAACAACCATACCTAACACTCCATTTCATTTTCGGTTAAATAAAAGTTTTCAATATTGACTATAAAATTTTAAAATACCGCACCAAAATGTAGTTTTGATTCCATAAAATATTATATTAAATATTTAATTTATTTACTAATTTAAAAATATTACAAATTTTCTATCTAAATGCAACCTAACATCCATGTTGTTTTATTTGTATTATGTGTTTACATAATGATTTAATTTGATATTTTATCAAAAAATTAAACAAATATATATATATATATATATACTACTTCTTCATCTGGCTGAAATAATTATGTTAGTTTGATATATTAATACATACTTTATTTATAATAAATAATTTTATTATTTTTACTTTAACAAATAATATAATTATTTTTTAAAAAAATTTAATTCGTAACTTTTTTTATTTTTAATTTTAATAAAATTTTATAATACTCCAAAATTAGAGGGGAAAGTATTTATTATGATTCTAAGTGGATATGATAAGAAAATAAATAGGTGAGGAAATTAAAGGGACACATGAAATAATTGTGTCTATCAACTGCGGCCACTCAGAGAATAATGCTTCAGCCCACACAGAAAGTGACCATTCAACTATTCGTTTATTTATTTTAATTTTATTTTTAATTTTAATATTAATATTAATTTTGATTTTATAATGATTATTATTATTTTAGGGGTTATGCAAGTGATCATGTATTGAAAATGTTTATGGTAAATCTCCTAAGAATGATAATTTGGGTGTGGGATGAATTAAGGGTGTGTTTGTTTGGGGTTTGGATTTTGAGTTGGGATTTGAATAGTAAAAAATTTGAATTTGAATAGTTGTATCATGTGATATAAATAGGCGTTGATGTGATGTTTTGAATGTAAAATTGATTTTTAGTATAATATAAAAAATGAAAAATAAGTATTTGATTTGATATTTTAGGGAAGGAAAAAAAATTGGTTGAATAGTATCAATCCAATCCAATTCCCCAAACAAACACACTATAAGTGTGTGTTTGTTTGGGGGTTTGAATTTTGAGTTGGGATTTGAATAGTAAAAATTTTGAATTTGAATAGTTGTATGATGTGATATAAATAGGTGATGATGTGATGTTTTGAATGTAAAATTGATTTTTAGTATAATATAAAAAATGAAAAATAGGTGTTTGATTTGATATTTTTGGGGGGAAAATTTTAGATGAATAGTGAAATTTAATCCAAATCCATCAAACGAACACACCCTAAGAAGAAAAAACAGAAAAAAATATTACAATAAAAATTTGAAGTGAACAAAAGTGAGAGGATATGTTTGGTTTGAGTTTCAAATCTAAATTAATATTATTCAGTTTATAGTTCTTAATAAATTTATAATATTTTATCGTATAAATATTATATTAAAATATTATTTAAATAAAAAATTTAAATCAAAACTACACGAACGTACATTTTCATTCAGATATTTATTCTCTACCCTCTTTAAAACCTATTTTATTATTGTTGTTATTATTAAAAATATAATACTCCCTCTATCTTCTAATTTCTATTTTTTAAAAATATTGTTACTTTTATTTAGTAAAAACTATACTACTTTTTATTTTTCTTTTATTATAAAAAGTAAAAAATAACGGACGGAATATCTAGATATATATATATATATTTATATAAGTTGTCACGTGTAATTATTGTTATTTTTATTTTTATTTTTATTTTTAATCTAAAAACAATCCAAACAAGCAATAACCAACCAAAAATTAAAAACACACATTCATTAATGACTTCTAAAATTATTAAATACATAAATAAACGAATGAATAATTGAGGAATGTTTTCACTTTAATAATAGTACTTCTGAAATTTTTAATAAATAATAAATAAATAAATAAAATTACAACAATAAATTCCCGGACATCACCATTTAGGGTGTGTTCTTATATCAAATCTTACAAAACTTTTTTATTATTTATCAATTTTTTTCCTAAACTATCAGACATCTATTTTTATTTTTTACTCCCTTCGTCCCATATACCATGTCCACGTCGCCGTTTCTGTCCGTCCCACATACCATGTCACTTTCTTTTTTTGAAAAATGATTACACACTTTAATCTAATTTTAAATTTTTAAATT